ACCTTAGTACAAACTAAGCCATTTGCAGCTCTCATTGGGGCAATGAATTGCAACAGATTTGTTTGGCTGTAGCGCTATGACCCTTTTCCAAACCAGAGTATATGAGATGGGGACTCAGGGGTGACCTTCAAGCTCTCACCTGCCCGCTGGCACAGGATGCCACCAACCAGACGTCCTGGTGATGATGTGAGGGGCAAACCAAGCGTTACTTCCATCCATCATCACATTAGGCACACTGGCCTGGTTTATGTCCTTTCAGAGCAGTTGAGACATGCTGGGCCACACGGAAACGTGGGAAGCAACTAATTAATCTATCCCAACAGCAGAGGTTCACCAGTTATTTAGGAGCCGACTTCAAGGGTGAAATCCCTTCTCGGATGTTAATGAGAACTTTGTCCATCACAAGTGTCTCATCCATTACTGCGCTACAACGGCATTGTAATGAACAGCAACATTAGAGAGAGGACACTTCTGAAGTAACTTTATCTTCAGTATGTGTTTCTAAAGCGGAAACAGAAGTCTGACTCGGGTTGAACTCTTCACCTCACTAGACAGTTCAAAAGCGCCATGGGTCAGACAACTGAGCCTGGCTGTGAAGTGGACAGGTGCATCCAGCAGAAAGAGAACAAGCCAACACATATTGTCTGAGATACGGCTTATGAGGGGAGTGTTTTCTCTGTATCCTCAACCATGCAAAGTAGAATCAAATATTCACTTTCCCTGGATGTGTAAGAATACCAAAAAACTTAGCAAGAAGTCAAAGCATCGCCTACAGCTTTGACAATTCATCCTTGACTAAAAGTATGATCACTTACAAGAAAAACACCGACAATGTACTGTTAACATTTAAATGTTCCTTATTTAGCTTATAAATTAGCATACCATTTGACCTGCATGCATAACAGTTCTACAACATTTTACAAATAAAGCTCATGAGGAGAGGCAACCTGGCTACAGTCTCACCCGAGTTGTTTCCATTCACCAATGAGCTCCAAAAAGGGCAAAACCAGTCACTTAGGAGCGTGAACAACCAGCAGGGGCTGGGGAGAAGGCTTAAAGGGCCCATATCACGGTTTTTGACTTTTCTCTGCTTTAAACATGATTACAATGCTATTCGGCCTTCATACACAAGCCCACAGTAGTTTATTCATTGATTCTGTCAATCTTTTGTAAGAGAGCAATCTGTCTCCTTCCCCAGCGTGAGGCACAGAATCGCTCGGGTCCACTTCAGTGACGAAAACCACACTGATGCGCATGACGGCATGACCCCTTTTGCTTTGTATTTCAAATAGTTGTTAAATACTTTTGTCAAAACGGGGTAAACAATACACAATTAGTATGCTGTTTTTTGTCAAAAATAATAAAAATAAAAATAAATTAAAAGCCGGCGGGAGGTGATTGACGGATCAAAACAGCGAATCAGAGCGCACAGGCTCCGGCTCCCGAGTCCAGCGTCTGTGGTCTGGTCTCGCGGACACCACATAGAGCTGCTGTTTTTACGCTTTTGTCAACAACTAAAAGTGTTAGGATCACGTCAACTTGAATGAAGTGTGTTATGGGTGTAAATATGTGACACACTATTTGGCCCTAAGAGGAAGAAAGCGGCTCGACTTTTTTCATCTGTTCATCTCATGGATCTATTATAATACCGGTTCATCTGCGACACTTCACTGAGACTGTTCCAGAACTACAGGGACAATGGAACTGGACTTACTCAAAAGCTGATGTGGAAACACGTTATTCCCACGGTAAAAGACGTAACTCGGACCCCCTCGATCTGTGAGTAGTGACGCTAACTCGCTGTATACTTCTGTAAACTAAATAACTAAGGGTCTGATTGTGCATCGAGGACATAGGGCTCGATGTGACGGATTGTCATTGTTGGAAACGTGCGGGCGGGGGGAGGCGGGCTCACAGGCAGAGGAGCAGACTCTTCTCTGGATCAGCTCGTTTGAGTCGAGGTGACGTCACCTCTATACAAGAGATGGCTCTAATCTCACAAGCTTTGATTGTTGTGTGGTGTATCATACACATTAATATCACACATGTGCATAGGATTGAGTGTGAAACATGAAGAAAAGCGTGATATAGGACCTTTAAGTAACAAGGCTCTGCTCTCCTCCTATAGAAGCTTCAGCCATCTAACATCACCACAAACAAACAGCAAACTGACATTTTATTACAAAAATTACAAAAACAGCTCACTTTAACAACCAAAAATTTGCATTCTTATTCTAGCAACATCCCCTTTTTGATCAATGCATCCATTCAACAAAGAAAATCTATTCTATCCCACTTTATTGCTTTTGAGCAGTTAAAAAAAAATCAGTGAGGATAGATTAAAGGGGCATCACTGGAATACGGTGATAACAGTTAACATTCCAATAGTCATGGAAAGGGAATGTGGGAAATGATAAACTGTCTATCGGATCAATCTGAATGTATAAGCATGTTGAATTAGAATATTCTTCCCACATGACAGCCAGTGTGGCATTTCATTAAAAGAATGAGGTCAAAATGTTGTGGCTTCTCTCTTTGCTACTGCTAAATGTAAGATCACGAACAAAGAAGTATGGCATAGCATTAGTCACACCCAGGACATGTAGATTCATCTGATGCCCTGATACCACTTCAATGATAATAACATTCAATTCAAGTAAAACATAAATACATAGATAGAAAAGAAAATGTGAGTGGATTTTGGAAGGTTTCTTACAACGGAGCGCTCATTAAAGCAACCTTCCAAAATCCACACCATGCAAAAAAGACAAAAACAAATTAGAGTATTGATGTAACAGTGCCAACTTACTTTTCAGTTCATTATCTTATAATATGACAAAATATGTCAAGATTATTTCTGTTTATTCATATTGCCAGCTTTGGTCAGAAAAAGAGGATGAATCCCATTAGTTATTAGTCCATTTCTGGGTGGGGGGGTACAATCAGAGCCACCAGCCAATTTTCATAGCACCAGCCCCTCACTGATTGTTCTGCAAAACCATAGTGTTTCAGCGGGGGCTTCAGGCAAAGTGGGGTCAAGTGTCTTACCCAGGGACACAACGACAGCAGACATCAGAGAGAGCGGATGACATGGGTCATGGGGGGATCGAACCCACTATCATTAATGCACTCAATGTGGATCCAAAAAGCAACAACACTACTCACATACAATCACTGCAGTAAAGGCTAAAACTTAATCTAGGGAGCAAAGGTTACCTGCGACTATAATACGAACTATTGTCAGTTACTACTTTATAGTTATACAGCATTATTGTCTTGATTGTCCTCACAATGGAAATATGATTTATATTGATTAGATCCATAATGTGCACTGCTCTGTGTGACCAGTGAGAGCTTTATTAAAGGCGAAGGTCCACTCTGCAGTGAAGCAGCAGGCGATCCAACACTGACAGGAGCTGCTGTAGAGACACTTCACTGATTAGGGACAGACAAGCTGAAAACTCAAATAAAAAGACTGGGAAAAAATAAAGAACATTAGGGCCAACTCTGCTCAGCCGGAGAAAACTGACAAGCAAATCAACCGAGCGAAATAGACCTCCACTTATATTAAAGTGAAGAATATTCCCTTCCCACTGGGTGACTGTGCGGTAATGTAATGGTTCACAGTGAGAGCGGTGGAGGTCAGTAGTGCCGACCAAGCGTGTCTCAAACAGCTCTATACTTCACTATGAGCTGTTCTAGTACTGTTATGAACATTCACATCTACATCCACTGCCTGTAACTTGTGGTTCGAGATAACTTCATTTCAATCAAAGAAACGGATAAAAAAGAACTCAGATAAATCAATATGTGATCACAGCTGAAATAAATGTTTGTGCAACTGTACAGAATGTGGTTGCCGTGTGTAGAAGCTGAAACAATCACTTCCTCATTCTTTCAAAGTGAACTGCATCCTCCTCCTCTGACAGGGAGTGGGGCGTGCATGCAGGAACAAGATGTGCAACTCTATCACACGCCGCTGTAGTAACAGTGTGGCCATAACTATTACATTTCTGCAATAGTAAGCAAACAGCCTCGGAGTCTGCATGTTACAGTGGAAACAAAGGTCCTGCTTCAGCTCCCAGGAAAACCCAGGGTCTCCCAGCTGAAGGGGAACACCCGCAGGGAGGGGACAGTATAGGCTGGAGTCTGACATCACTCCATGTTCCTGTGAACTCTGCTATGTGCCCACATCACTCACCACACCACACACACACACACATTCATTATTCTGAGTTTACTGCACCACCAGCACGAAGATGCTGCATTTAGTTCACAGAAGATGGGACGCTTGCTCAGTCTCTAACCTGCATACAAGCCGAGGCTACAGGTTAGACTGTATGCACTAAAACGAGACTGGAGCTGTTCACCCAGCCCCAACATCTGCTGCAGACACAAACCACGATCATCCGACACCTCCGAAGACTCCACACTCTGCGCTCGCTGCAAAGTTGAAGGACACGGTGGCAGAGGCTGGACAGTGGACCCTCGATATAAAAACACATACATGACACAGATGCCCACAGACACCGTGTCCAGGCCAGTTACTGTAACGGCTGGGCAGTGGCAGGGTGTTGAAAGCGCTCCCAAAAAAAAACCTGCATAGCCATTGCCAAAGCCAAGCGTCCCATTGTGAATGAACGAAGCGCAGACGAGGCCAGGGTGGGACAGAGAGAATGGCTCGGTTTTTACGCTTCACTTCCTCACTATGCGTTATTACAAAGACAAGAGTGGAGGATCTTGAGGGCTAGTTAGCTTTACTTCCTTAGCCCGCGCGCAGCCCGCAGCAGCAGCAGCAGCAGCAGCAGCAGCAGCAGCAGAAGAAGCAGCAGCAGCAGCAGCAGCAGAAGCAGCAGCAGCAGCAGCAGCAGCAGCAGCAGCAGCAGAAGAAGCAGCAGCAGCAGCAGCAGCAGCAGCAGCAGCAGCAGCAGCAGTACACGCTCCTCTCGCTCCTCTCTCCACTCTCACTCTCTGACAGCCAACACCGTCCTGGGACTTACCGGTCTTATGTGCTGGTGGTGCCTCTGTGACGAGACAACAAGTGCGGGGAGGCTGCTGGCCACCGCTCCGCTGCTCCGGGACAACAGGAGCACAGATCTGCACACTTTCGCAGCCATCTCTGGAGTGAACCTCGCCGGGAAGGAGACTGCTGCGGGCGGACAGAGACGCACCGAGGGAAGAGGGAGGGAGGTGGGCGGGCTGCACACATGCCCAGTGTTGCCTGCGCCACTATGCAAACACCGCTAATACTATTCTGGATTTGCCAGCTAATTCAAACATCATAATTCACCGCATTGAATTTTTCTCGTTAGTGCAATGTAATGAAATATGCCTGCCATAATTCGATTTCACAGGAGCGACCTTACAAGTGGAAGTGGATAAATATGAAGGTGAAATGTACAGACTCAAGTTCGTCCCGTTCACAGACGTCTCAATTAAAACTGGGGCACCCAACTGTATTTCCGTGATTGTTCAAATTAAAGGAGTCTTGTAAAAGTAGAAAACAAAAGTCACACAATCAGACCACAAGTTGCTGTCTTGATCTCACTCATCTCCACTTCTAATAAAAACGTGAGAAAGAGTTCTGAGAGACATTCGTTCACGCTTTGGGTTCAGAGTTAATTGGCTGGTCCTCTCTTTTTCCCTTTTCTGATCTAAAGATGTGACAGGGGCCAGCCATTACATACATGTGAAAATTTGTGAACCACTGTCTCAGGAACTATAGTTACTAACAATACAGAATAACACAATAGTTCTTTGCACAAAATAACAGTTATTTTGTGTTGTTATAAAGTGCAGTACCCCAGCTTTAATAGTAGGAAGCTAATTTTTATTTGTATTTAGAAGTTTTATTTCATATGGCATATAATTATTGATTTTTGCAACAGAATGATGAGGCCGATAGGCATTAGCTTGAATTCATTGCCGTTTTAAATTCGCTATGGGTCTTGGCACACTTATGACTGTGTCTAATATTAGCTTGTCCTTCAGCCACTCTAGTCCCAAAAGAATCCCCTTTGCCATTAAAAATCAAGCTTAAGAAAGTTTAAAAGAAGCCTATACCGTTTCCCCTTTTTTCTTAGAACAGAGCCAGCCAGTGTTCAAATACAGATTATGAGGTGTAATGGGCTGTTTTGGTCAATGAATGTTAGGAAGACTCCCTTTGGAGGAATGTAATTTGTCCTACTTAAACTTTGACCGGACACAGCCAACACTAGCATCCACACCAGTCAAGGAAAGAGGCATGAGCTACTGAATTAAGGATTTTGAAGGTACATGCATTTTGGAACTTTCCCTACAGAGACGTCTTGTTACTTGCACACATGTACACACCTTACATTGATACACCTTAAAGATTACTTTTATGTTTAGCTATGAAATCTTTATTGTGTTATTGCTCAAACAGTCATCCCAGTTCTCGCTCAGGTGCTGGGCCTCAGTATGGGAGATGCAATTTAAATGCAAATTGTCATGCACGGACAAGGGCCTGTCCATGGCCCCTTAGGCAGCATTGATTCACTAAAGCGAATCCTGTGCAGAGCCAAGTATTGCATTGTCTGGCACATACCTTTGAGCCTGTTTGCTGTAGTCTACAGTTTATGTTGTGCTTTTTAGAGTTATTCTTAAAGGTGCACTGTACTTTGCTTTTGGAGGGTCTACCATACTTGCTTCTTCCCATGGAAATCATACAGTGTTGGGTAAATTGTGCATGCAGACATTTTCGGTCCAACTTTCAAATCTGCTGACAGGCGTACCCACTAGTAGTAATAATCTTCCTCCCAACAACAAAAACACCTGCATTGTAATAAACATAACAGACTGGTAACGCCATACTGTGGAATATTTCAGGCATAGCAATTGCATAATTCCACCAGAAAAAGTTGCTTTTTGCATGTTAAAACAATGTTATACAACAATCATGAATAACTCATTTTAATTGAATAAAGCCCAAATTCACAAAATTGTAAAGCAATTTTGGGGACCCCTTGTTTTTGAAAATATGTTGTACTTACTGTATAACTTGTTTTGTTTGTTTTATTTAGATCCCAATAGCTACTGAAAACTATTCTCATTTACAAGCACGGCCATGAAGTCATTCATATTATTAAAGTAAACACTGTGGATAAGAAGAATATTTTTAAACATAACCCTCTTTTTAGAAGTATATTAAATTGAAGCAAATGTAATTTTTCAATATCTTCTTGGATGATGAAGGGCTTTTTGCACAGACTCAGAGAAATATGAACACTCCCAGTACATTGCAGATGGATGATTAGCATTGCTCAAATGAAAGGTGTGTTTATGTCTTGCTTGTCCATACATGAGTCAAAAGTCATATGACAAACTGAACTGCACTGGGTGTCTTATTTGTTCAAAACCTTTTGTAAAAAGCTAGTTTGACTTATATGTACTGTTGCAACAGTTTGCCACTATATGTCATGTGTATTGTGTCGTCCTCACCGGAGCACCTCTTCACCTCCATATTGCACATGCAGCTCAAGTTTCATAGTCGCTGTCATTTTCTGAAGCAGATCAGTGGTTTCTTTTATTCAATATAAAATGACACTTCACTCAAACAAAGTCTAAGCAACACTGTGTTTGTATACAACAGTTGGACATGCCTTATCTCCCCTGCCACATTTTCACCGTCACAAAAGCAGCGCAGCCTGAATCAGCATCTGAGAGTGGCCACAATATCACTGCCAAAAGAAATGGATACCTCACCTTCACACAAAATGATATAATCTGAAAATAATTGCCAAACATGCAACAGGTCTGTCCTACAACTTCTAATGAAGACTCACACAATGCAGAGTATGACAGTGTGTCAGTGGTACTTTTGTCGACTCTTGTTTTTGTGCACCCAGTAACTGTTGATGGTACATTCACCATGTTGCATATAAATACAATTAATCAAACATGAAAAGTGTGTCTCTCACAGACATGAACAGCAGATAATAAAACAACAATAAAATAGAAATGTGGCATAACATTTTATAAAATAAAAAACAATATTGACATTAACATAAATGATTTTTTAGTTTACTTTATTTATTTGATCAGGGACAATGCACAAACAACATTAGTCTAAAAAAGAAGAGATGTCATGTGCCAAGTTATAGCAAAAATGCTAATTTCCACCCGCAGTCCCTGGATGCTACTTAAAAAATGGAAAAAAAGCCCTTTGCAAAAGTCATTTTTGGAAGCGTGGTCACTGTCTCCTGTGGCCACGATGCCAGATGTTCCATCACACATCAGCACTGGGGGAAAATAGAAGCTGGTTCTGAAGGAACAAAAAAAGTCTGTAAAAGTTTTATTGACAATGTTTAATAACAGCATTTTGGTAGATTTAAAACCTACCTTTTAAACATGAGAGCTTAACTTGCAGTTCCAAGCCATTTTGGTGGCGATGGAGGAGATGGGAACATTCAAGTAGATATTTCACCACCATCCTTCCATCCATTTTATTCCGCTTCATCCGTTGCCGGGTCGCGGGGAAGCAGTCTAGCAGAGACACCCAGACTTCCCTATCCACACACACATCTATCTTCGAGCTCATCCGGGGGACCTCAAGGCGTTCCTAGGCCAGCTGAGAGGCATAGTCACTCCTGCGTGTCCTGGGTCTTCCCCGGGGTGGTGGTCATCACCATTAAATGGTAATCCACCAGGACATAATAAACTGGTACATCAAATGGTAGTTTAAACTTCCTGTGTGGACAAGGGCAGAAAAAAAATCATTAAACAAATCCATGTCTCTAGTTCGTGGCTTTAAAACAGTTTGGTTTGATCACTAGTTTCACATGTATCTATGGTTGGACTTTGTCACATCTCTAGATCAGCTTTTTCAGGCAGAAAATTGAAAAAAGAAAGGACCACCCACAATCAGCGCTCAACAAAAAGCATCAAATAATGACCCACAGAGCTAAACACATAAACGATAACATGTTTTCTACTAAGATGCACAAAGCTGTTGTTGTCTGATTTGTTCACAGAATTATACTTTTATAAGACTCTTTTTGTAGGGACAAACATAATGTATTAATGAGGAAATTAAAGGATTTAGTACCACAGATTTTTAGAGAGATTCGTTCAGATCCTCTTGTTCTCTGTACAGTGGCGTTGTTTTGTATCTTAATGTAATAAAACCCATCCAACTACCTCACACTCAGAACACTTCGGTTTTATCACTAGTTTTAATTCATACAGAAAAGTGAAGCGATAACCACCCATACTCAGCAGATCAGCTCTCAGCCCAAAGCCTCAAATAGTGCCTCATAAAGATCTTTTCTACAAGTACTGAATACTCAAAAGATGTTGTCTAACAAGATGAACACAGCATGCTGCCCTAGAATTTGCTCACATCATTTTACTTTTATTATAATCTATTAATCTGTATCCAGTCTGTGATAATGTCACAAAGGAATGCTTGATGTGACATTGACGGGGGGGGCGGAGCGGGAGCTGTAACCCCACCCACCTCAACACGGAACTGTTTACAGCCCATCTCCATCTGCGTACACCGCGGACATACTACCCTGCTGCCCCAGGACAGCGCAATTCGGGAATAACAAGGGTTTTGGAAGTCGTTTATGTGAGTAATGATGTCTTTGTGTGACTGTAGAGCTTTGAAATAAAACTGTGCGTCGCAGAAATTCACCAGCTGCGTAAGTCAAAGCTAGTGTGAGGAGATGGTGCTAGCTCGAGTTAGCATTAGCTGTCATCTGTAAAATAGCAGTAATAACGTCTGAAAAAACAAGTCAGGCTAAACACACATGATGGCAGAGATTGATCTCATTCTAAACGAGTTGGTAACGCCTGACTCACGGGACTTTATTAAATGTATGTTTCAGGGATTATACAGCAAGTTGCAACACATCTGTAGAGTAGTTTCGGCATCCAATGGGACCACTGCAAAATGTAGCACTGTAGCAAGTAGAAATGATATAAAAAAGTCACTCTTAATGTGACAGGTGACAACATTGGCCAATTACTACTGTAGGCACTGGGATAGACTGATGGAAGCAATGCAACTAGTTTGTTCCAATCATTCACTCACTCATTGACTCACTCGCTCAGACTTATACTTGGCAATGTGGGTGCATTTTACAGACATCTCTGTGGCACACTGGTACCTGATGTTCCCAGAGGTCTCCCATCGCTGTACTAACCAGGCTTTGTCATGCTTAGCTTCTGAGATCTGTCAGGATTTTACAGGTTATTACATTGACTCTCTATTTAAATGTGTTTTCCTTTTAAATGAATTGTAGTTTTGTTATTTGATCTAAATATAATTGATTAATAATGATTTATTACAAAATAAAGTGACCTACTCATTAAGTCATAATTTAATACAATACTCACTTTTAACTATTTCTGAAATGGACCAAGATGTTTCAACACATTATTTTTATTTGTCTGTTCCAGAGTTGTCTTTTTTTGTATTTACCTTTTTGAAGTAAAGGTGGCAGTAAAGCATGTGTCACATGAACTGGAGGTTGGGGTTTTGTCCCCTTGTCCCCTTGTCCCCTGACATAAACCATAAATTGTTAGTTGTGCAGTCAGAACAACTATCAACTAACTGCTAGTTGGCACGTGTGAAATCAGGCGCTTTGCCTTTGGGTGGGTACCTATACATGTGTGCAAATTGTGACCTTTTATATATCTGCTTAAATGTTTTCATTGTATTGCTTCATTACTGTTTTTGATCAATTAGCATCTTCCAGTCAATGATAACCTCAAAATGAACTGCACAGGAGAACAGGTGGCACATTTGCGACTTAATTGTAGAACCTTGAACAGGTGGTAGGTGATCAACATTTTCAGTAAAATTATAATACTGAAAATGTAAACAAAAATCAAACAAAGTGCACTCTTTGTGGAGCAGACATGATTGCTTCATTTTAATCATTTCCAAACATTAATGGATGAGAAACTCAACAGTGTTGGCACAAAATACACTCTGGGCTCCACTGCAGCGTTATTGAGCACTGGGCAGTGTTTCTGTATCCAGCTTTGATCTCTCTGTTGTTTATTCATTCAGTGTTCCTGGCCTTGTAAAACCCCCAATTTCGCTCTGTTAGAGAAAAATAATGAATTCTGAATACTGATTTTGAATATAATAAATTTGCTTATAATGCACAGAAAGAACTGAGCAAAAAGTGGAAAACATATCATTGTTAATTAGAGCTGCAACTAACGATTATTTTGTAATCGATTAATCTATCGATTATTTTTACGATTAATCGAGTAATCGCTTGGCTGTGAATTGTGTAGAAAATTTGTATTTTTTCATCACAAAAAGCTAAAGTGGCAACACTCGAGGACGTATTGATGGCGTAAACTTAAAGTAAATGTTTGTAACAGGCTCTTTGTGCTAATTCTGATTGGATGAGACAGACAGATATTCATGAAATTATCGGTTTTAATCAAAAATACTACATTTTCATGTCATTTTTGCTCTGTTTGAGTCCGTGTGAACCAGAAAACGATTAATCGATTACTAAAATAGTTGTCGACTATTTCAATAATTGATTAGTCGTCGATTAATCGATTAGTTGTTTCAGCTCTATTGTTAATCAAACAATTTAAAGTTTGTTAAAAACAAAATGGAACAACCCAAGAGAATCCCATTAACTTCTGAACTACATGATCAGAGTTCCCTTTGCGTGTCTCCAAATCCTTGTGTTTTTCTAATGCTGACAATTCAAATAGTATCATCCTCAAGTTGTTTACAATTAATTTTAAAACTAAGAAAAGACACACAATTAGAAATATGGCCATAGTATATAATAATAAAAAATCTTTTGGTGACGATTAATATAAGAAACAGCCAATTCTGACAGCCCGATCAAAAACTGTTCCCTGTGTGGGTTGAAAGTCCTTTCTTTCTATCTTTTTTTATTTTGCTTTGTGAATTGGGCTCATATATTGGGCTCATTTTCCTTTTTGCCTTGCAGGATGTTCCGCTTGCGGGCATTGTCAGCGGTCTCATTTGGCCTGTCACAGTTGCCCAGGCGTTATCACAGCGGGGCAGGACGATGGGCGGGTCGACGCAGGCTCATGCTGGCGGCTCTGGCAGGAGTCACTGGAACCTCTGTCACTGCGGGACTCATGTGGACTAGGTATCTGAGCTCCATGATTGTATAATTTAGTTAGGGCTGCACAATTTTGGCAAAATGTCTAATTGTAATTTTTCTGACATGAGATGTGATTTAAATCTGGAGCACCTAATTTTCAAACTACATGAAAATTAACTATTTAATCAAATCTGTGTAACTAGTGCCTAGCTCTCAACTGTTCCATCTCTAGTTTTCACATTTGCATGTATTATTGACTACTGTCACATCTTTAGATTGACTATTTCAGTCAAAAATAGTATATAAACCACAACAAATTTTACCTAACAAGACTCTTTCTGGTGGGACAAACCATCTAAGCAGGTAGCAGACCTGAAACAATACGGTCAGGTAACAGACCCCTACAATTTTATTGTGAGGTCAAAAGATAACTTTTCCTGGTAATACTAATCAGGGCTCGACATTAACGGTTGTCTGCTTGCCCGGGGCAAGTAAAGATTTGGGACGGGCAAGTGCGCTGTTTTAGCGAGTTGCCCGATCGGGCAAGTGATGTATTACTTTAACCCATTCAGGCCGAGAACACATGTCTTCATCTAGAGCGGCTCTGTTTATCTTTTTCCGACTAATTCTCTTCATTAGTAAATTCTCTGGATCGATGAAATGCATCTGGATAAACAAGGAATTAAAATGTTCCGCGGATCCGCTGAAAACGTCATATCTGTTAAATGTGTGACTGCAGACACTTTCTGTTGTTTTGCATTACACACTCAAAGGGCATTCACATCCTCCGCTCTGAGCCCATGGCAGCTGGGGCCGCTTTGTACCATAGACGCCGCGGGCAGGACCATAGACGGGAGGGAAGAACCATAGGAGCGCAGATAGGAGCATAAACGCGCGTTCAAAACCATCCCAGTTTGTTGCAAGTGCGGTCTCACCTTGTCTCCCCCCCCAAAGAGTAACCAAACTCATAAAATTAAACCTCGGGTACCTAAATTTTACCCATGCATTTAACAATGCATGTTGGTTGTGCACCAAAGTATAATGTTGTGAACAAATCCAATAGAACACACCACAACAGGCGTCTTGTTTTTTTATTTTGCATACTTAAGAGCCCTAGGAGTCATTATTTGACTTTTTGGGAAGAGAGTGGTGTTTTTATATATTTTTCCACACATTTAGTGCCACTTTGTTGCCAAACTCTTGCTAACTCATTGTATTGAGAAATATTTGGGCAAGTAACTTTTGACATTGGGCAAGTAAAATATAAATGGTACTTGCCCGAAGGGCAAGTGGCTGACAAAGCTTAATGTCAAGGCCTGCTAATGGTTAAAAATTATAAAATATTTGTTAATAACCTTGGTTGTATGAGGTAAAATTTATCTTTACTCTTCTTATAATCAGACATGTCTCATGTATCTTGATAGTTTCAGTATGACAAGTTTTGAGGTTAAATATTTTCAAATCAAGATCAAGACATTCTCCCTCATAAAATATTTTTGTCTTTTTGCAGTGGAGTTATAAGTCACTGCAATTTGTTAATTGATTTCGATTTTGTTTTGTCTCTGATTAATGAAACAAAAGCTCAAAACAAAACAAAAGTCTCTATGTTAATTCATTGAGTGGATTGTGTATCTCTCTGACCTTGAGCCAAAAGCTGCAGTGTCGCTTTTAATCCAAATTGTATGTTTCTCAACAGATAAAGTCCACACAATCTTTAGAGGAGAGCATAAAACAAACACAAATACTAATGTCTAGGCCAGGGTTATAAAAACATCCATTTAATCAAATAGGAAGTAAGTTAGTAATTTTTATTTATATAGTGCATTTTGCAGACCAAGGTCACCCAAAGCACTTTACAATTGTTAAGCGTGCAGATACTAGTACTCTTACTATGATAGATCTTTTAATTTCATAGCTTTCTGTGAGTAAGTGGCTTAAACTCTGCCAAAAGTCTGTGCTCTTTCTATATCCATCTCATTTCAAGATCGATTTTATGTATTTAAAGTTATCTGTCCGCGTATTCATTTTTCAGTTCCTCATCTCATTACAAGTTATGTCCATAACATTTGATCTTTCAAATTAACAAATATTTTTTTCTTCAAATCACCGATAATGATAAATGTTTTTTCTGTCACTGAAATATTGTTATAAAAGGTAGAAAACATGCTGAAGGACAAATGAATACCCACATTTTTCATTATATCTGAAACCAATAGCCCCAACAAATTTGTCACTTCAATGATAAGTTGTCTTTGCTCTCGATCCTTTATCTTTAATCTGCACATCCTCTATTGCACACTTTAAAGGATAAACTGCAGTCTCATCATCAAGATGCACAGTTTGGCAAGTCTGATAACGTCAAATTCCTGCATACATAACCTTGAGTAGAACAATCGTAGGTGTTTTTGTAATGTATGTGTTAGTGTTGCTAAGGAGGCAGGTGTTTAGTTGTGAGAACGTGTGAAAGGGCGTTGACATAAGAGCTCGTTGGGGAGAGGGAGGCAGAGCAGCAGGACCAGACGTGATGAATGAGGCCGCAGGGCAAAGACTGATCTGATGATGTGCCTCAGCCTTCAACTCAACTATTCGCCCATTAAAGTGAATTACCAAACCCACCTTGAACGCACCCAGCTGTGTATTATCATCCTGCCATTTTCATTTTCAGACAGCAATTCTGGCACTTCTCTTTATTGTAGTGTCTGGGATAATTTGATTCTGCTTTAAATTAAATGTTCTCTCCCCTTACCAATCCCTAGCTTAGAATCTGGAGGAAAGAAATTTTATATAGTGCTTTTCTACCTTTCAAGGCACTCAAAAGATATTTACACCAAGAAAGCATTCATCCTTTCACACACACATTCATAGTGGAGGTGAGCAGTGAACACAAACACTGGCCTCGCCGCTTGATCCAACCACTCAATCTAGATTTTGAATTTCAGTTTTCAACATTGTTTACACTAATATAAACCCCCCACTCTCAGGAACTCACTCCCACAACACATCGGGAACTCGTTCTCACTTCAGGACTTCAAATCACTTATCAGTTTCAGGTTAACTTCGCCGCTTGTTGTGCTAACTCAGCCATCTATGCTAACGGACCTGTAGATTTCTCACGAAAGTGGGGGCTAGTGGTGCGCTGTGATTGGTCACAATCTGCGACCCGAAACACATTCTCTTCCTTGTTTCATCAAAACTCGATCTAAAATATAATGTCACGCCAGCACAAATCTGCGCTACTTTTTCTTCAAAAGGACGTATATCACAATGCACTACATGGACATAGCATTTTCGTAATGAATACAAAAATAAAGTCAGTTAGTGCAGCTTTAATGAACACATCACTCCGGATTGTAGCCATGGGATAATTTGCATCAGTTGTCCCACATTCGCACTCACAAACACACACTCATTCACCCTGAACTATTGCACATGTTTTTAGTGGTAGGGGAAACCCGAGTACCCGGAGGAAACCTACGCAGACACGGGGAGAACATGCAAACTCCACTCAGAATGGCCTTGTTCCGACCGGGGTTCGAACCCAGAACCTTCTTCTTCACCGTGCCGCCCATTTTAATACAATTCTTAAAATTTGTAATTCATTTAGAGTTCCAGACTATCACTTTAATCATGTCACATTATTCATTCTCTACTCGTCTCAATATATTTCAATAGCCATATGTTTGAGAGCAGCCAGCCACCACAGCAGTGAAACACTTTCCAATACCAAGTACAGCAGTCCTGTATCCTTTTTGGCTCCTTGTGGAAGGCTATCAACACTGATGTCCATTTGTGCTCTTGTTTACCGCAGGGCTTACGCAGACGCCGGGCCTTCAGTCCAACACACAGAACCACAGAGGAAAGAAGAAGCTGACTTTTATGAAAAATCTGTGGCGGAGTCTGATCAGTCGGTGGAGGCTAGTTCTGGAGATGAGGAATCTAAAGAGGAGGGTGAAGGAGGCAGGAAGAAGAAACCGCGCTCAGGATTTCGTGACCGCAAGGTAATCAATAATCAATAAACCTTCCAGTGTTCACGCAGTTTCCTGTTCTCTTCACTTTCTGAGAGCTGGTTTCATCAATGTCATATGTTAATTAGAGGTGTTTTAAAGTGAGCATTAGTTGTCATAAACAGAAGATGCATTTTATCGCCTTAATTGGGAGAAAAGCTGAGCAGGAGAACAACCAAGACATATTACCACTGGAAAACCACAATAATGATAGCAAAAATTGATTTTGTGAAGTATTGCTTAAACACTATCATTTTCTTACTGTAGAGGCTAGAATTGAAGAGGAACTAAGCAGTTTATGAAGGTTAACAGCATAATAAACTATTTGTGAGTATAGTGTGTATGCTGCATATAACATGAGTGTTTGCTCCCATAAGTGAGTTTCATGGCTCTTATGTGACAAACAAGGTACGTTGGGGGAGGTATTTAAAACTCATATTTCTCCCTCTTTATATTGCTACAGTGTGGAAAGTCACTGGTGTATTTAAATTATGGCTCTGTAACATCTGCAATGCTTCTTAAATACTGCTGGTACATGGCACAGAATATTTGGATGGTGAACTTTGTGGAAACCTTTTATAAAAACTGTTTCAGAGCAGGTAAGACTAAGGCAATAAGATTAGATAAACTGTATTGATCTCACAATGGAGGCATTTACAAGGATTTGAAATGAGATGAAAGGAGAAGATGACTGCCAAACAGGTTACAGCACATCCTCCAAGATTTATCACTTTTCAAGACTTTGCTTTCCACACAACTGCCTTGTAACCTCTCATCCGTGCACTATTATCCGACTCAACTGGGGACGAGCTCCTATGCAAGTCAGCAAGTCAGTCTAGTCAGGACTAGGGCTGCACAAAATTGGAAATTAGACCGATATTCGATATGGGTGTTAAGTATTTTGATAACAACAGTGTAACAATATTTTTGTCTTTCACCTAAAAATGCAATCTGCATTGAACCACAAGCACAACATTAATGATATTCAAATGCAGTATGGCACGCATATTAACCTCAAATCTTGCCTTAAGTAACAGAGAGTGTGCACTTTGCGATAGAATGAGCACTTGCTGCAGTTAAAGCTTTGTGTTTTCTCATAAGGAACCACAGAAGCGAAACTGTCATTAATATATACATAAATATTTCAAAATGATTGCACATTTTTTTATATGTATAGTGCAGTGTCTCCCAAAGTGGGGTCCGCAGGGTACTGCAGGGTACTGCAGGGGGGGGCCGCGGGAGGTCATAAAAAGTATATATATATATTAGTGCTGTCCAACGATTAAAATATTTAATCGCGATTAATCGTATGAATTTCATAGTTAACTCGCGATTAATCACAAATTAGTCACCCATTTGCGTGCTGTGTGCAATTGCTTTTTTTATTGAAAACAATGTGTAGTGTTATATTACACACTAACATTTGATGCAAAATCATCAATAAATGGATGACAAAATAAATAATTGGTAACAAAAAGCCCCTTCAATGTGTGTGTGGAGTGTGTGTGTTTATGGGTGTGGGTGTGTGTGTGTATGTGTGGGTATAGACCATAGACTGTATAGAAACATCATGGTGTCATTATGATGATGATAAACAATTTTTTTGTAAATTTGTTCATGTAAATACTCTATGCTGTTTCTCTGTTTACTTTCGGTATATCTATGACTGTATACTGTTTGCTTGTATTGCCTTTTTTATTAACCCCATCTCCCACTTCATGTCCCCCCCCTCCTATGTGCCCTTCTGGGTTTCTTCTTTGGCCCCCTGTATCTCCAACTACATATTGTTTGTAATCTCTGTCTACAATGTATCTTAACTAGTCCTTTTCTTTGTGTCTATTTTTTTCTGTATATGTGTTTGTCTGCAATAAAAAGTAAAAAAAAAAAATTTTTTTTTTTTTTTAATTATAAAAAAAATTAATGGCGATAAAAAAAATGACGCCGTTAATATTGATTTGCGTTAACGCGTTAATAACGCGATATTTTGGACAGCACTAATATATATATATATATAATTATTTAATGTTAAATTTATAATGTTTTGTTTGTAATATTAAAATATTTGTGTTCATTATTTGACTTGAATAATCCACTGTAATCATTTTTGTATTACAATGTTTGTAGCAGAGGCTATTTCCCCAAAATAAAATAACCATAAGAGCCTATTCTTAATGTTGTCTTCTTGGTTATTATTTTGGGGGGCCACGCAGACCCGTCAGATTTTTAAGGGGGCCTCGGTGTTACTGAGTTTGGGAATGGCTGGTATAGTGCATGTACCAATATTGTGATGGCAGTATTTTTCTATCTATCGTGCAGCCTTAGTTGGGACTGTTCACAAAACTTAACTCAAAAGAGAAAACAAAACATCACCATACTCAAGTAAAGCCTACTGTAACGCCAACTCAATATGGATATAGAAATACCTAAACTTTAACATATTCTAAAATTATTTTAGGGTTGTTTTAATCCATGTAACATTGTTAAGATTAAAGTGATTGTCTGGAGTTTGTCAGAAAGAGAGACAGAGACGTACTTGATTTGAAAAAAACGACGCAAGCTCCCTCCCCCTTCCTTTCTGATTGGTCTACACCTACGTTTCCGTAACACTTTGAAATGTTAATCAGAGAACATCGTATACATATACATTATTAATACACATGCACGGAGGTTTTCAAAATTATTTGTGAACGTTTTAATGAAACAAAAAATGTTTTTATGCACACAAAAAAGCGATTGTGGCAAACCAGGAAGTGCTATTATCATGAATTGGACATTATAGGACACATCTGCAGAGGATCTGATTATGGATATAGGTTCAGTATATACATAAGTACCTCAGCGCGGATGTTCAGAATTCTTTGTTCAGTTTTCATGTAGTTCCAGAGCCTAATAGAGGCTCCGCAAAAACAAACAACTGCGCATGCGCGCAGCTGCGAGCATCAGCGCCGATGATTGACAGCCCTTGGCATGACTCAATTGGTTAACCTCGACGGCACCGTGGATTCTGAACTATAGCTAAGAGCAGGGAAGGCGGGACTTGCCTGTAATATTAGAATTAATAAAATGACTTATTTTATATCAACATTCAAGGCCAGGAGGTCAATTTAACACATTTCCTAAAATTTGTAATTCATTTAGAGTTACAGACTATCACTTTAACTTTGTGCAGATGCATTCTTTGGTTTGGACAGTGGGGGCGGGTCCCAGCTCAAAAGTGGCCAAAATGACGTGCGCTGACATGCTTGCAATACTACCCCGGGCCGATGGGGGTGGACCCAGAAGAAGAATCAACCAATGCTAACATATAGCATTGGCAGACCTCTCAAAAACGTCTTTACAGGATGGACCAAAAGTTTTGCTCTTGGCCCAAAGCTCCGTTCCACATGTGTGTCAATGCTGGAGGGGGTGAATTTTTTTGGACCACTCTAGTTTACTTGCTGTGAATTTTTGAAGTCTCTCGTTCAAATGAATGGAGCTGCGCCGGCTGACGCATGCACAGATGCGTTTTTTCCCAATTTTCTTGTGGGTGGGACCACTCGCGGTCATTTTGGAGAGCTCCAGTAGAGCACATTTTTTGGCCCATTAGTTAGAACGGCGGAGATAGGCGTGACTCTGTCCGTTAATATACAGTCTATGGGTTTAGATAAGGGTTTTAATTATTGTGGTCTACAATATTTGTATTGAGGCTCAATATTAGTCTGAAATTATATCATCTTGTAACAAATGGCCTGCGAAATCTATTATGCTAAAATATAATTACAAATTCAACAGAGTTTTTGTCCCATGAAGAAACCTAAAATGTTCAGCCACAAAACTGAAGTGTCTTATTTGGGCGACATTAAGCTGATATAGGTCAGAAATATAAAAATGGTCTGTGCTTGTTCTGGTGGGAGTGTGTCCGCCTTCCCTCACTGTCACCTCTGGAGTAAAGGGCTGAGCTCAGCTGCAAACAAACACAGATCTGACAGCTCCTCGCCTTCATCTGTTCTCAACTTTGTGCTGTAGACGGCGAATGTGACTGTCAAGGTAAACCGTGACAAAGCCGATGCAAAACTGTGCTGTACCAGGGAATTGTGGTGTACTGACAAAAATTGACAATGCCTGGTGCTTATGTAGGGTGTGCTCACACTTTTCAATGAGGTTGTGAGGACTATTAGTCTTCTAACTTTGAGAATATTAACCAATAACCCTCCCAAAACCAATGCACCTCCCAAAAGCCGATCGTTTTGAATGTCTGAATTCTAGCGGTCTCACTCCTATTTAAAATGTATTTATTCAAAGCCTGAATTCATATGTTTACTTGGGTCTTTTTGCTTGGGGTACAATCACTAAAATATTCAATGACCTGCTCCCTAGCACTTTATAATAATATCGAAGATGACACAACATTATTTTTCCTACGTCTTCCTACGTTTTTCCTACGTCTTTTGATTTATCTTCTTCCAATCGCTCATAAAGTTAGCACTTGATTTGGATGCAATTCTCTCCTCCCTTCTTTTCAAAGTGACACTTCAATAGACTTTGTCTTGTTCACCTGTCAGCCACGCTCATCCCTAAAATACTACAGTTTGCAGTTGAGTCACAAGTTAAACACATTGTCTGAGCACTTGCAGATTGTAATTCTCACATTCTTCAAGTCACTCCTGGAATTAAGTTCCTATGGCAACCACAATAGGTTGACAATTTATTTTATTGACATTGTATCAAGGACAAGTATAATTTGCACTGTTTGACTGGTGAGATCAATTGGCCATGTTGCTTTGCAGGTGATGGAGTACGAGAACAGAATAAGAGCCTACTCGACACCAGACAAGATTTTCCGGTACTTTGCCACTCTGAAGGTCATCAGCGAACACGGGGACTCGGAAGTCTACATGACGCCCCAAGACTTCATACGCTCCATCACTCCTAATGAGAAGCAGCCAGAGAGTGAGTTGTTTTGGGCTGGTTTCTACACCTTTAATTGTTTAGTGCATTATACACCCATTAGGACCACTTGGAGCTAAATATAAGATCCACTGCTGATCCATGTCTGTCGCATCTGGCGCCCAATGCCACTAGTGACTCTTAAACCCTGTTTTTCACTTCTTTGCTGTTAGATACAATACTGACCTTCATACTTTCAAGAGAACTATTTCTCCTAAAAAGTAATTAATAGTTGGTATAAAAACCTACTGTTCAACAAGTGATGGCAATAAAGATGAAGATGATATTTTTAGAGTTTAATATTTCTTTTTCATTTATATGCTTGCTCATTGCTAATTTTGATTTGCTGTTTTTGTTTACCTTTCGTACTACATATTCTGTGCAATGCATGACATGGGTATAGCTCAATTTGGAAGCTTAGTGGGATGCTGTAGGGTTTGTTCAGTGCTTAATTACACTGCAGCTGGTCAATATCTGCCTAAAACTGGTAATCCATGTGGAACGTGAAGGCTGGTCCAAATAGTTTGACCCAACAGCCCAGATTGGCTGTAATGTATGGGAAAAAATAGTGAAAAGAATGGTGCATTAGATTGCTTTTATGAAACTGGTTGAAATGTTGTCAATGAATCTTGGGCTTAATAAATAACTTCCAGTATATGACGGGTAATGTGCAACAATCTTATCATTGCCTGGCTGCCATAGATGTCTCACAGGTGTGCTGCCTTAGCTGTCAATATATTGATTAAATCATTTTAAATTCTTCCTTGCGTCACTTACTATCTGTATTTCTTTTAATGCATTTGGCCTTTCCGTTTAAATTATTATTAGTCTAGTTTGCTACCCATGGTTTTAAAATATATATATTCTTTTCATTTTTCGTTTTCAGACGAGAGGTGGCAAAATAATTCCTTTAGTACTTTAGGAAAATTTTAAAGTAATTACCTTTTTTGGGTAAATATGAATAGTGTGAATAGTATTTAATTCTTGAAAAAATATTGCACAAAAAATAAGTGGCAGCAGAATGCATGCGACCAATCAGACTAAAGTACTCTTTTATTTTTTCTTTTTTTTTTTTTGGAAGTACATAGTGTAACTTTTCCAAATACAAAAAACAAACCAAAGTACATACAAAAAGACTTGCATAAATGCGCCTATAAATGACATGGCAGAGATCCAAGTCTCGCATATGAATACCTCCATGAAACCAATCACTTTAATCATGAATAAAATTGGGTAGTTATAGCCAAACTAGAGCGCAGATCTTTACTGCTTGCGTGGCCCTGCATTCTTTAAAGGAATAGTTCACCGTTTTTACATACTGACATATGTTCTTACCTTACCTTAGACTAGTTAATACGTACCTGTCTGGTCTTAGTCCGTGCGCTCTGTCATGCAAACGGAGCAAAAACGGGAGCACAACCGCAGCCTCCTCTGTATATTTTGTAGCACCAAAAGGTAGCTCCCGCTAGAAGCTACCAAACTCTTCCAAGTGTTCCCTATTAAATGTATATAGTTACGTGACGTGTTACACTGCAAAGTATAGTAACACAGAAATGTAACAGTCGATTTTCTCAGCGGATAAAACGGGTACTATATTGTGAGGCGTAGTAATCTGAGGGGCGCTACGTCCGCGCACTAACTTCTCTCCGGAGACTTCTCTGTCGCTCAATTCCGTCAATAGTAGCAGCGTGACTTGTAATACACACAGTAGCAGCGAGAGAGAAGTCTCCGGAGAGAAGTTAGTGCGCAGAGAAGTTAGGAGCGCTACGTCCGCGCACTAACTTCTCTCCGGAGACTTCTCTCTCGCTGCTACTGTGTGTATTACAAGTCACGCTGCTTCTATTGACGGAAGTGAGCGAGAGAGAAGTCTCCGGAGAGAAGTTAGTGCGCGGACGTAGCGCCCCTCAGATTACTACGCCTCACAATATAGTACCCGTTTTATCCGCTGAGAAAATCGACTGTTACATTTCTGTGTTACTATACTTTGCAGTGTAACACGTCACGTAACTATATACATTTAATAGGGAACACTTGGAAGAGTTTGGTAGCTTCTAGCGGGAGCTACCTTTTGGTGCTACAAAATATACAGAGGAGGCTGCGGTTGTGCTCCCGTTTTTGCTCCGTTTGCATGACAGAGCGCACGGACTAAGACCAGACAGGTACGTATTAACTAGTCTAAGGTAAGGTAAGAACATATGTCAGTATGTAAAAACGGTGAACTATTCCTTTAAAAGCAAGCTGGAGGAGAGGGAGGGGAGAGTCCCGCTGAAGTAAAGAAATCACGACACAGGAGTTGGTGTATCAATTAACACGTCCAAACTGGTGCGGATCACACGCTGCCTCTCTGTGCGACATGTGATCCCAGCACGACAGGATGACTGGGATGGCTCAGGCTTTAGGCTGGCATAGTGTGCACCAGCTGTGGCTAACGATAAAACACAGGAATTTTTCTCTGACATTTTCTTTTAGCCTTGATTATTCACAGTATTAACTTCTGTCCACTCTTGGTTTAGCCCTGGTTTAGCCCTGGTTTAGCCCTGGTTTAGCCCTGGTTTAGCCCTGGTTTAGCCCTGGTTTAGCCCTGGATTAGTCCTGGATTAGTCCTGGATTAGTCCTGGATTAGTCCTGGATTAGTCCTGGTTTAGCCCTGGTTTAGCCCTGGTTTAGCCCTGGTTTAGCCCTGGATTAGTCCTGGTTTAGTCCTGGATTAGTCCTGGATTAGTCCTGTTCTATTAGACTTTGTGTGATCAATTTCTGTGGGAACAATTTTGATACGGCCTAAACGTACTTTAAATGGAGACATGTTATATATAACTCATGCTGAAACTCAGAGCCTCCACCAGAGCCTCAGTCAGTGGGGACTGTGTGCTTCCAAAGCTCAGAACATCTTTTGGACAATCCAGCTTCTCCTTTAGGGGGTTTAAACTGTGGAACTCTCTCTCCACCAGACTAAAACTACAGACTAACATGACCATCTTCAGCAGAGAGCTCAAACAGTGGTTAAGATCCAGACAGACTTGTTCTCATGTGAAAATTGTATTGTAATTCTTTTTAAATGTATTTTATATTCTGTAATGTAAAAGCCCCCTGTGGACTCGTGTTGAAAATTAGCGCCTGTGCTATAACACTTACAGCAATACATCTGGTTCGTCCAATGTTATTGTTATGTCCATATTAAATAAATAATACATAATAATATAATCCATCCTCACTAATATCAGGAACTTCTGGCACAAACATGTAACTCCCTTCTGTCTAAATGCTCCTATCAAACCTGCATTTATCCCTATTACATCACACCCAGAGTTTTAAAAGTTTAACTTTTAAATACAAAAGTTATATAGTCCTGACTTTCTATGGTTGTGCTATTGTCCAAGGCTGGTTGTTTACAGTAGTTGATTGTTTAGTCCTATAGTTTCATTTTTGATACAGCCTTTAGGTATTAGAAAAATAAAAGGTCATAATAATAATAATTATTTGTGTTGCACTTTTAAAAACAATGTTTACAAAATCCTGCACAGTCAGCATGATCATAAAACAGTCATAATACAAAGTCAAAATAATTACATACAATAGATACAGGAAAACAAAGGAGACAGAGCAAAACACAATAAGAGAGACACAACAAAGACAAAGCAGACATTAAAATACAGCATGTGAAGTTTAAAACTAACAGTTAAAAGCTGTTCGATAAAAGTGGGTTTTATGAAGTGATTTAAAAGAGGATACGGATAGTGCTAGCCTTAGTCATGTGTCTGGTCAGCTGTACCTTTCTTGTGTATTTTGCCTTCCCCATTCTAGTGTTCTGTAATGGAAACATTCAATTTAAATCTTAAAATCATAGTATTTGTGAGTCGACTTTTCCTTTCAGACAAATGTCACAATGACCAGCACTTGTCTGGAAATGTCTTGTTTATTTTCCTACTTTAACCAGTAGAATCTGTAACAATAATCAACTTGATATGAAAAATGAACGGCTTTAAACACAAATGCAGTAAATGTAAGCTGTTTACTACGTCAAAAGCAAACAACAACAGTCTTATCTACTCGTACTAATGTGTCTTTTTTATAATTTATGGAGCTTCTTGCTAATCGTTGTTTATCATAATAAATGGCAAACGGGAAATGAGTTGCTAATAGCCATTATCAGTCTTTAGCGCTCTTAATTTGATTAGCGGTGATCCAGTTATAATTTATAATAAGCAACAACTTATTTTTGTGACACAGTTTGGTCTTGTTTTTCAGACCTGGGCCTGGATCAATTCACTGTTAAGCGCTATGACGGAAAGGTAAGAAATGCAAAGCTTTGACCTCTGATTTCAATGTATTCTTCTATCTGTGAGGCCAAATTTGATAATCCAGAATGGATAATGAATATATTTATTGAATAATTGCTGTCACAGGTTCGTGAAATAAACAAATGCTCAGTTTACCAAAGCTAATTAACTTTTCCTCATGGCACCATTCTGCATATCTCCAAGCAACTATTTTCCAGTGCTGCACTTTAGAGCTTATTCCACAGAACCGAATGGGTAAAGTTAATGGAGAATAGAACAATCAATATTCATCAATATTTACAAAACCAAATCCCAAAAAACACAATCATGGTTCAACAAAAGATTATTTCTCACAATAAATATAATTCACTTTAATCAAAACCCAATTCCGTTTCGTTTTATATCAGTACATTCAGTGTATTTGTGACCAAAGTCTCTATGATACCAAAACCACTCATTTATGCAATCAAACACATTTATTCAGTTCAATCACAAGGGTGTTTCGCCTTCATTATGCCACCAGTCTAGATGTTAGAGCTACTGATGAGCCATATTAGCCTGGCTTCTAATTACGGCAGCATTTAAAAGTGTTGAATCAGTAATGAAATGCTTTCTAACTTGATGAAAATTCAGTTGATCACGCGGCAGAGATGTGAACTTTCGTAAATAGTTCTTTGTCACAATTTCATATTTTTATTTGGTTAATTTTTTACAAAAAAACAAGCATGAATTATTCAAAATTATTGGCATGACCAAACAATAGTTAATCTAACAAATAATTTAGCACATTACTATTCCTCCAACTTTATGAACTCAAACTTTCTGAGTTATGTTTTCATAGGATATAAACTGCCAGAAGGCACTCACGACTTTATTTTGCCTTGTTTTTTTAATTTTCATCACTTTCCGCTTTGAGCTGAATAATCACCTATAACCAAATAATCTTGACATTTGCATTTTGTAGCCTACATTGTGCCTCCGGCAAAACATGTAAAATCTTTAAACTTGAGTCATGGGTTTAAATAGTTTTACGTGATTCTCAATTTCTATTTAAATATACGTTCAAATGTTATTTTACAGGTGCACAATTTTATAGTTGATAAAAACACATTTAAACAAGAATATATTTAAGTGCACTTACTTAATATACATAGTTAACTTGCATGAGTAAACTATAGTACCATTTGGTTGTAATGACTCAAGCTAGTCAAAGCACACTGGTGAAAAGAGTATTGGCATCGATCATTTGATTATGTAAATTATTTCTGCATGCGCCTGGTTCTTATATTTGCCTGTTAAATCTGGTCCCATGACTTTGGGATGACATATTCAGCTTTGGTTGCCCCCTGATATTTCGTGGTTATAGTCAGGGCTGCCTCCTCTGCCTCCCAGCCCATTTTATTTGCCTAGAGACACGTGCCTTTTTCTCATTGGCTTAATGGGCACCTCTAGGTAGTTGGAGCAAGGAAAAAGCCCTCGATGTCTTCTGCCAAGACAGCATGAAATCCAGTTCACTTTAAGCTGCAGTGAGTTAGAGGCACATGGAGCCCTATACTGCAATATAATGTAGCGTCTGTAAATCATTTTGAGCTGATGGACGCAGTGCAGTGGGGGGCCGCTTGTGAACTAAAAGCGTAGGTCAATGGCTGAATATACTAAGCCTTATTTGTAACATGAGATGAACAGATCACCACCCTCTACCATGTTTTTAAATAGCTCATCGAGACAAGCTATTTGTCACCTGGCATCGTGTTTGGCTGCAGTCTAACAGCATATGTGTCCTAAAGCCCTAACGGGCCTGTCCCTGCACGCTCTCACCTGCTTACTCTAATCTTTTCTTTAAATGAAAGCCCAAAGTAAAGTTCTATTCAAACATTTTTATACATACTTAAGAGAAAGAGGGAGAGAGGTCTTTGGAAAGAGGCTTCAGCCTTTTGCGCTTAAAATGTTTTGTGCATAATTACCCAGTGTGCTATAGAGACAACCATTTCAAGATACTGAAGGGTACACTTAAATAATTGACAAAAAAATAAAGCACTAGATCCACAATTTTTAAAGTGAGTTATTTAGAAGAATAACAGCTTGGGACGAAGCGGTTTGCATGTGTCGGGATGTCCTGCATTTCAATGAACAATATCTCCTCCCAGAGGGAAGAAGCTGGAACATGGCTTTACCAGGGTGGCCTGAAGAAATCCTTTGAAGAGCTCTATTTAAGTCTGGCTTTATAAATGTCACAGTCCTTTTACCAGAGCATGAATGCAATGTGTCAAAATCAATGAAATATACATTTACATAGATGTAACTGTCATACATAAACACATTATGCAGCCACTCAAATACCCATGTGTATGTTGCTATATATGTATTATCCATATAACTGTTTCTATCCTGTATTCATTTAGTGAAATTTAATGATTCAGATTGTGTACAGTTTAATTCACTTTTTGCTGTGTTATGTTTGCTCTCACTATATTGGTTTAATATGCTTTCAGATGCCGTGAAAACTTACATGTCAATGTTATTACATGTGTGGCCATTTTTAATTGTACCCAGTAATCCCCCGCCATGTTCTCTCTCTCTCCCCTGTTTCTCGTGAATAACCATCATGGGCATCTCCCTCCACTTTTCCCTGTGTCCTCCCCAACCATTCCCACAATCTCCCCTTCTGCAGGACTTCTGGCAGGTATGGGGTGTATGCTGGGCAGCATGTTAGCACCTGAATGATTATAAAACTGCACCTTGTACTCACTGTACCCTCGACTACTACCTCTACTTTTGTTTCTCATTTCTCTGTTTACCCTTTCAGTCCTCCATACTAATGTAAGGGGGCCAATTCACTGCAGTTAGTCCAGGGGAACAGCAAAGTCGACTACCTTAGCTTCAGCATTTGAATTTAAGCCATAATCTAATTAAAAATCCACTATACAAAAAATTGTTAAGGCTGTGCAACATCTACCAACTGTAATATCTGTAACATTATTCTATTCACGCTTGTTTTATGTTTTAACCTCCACTTTGAAGGGCAGTTCCTTTCCTTAAAAAAAAAATGCTGCCAGTCGGATCACCTCCAAAATTGTTGTTATTTAGGCCACAATTGTTGATGTTTCTTTTTTTGTCCAAATCCTCCCACCTCTTTTTGAGCTATGTCGCTCCCAGACAAACGTTGGTGATCACTTTACCTCCTGGGTGTTGATAAATATGCAATGTACCTATTATTATTTATTTATTTTACTGTTAGATGTTCAATCAATCAAACTTTATTTATAAAGTGCTTTTCATACAATAAAATGCAACACAAAGTGCTTTAAAGCTGAGTCAAAATCAATACAACATGGCCAATAAACCCCAAAGACCCACCCATAAACCACCCTAATTAATAGAAATACATCGAGATGCATATACCGGTACACACAGACACAGACACACACACAGAGACACACACACACAGAGACAAATAAAAAACACAACAGACAGGTAAAATAGGTAAAACTATGAAAAGATTTAGGGCTGGGTGCAGATGTATCCAGCTGAAGAGGCGCCATCCAGGGAGCCATCCGCACCGGGAGCAGAGAGCCGCTTGCAACCACAGGGGACGACACAGCACCCAGAGGAGAGAGGGGCCCCAGACCTCCCACCAAGTCCTCGTAGGATCCGGAGGAGAGAGGAGACCCCAGACTCCTACCAGATCCAAAAGCCAGACCCCCGCAGCCACAGCAGACCGCCGCTCCCAGTGCAGACGGCTCCTCCAGAGGAAACACTGGGGATACTAAAACAATACAATAAAGAGTAAACAGCTACCTAAAATTAACAATAGTAAGAGTAAAACGGCTACCTAAAATTAATAAGAGTAAAACAGCTACCTAAAATTAACAATAGTAAGAGTAAAACAGCTACCTAAAATCAAGTGACAAAACAGAATACATCAAATTAAATAAATAAATAAATAAGAACCAAAATAAGATCTGTCTAAAACATAATAAATACTAATCAAAAGCTAATCTAAAAAGGTGTGTCTTGAGCCTGCTTTTAAAAATATGAACGTTCTCTGCGGCCCTGAGCTTCTCAGGCAGACTGTTCCAGAGACGGGGGCCGTAGTGCTGGAAAGATGCCTCGCCGTGAGTGTGTGTCCTGACTTTGGGGATGGTTAGGAGTCTGCTGCCGGAGGAGCGCAGGGGCCGGGAAGGTTCATAGGATAAAAGAAAATCTGAAAGATAAGAAGGCCCAAGACCATTAAGACATTTAAAAACCATTAAAAGAACCTTAAAATCGATCCTGAAAAACGCGGGGAGCCAATGCAGCGATTTTAAAACCGGTGTAATATGTCATGTTCTGCCAAACACTATTGTTGCTCCTTTGCCATGTTTCCATTGTCATTAAGCTGTGTATGGCATGGCACATGATTTGTAAACTAAATATTGCACTTCTGCATTTGTTTTCATTCGCTTACAGTATATACTACAGCTATGCTTCTTCCTGAAATGTTTTTAAGATTATTTAGTCATATAGCCTTCAGTGATTTACTTTAATACCATAAAACAGTTGTGTTAAAGTATGTACATAAAGAACACACTATAGTCTTTATAGGTTTTATCTAGTGACGAGTCCAACTGTATCAAAGGGCAGGTTGTAGCTGTGTGTGTACTTTAATGGGAGCTGCCTATGTACACACACGCACACACACACACCCTATGCTGCTTTGTGTGTTTAAAATATGCAAACTCATTCTGTTGCTACTGGACCCGCTGCGCCCTTTGAATACGAGTGGTGGACAGATGCAGATGCTTGCCTTGCCTTTGCTGCTAAATTATTAACAGTGAATACAGGTATTATTAAATGATACTGCAGCACTGCTACATAATTTACAGAGTTAGTTTGGTGTCTTAAAGTGAACATCCCTGCATACAAACCTGCAAAGCTGAGTTTTTAATTTGTGTTATTAAACCTTGCATTGGGTATCCTAAAATCGCAGTGCTGTTCCCCTGTCTCCCCTTTTTACTTTACATAACTCTCTTCATCTTTTCATGCAAGGTAAATCAGCTGAAGCTTTCCTCACACTTTGGCTCTTCTGTTTCCTCCCAGCATGCTCTGCTCTATGCCTGTGTCTAACTGAAACTGAGCTGGTTGGGCACCCCTCTGTGCATGGTGGCATTCAGGGTGGTGTGTAGGGCTGCACGGTTTTGATAGAATATCAAATTACAATTTTTTTTGTATTTTTTCATTGCTTGGCATTGCAATTTTGCAATTGTATTTTAGCTTTAAAAGCAAAAATTCTATCAAATTTTAACTTTTGACACTTCTTACACTTTTACAATTTATAACTGTACTTGTTTGAAATACTGTGTATACCCTTGAGAATCAATTAAGTTTGTCTCAGGCTATGAACCATTGTTTAGATGTTTAAATTATAGTACACCATATTTACCAGGTTTCTTCTGTAATGAAAATCAGACATTGCAAAACATTTAAAATATTGAGTACATTTTTGAATTACTTTTTTTTGCCTTGGTTTTTGAACATGTATTTTTTATTGTATTTTAACAGGTTTTTTATTGTCTTAAAGTTAAGTGACTTCATAGTTAAATAAATGCGTAAAAAATGTGGCAAAAGAATAAATTATCTAATTTAAGAGGTTATATTTTTCCCATTATGCCAGGTGTTTTCTTCACAAATAACTTAACAATTACAGTCCTTGCTTATTGCGTCCACCAAAATTGCGATTTTGATTTGATTGCGATTAATCGTGCAGCTCTAGAGGTTTGATTTGGAAATGGGGCTCTTGTTAGCTGAAGTAAAGGCTGCGATGTGCTTGAGAGCCACTCCATCCTCTGGGTTGTTGAGACGTCAGTGCTGCATGATCTCTGTAGAGCATGGTTCAGCACAACTTCAGGCTGGGTTTGATCTTTACTTTCTGTTTCCTGTTGCCAAGAGTGTAGCGTCACGGGAGCAGCTTTGACAGACGGCACAAGGAGGCCACTTTACACTAACTGTTGTCATGTTCACTCTTTTCTCTATTTCACAGGAAACTTTCACAGCTGCTGTTCGGACTAGCACCCTTGTTTTTCACTGTCACTCACGAAAGGTTGTGTTCACGTGACGCATTGTAGAGTCCAATGGATTGAAACCGATATTTAACGATGAGTACATATACAAAGCATGATAATACATTTCCAGAATAAAACAGACTATTCGGCTTTACTTTCAGACTGATATGATCCCGTCAGCCTCACACTTAACTCGGATTGCACGGGTTTACACTCAATTGAGTTAAATTGATGTGGGTGATGTATCAGGTTTTCACTAGTGCTTTGGAAACTCACTAATACATAGTGGGTTAATCTGTGCTAATTGGACTGTTGCCATGGTACCAAAATAAAGCACAGATTGTAGTGCAACCACTGTCAACACAAAAGTAACCTGATTAAAAAGCTTGGTGGACTGATCTATGCTCTAAGTTTTATCAGTAAATTGAACGTGAGCACAACTAAAGTCCTAATTTTTTTGTCTTCTATTCTTTTTTGTCGTCTAAATCCAGCTTTCACAACAGGTCATCTCTGTAATTCTCTCAAGTTGTTGTGTCTCTGCATTCGGTCAGCTAATTCTGTGCACCTCCTTGTTTATTAGGTGGTCATCCTTTCTGACCAGTTCTTGTTTATTAAACGTTCAACAGTCCTTATTTTGAATGTATTCCCTGAATAATTAGTCATTATTAACCGTACACCTGCTCCATGGTTACCTGTGGGACTAAAGCTGGTAAGCAAAGCCAGCGCATTAGTTTTCCTCCTCCTACACACATGCCTACACACCTCCAAAAGTGGCTGAAAGTGTTTGCCGCTGACCTTGTAATTGTGTTAGCCATTAGGAAAGCTAGGTGCTCACAACAAAAGGCGGCCTTAGTGACAGTTGTTTGTTGTTTGTAATTTTTTGTTCTATATAATACTGTAATTTTAATTACACGTTTGATTGTGGTTGAGAAGTATGTGTTATATGTCCCCTTCATTGTCCCTATAGGAAAATGTGTCCTTTGCATTTGACCCATCATGCAACGCACTAGGGCCTCACTCTGGAGCAGTGGTTGCTCCAATGCAGTTGCCATCTCCAGATGCCCTGAGGCATAAATCAGCCTTGTTGTATTTGTTGGAATACAACATCATCAGTAGGGTAAAACTAACCTGTCTCACAACGGTTTGCGGCTTATAGCGAAATTGGTTAGGACGACCATAACTGCAAGATTACACTAATGGTGCATGTTTTGGGTAACCTGATGCATTAGTCGGTTTCATTTCGCCATCACAACCTTATGTTTCATTTCATCCACAGTGGACAGGTGCCTTTTTGCTTTAACCAATCTAATGAAGTTTGGTCGAATGTAGGAAGCAAGACAATGTTTTTTTCTCGGATAACGTTCTGGAAAGATACTTCTTTGTTCTGGCTGGCCTAAAATCTTTGTCTACATCAATCGAGGCTGATCTATACTTGCTGATTCTTGGAGCTTTGAGTAGTACATAGTGAGACGGGATGATTTTGTGACGAGTTGGCCCAGACTATCTTAAACCTTTAATTTATACTTAGACTAATGAATCTTTGTGCATTATATATTGATTATATACAGTGCATTAATCAATACATAAATGTTAATTTAAATATGTAGGCATCTTGGTGTTCAGACAGAAATGTCCCTGGCTGTTCACAAAGTCAGCCTTGTACTTAAGTTGAGTTGGCCGGAAGCATGTCTTTCAAAATGTTCTGCAGACTTTTATTCATTGTGCTTGCCAAAGTGACAGTAACCCTAGAGCTAGCTCATCACCGGGACACTGCGGACACCAAGGTAGCGATCTATTTTTTATGTATTTATGTCGTCAATCCTGTTTTCCCTCACCCTAATAGTAGTAGATGTAGTAGTACTGTACTACTGTAGTAGTACTGTACTGCTGCAGTATTAATCACCCATACAACATATATATAAAACTATATGAATGAAGCCTTTTTAAAGTAATGGGTGACAACTTTTTATCATAAAACTGTCGCCCCCTTTCCAAGTGATTTTTATTTTATTTTTTCTAAATGGACTTATGAAGGCATGTTGAGACACAGTTGTTGGTTTCTTTCATTCTTTATCTAAAGCCGCAGTGGTGTTATCCTTTTATCCTCAACGTCAGTGTTTCTGTTGAGGCTCAGGGCGTGTGCTGCAGCAGCGTTGGATCGGGTCAGATCGAATCAATAAGAAAACACTGCAGCCAATACAGCTGCTTATAATCAAGGCCAAGTCTGGGCTGCTCTCCCGTGTGCAAAGCCTTTTTTGAGTTGTAATATTTTGAAGTGATTTTTGCTATTGTTTGACACAATAGACTGAAGCTACAGAAACACAATGTACTATTTCCAATTCTTTAAAGTACAAAACAACAAAAAGAGAAGAACACAGAACAAAAGGCTTTTTTCCTCTTTATTTTAAATATATAGTGTTCAATCATGTTAATCAATCAATTCAAGGGTAAACATTTTTTCCAGTGAGCCAAAAACGCATAATTTCGGTTCTTGCAATGCAACAAAGGATCTACATCTAATCTTGTTATTTTAGTCAGTGGATTTGTGTCCATTTTGCCAATTTTAATGTGAAATTTGGCTTCAAGTCCCGGTCTGCCTTCAGCATGTTCATGTCGTTAGCTATGCTTGACTCTTTGGCCTCATTTATTGGACTTTGCCCTGTTCAAATTTCGTTACTGCTCCTTGAGGCGAACTGAAGCCCTGCAGCTTAGAGTGAAATGACCCTGACTGAAGTTTTCCTGTTGTATCTTTCCGTTGCAGCTTCATGTTTCTGCCTCACAACTTGCAGTTCTGTCATGTGAAGGAAAAGGCCATTGGTGAAGTGTAGCTGCAAATATGGACTAACATATGAACAAGCCCTGGGCATATTTTTAATAAGACTTGTTCATATATACTTGGTCAGGCACGCAGATGACACTGTTAATGAGACACGGAAAGGCAGGATACTAATTATATGTAGCGACAATTTTGTTTCACTGGGGACAGAAATGTTAGCTACTAATACAGGATTGTGGAAGAAAATTATTTTAGATTAGATCAAATTAGTAAATGTGATCAATTTAAGGACTAGAATCAACACGATAGGAACTGTAAAATGATTTGGAAGAAAGAGGGCATACTAATCATTGTATACATTTATTTAAAACAATAAAGGCATATACAGATTTACAGTGATTTACTTATACATACCGTTTAATCCTGGATTTAAGCATTATTCCAGTAGAAGACTGTCCCACATGTTCCAAAAGACAGGTTCCTGCTTTGGGAAAATGTGTTTACTTATTATATTTGAAAGGGACAGCTATAACCACTTTGCCACTACAATATTTTACCTTTTCCGCTCTCTGAAGAATACGCCTAATATTTTTATTGGATACTTTTTAAATCTCATGTTCCTCTCTCTTCACTTCAACAGTGAATCGTGACTGGGCCAGAGAGACTCAAGCCCAGCTTGATTCTTGATGCGTGATGCGTGGTCGTCGTCACTGCCCTTTTGTGCGGCCGTCTTTCATGATCTGATTAGTTTCTGGAGATGTAATTTTTTACCATACATCACAATAATTCAACTTTAAGAGTTTTCCGTCAGTGCCAGCCTTGACCTTTTCTCTATTGAAGACAGCGCTTTTGTTTGCGCGGGGTTTGATGGCATTGTTATCCGGCAATGTAATATAAGCTGACAGAGCTGCGTAGCGTTTTTGTTTTGTATTGCTGTAAATTTCTTCACTGACAGATGCCGCTGTCTGCTGCATTGAAATCTTTTTGTTCAAGTTTTGGAGATGAACAGCTTTAGAATGAACAGTAAGAAAATATATTTGGGAGTACATGTAAGCAGAAAAAGATTTATGTTCTCAGGTTTCTATCTTTTTGTTTTAGTGCTAATTACAGCCACATCATGTTCTGTATAATGGAAGCCGTGGGCTGATTTTGTCCCTGACTTTGGATATTGTAAAATAATTACTATTCTTACTTTGCCCAGGGCACATTTCTGATCATTCTAATAAGCCCAGTTTGTCTCTCATGTTAGTGGGTGTGTAGGCATGTGTGGTCCCTTGTATTTCACCAGTTAAAAGGCCCTCCGTGTCTTTTTAATGTTTCATCTAAGACCTTTAATTATTCCTAGTTTTAGTTGTGAGTGCAGTGGACGACACCAACCCCTTCTTCCTAAATTTCTTTTATTTCACCCTCTGTTATCTCGTCCCTATTTTCAGCTTCTAAATAACTTCATTCTTCACTTGCATGTTGACAACATTGTATTAGTCACAGCATGTCACTGCCTTTATTTAAAACGTATCTGGAGAAGAGAGTTAGTTTTTAAGAAGAATGGATTAAGGAGAATGCCACGACGATCTAAAACATGTTGATATTTTTGATTAGTGTTGCATGGCGTTCTCCTTAAAATGCTGTTATGTTTTGGATTGTCACTGTTTACACTTGCACCTGTGTGTCTTTGTTGTTCAAGGCCCTGCTACAGTTCAGCAGAGGCAGCACAGTTTTTCTAACAGTTGTTTGTCCTTCTTCTTACCTGAAATGGACCCTTTTCAGACGGAGGTAACTTCACGTGGGCTTTTTCAACCAAGCCCCTCCCACAACCACCTCCACCACTCAAAAAAAAGCATGCTCTGTCCAACTCTGTCCACTCTCTCTTTCAAGGACATTGTCTATAACTGTTTAGGATGCACGCTTTTTACATTTACTTCATGCAATGCTGTCTCTACACATGTTAACAGAAAAATGTCATAACTGTTGGGTTAATTAGAATGTGTGTCTATGTGTGCTAGCATTCGTTGCGTCCGTGTCTTTGTCGTCGTCTGTGAGTATACCGTCTGTGGTGGAAAAACACATGTTCACCAACTGAACAAAATACTTCTATATTATTCTTTCATGTGTATGCAGCATTTTGCATGAATTTGAATGTGCTAGATGGTTTTCCGCATCATTATTGTCTATTTTTAATGTTTGTGGAAGTTCATGTCTTTCTCTAAACACACCACTACACCTGGGGCAGCTGTTGGATACTGTAAAAGCTGATCCTGGAAAACTATTTTAATCCATATGTTTTGTTCTTTTTTTCCCCTCGACCTGGATGAGCAGAAAATAGCCCAAGAAAGAGAGAGGTTTGCAGATGAGGACAGCATTTTTTACACACTGGGGGAATGTGGCCTTATCTCCTTCTCAGACTACATTTTTCTCACCACTGTTCTGTCCAGTAAGTACTTTTATCTTAAATTCTTCTTTAAAATGTACCCTGAAGTTTAAAAAAACAATTTTCTATCTCCAGTTCCATAAAACGATAAAAAAACCACTTCTTAGATTTTGTAAAGTCATGGTAAGTTTAGTAGACCCGGATGGAAAGCGTGTCCTCTGCACTCGGATCCAGACTTCAAAGACTCTGGGGCCACATGTGGTGTACTGCCCAGGGACTAGAAAAAAGTTGGAAAAAATATCACAGACTGATAATGATCAATGCTCACATAACAACTATATACTTGATAAAAACATTTTAGTTGATTTTTTTGTCTTTATCAAAACATTGCTATTTTATGTTTATTTGTACAAGATGATACCACTTTGATAATGATATAGTTAACTTTCAATTCTGTTCTAGTATTCATGATCAGTACGCCTTCTGTGCATTTCTCTTATTTTAGGTCATTTCTAAGACAGGGTGGCCAAGTTGTGGTTGGACTCTAAAATCAAGGAACCTGCAAATATGTTATTTTTAATGTTTTTTTACCATAACCAAATAACACTCTAAGAAAGAAATGACCCAAGTACATATAGCTTTGCATTTTGGGGACTTAATCATAACTCAACTGTGTGAATATCAATCGATGTAGAACAACAAAGTTTCCTTTTAACTTTTGAAAACTTATTTGAATAGGTCGGGGCTTGGTAGTTGGAATTAATGCCTGTTTTCTGAATGCGTCAGGCTTGGTGATAAAAATATAGCTCTGATGCTCTCCACTGGCTAGTAAACTTTATCCTCAGCTTAGCGCCCCCATTTATTATAATCCGTTCATATGGATAAAGTCTCAAGGGAAATCTTCAAGGACAAGTCATTTTTAAGCAGACGAGACAGGATGCCTTATGTTGGGTTCCAATTTATTTAGCATAAAGAGCAAAACAGACACGTATTCGCCCTGTAACAGATGAACATCCCTACTGTGACACAAATGGGATTTTAAAGAGGGAAATATTGGCCTGTGGAAAATTATGCACCTTCAAGTGAATAGAGTAAACACGATTGTGTGTCCTAAAGCCTTTAGTGCAATCTCCCTCGATGGAAAATGTGTTTGTGAGGAAATGGTATTGTATGGAAAGAAACAACACTTAGTAACGATAAACCTAAATGAAAGATAAATATTCTAGTGCCTAGATTGCACATTTTATTATTTAATTTATACAATTTTATTCCTGAACAAATGTAATCTTTGTAAAACAGCTAACTATGAACGTGATTGTCTTGTGTAGGGCTGTAATAAGTTAATCAAGAGGGTACTGAGTTACTGGTGGCTCTCGGGCCACAGGTTGGTGACCCTTGCAATATCCTATTCACTGACCTTTCAGGGTCTAAAGCATTCGATTAATCAAAAGAATAATTGGCCAAGTAATTGAATGCAACCCCAGTATTTTGTTCTTAGCGCCTTAAACCTCTCCACCAAATCTATAACCCCTGCCACCATCTCCTTCATCACAAACTGCATCTCTGCAATAAAATCTTGGATGTCCACCAATTTCCTCAAACTCACACTCACTCACTACAAAAAAATCTGAAATACTTATTGTTGGCCCCAAATCCCTCCTTTCCAACACCCAGAACGTCATACTCTCCAAGCACCAAACCTTGGGGGACCTAGCACTCTCCGGAACTCTCTCCCCCTCACCTCAGAGACTCAGACTCACCTCCAAGTTGAAGGAGTTTTTTACTCAAACAGCTAAAAACAGTTAAAAACTCTCCTCTTCTTCCAAGCATACAACTCTTAGTTTCAGCATTGCACTCTTCTTTCCTGCTTTTAGATATTTAGTTTTGTGTCTCCTGTCCTGAATTTTGAAGCATCTTTGAGTTTTTGAAAAGCGCCGTATAAAACGTATTATTATTATTAACTTTGTAAACTGCATGTCTTGACAGCAATAATAAATATTTATTGTTTATAGTTGTTCCACTTTCTTTGGCAAAGTCCAACATTTTCATGTGTATTATGAAGAGTAGTTTATGCATGACTTTCTAAGAATTGGAGTGAATATAAATGGATGATTCAGTGAAGTGAGTAGCAGTTGTTAAACGTGTCGCTGTCTAGATACTCCGAGGTTGTGAAGTGATGAGTGAATCAGTATTTGTCACTGTCAGCGACTGTAGTTTGTGCAGTGAGACACGGCTCAATCTATGACACATTGATTTAACAGCGTAGTCTCTGTATCTGTCCGTCCTGTGTCCTCTGCAGCTCCCCAGAGGAACTTTGAGATCGCCTTCAAGATGTTCGACCTCAACGGTGACGGAGAGGTGGACCTGGAGGAGTTTGAGCAGGTTAAAACCACAGTCACATCCTGTTTTGATTCTATTCAGTCTCACAATGAAAACAATTTCAGTGTATGGATAGTTGGAGGAAGTGTGCGTGGATAGGGAAGTCTAGTTTCTGCTCAGCTGCCCGCACCACCCGGCATCAGATAAAGCAAAAGAAAATTGAATGGAAACGTTACAATATACAGATTTTTGTTTCTTTGAAATGATGGCAGAAATGTCTTGTTGTTTTTAAATTCATGTCCAAACATACAGTTGTAATATTTATACAAAACCAGTGAAACCATTAGACATGTTTTCTTTCTGTGGTGTGTGTGGTGCAGGTGCAGAGTATAATCCGCTCTCAGACCAGTATGGGCATGAGGCACCGTGACCGCTCCACCACAGGAAACACCCTGAAGACGGCCGGCTGCAGCTCGGCACTCACCACATACTTCTTTGGAGAAGATTTAAAAGGCAAACTTACAATCGGGAGCTTCCTGGAGTTTCAGAGGAAACTGCAGCATGATGTTCTCAAACTTGAGGTTAGAAATCTCTTCTATATTTTTTTCGCAATAGTTTATTAAACAGTCATTCTTGGTGCTTTTTTGTTCTGACAAAGATCCTAGTTTATGAAAATTACTTTTGCTCTTGTAAATCACTTCTGTTTCCCTGTCTCCATCAAAGTAAGTGACAAATGCAGAGAATACATTTTCATATTGGAACAAGAAATATTTTTGTTCCTCTGTTATCTAGGGACTGGGCAATAATGGTTTTCTGTAGCCAGTGCCATTTTTTTATTGAATGGCCACAAACAAACAGGGTTGTTGCCAATGCTGATGCACTGGTTAGCAAAGGATGCGTTTCATGCATTTATAGATATTGATGGAAATACTCAGATTTTAAATTGAAGGACTTTTATTGAAAATGGGTTTGGATATTATTTTTTTGTAGATTGACAAATGGCACAGTTACAGTCTGCTTGGATTGAGATAGAACTGCATTTTAGACTGACTTTAGTAAAATAAAATGTGTCTGTTTTCCTTGTTTTCTTGAGAACTTAAGCTTTAAAATGAGGTATAAAGTTATTTGGTTCTTCTATACCAGACAATTGTACAATAGCGATGTTAGGCATCAAACTCTTCCGATGACGAATATGACGTATATGAAGTATACCGTCAAAACATGTCAAGGTAATATCTTACAGTCAGGTATAGAAGTACAACATGTACAACATGCACAGCATGCCATAGATGCATGACATGTTGTACAATCGGCCAGATGAGAAGTTCAAGCCAATAGCCAAAATTCAAACTCAAAAACATCGGCCCAATATATAGACCAACCAACAATCTCTACTTTAAAGGCTGCACACTTTTGTCGAGTCAGTCATTTTAATTAGATGTATTTGTATTATCAACTTCTGTTGTGTCATACAAGACATTTCAAAACATCAGCAAATTTGCTTTTTCAATTGAATGAGAAGGGGAAATTCCCATTGAATGAGAAGGATAATGTGTAATACATCAATTAAAAAGCCAGAATAACAATGAGATCAGTGTCAATAAATCCCAGAGGTTTTGTCTGACTCATGCTTTGAGTCTTTTCTGTCACCTCCTGTCACTGTCATAGTGTTGTGGCCAGACTCACACTCCCTCAGCTCTTCATTTAAAAGCAACTGTTAGTGAAGTCATTAACATTCACAGGGCTAACTTATACTCGCTGCTCTAAGAATAGACCTGCGTCTGCACATGTGGCATCTACATTCTGTTCATAAGGATGGCCCCATGATCAGAGCATTTAATCAGCTAGCTAAAGATAAACTTGACACTGTTTAAAATAAATGAAGCTATTTTTTCATATCTGTCGCACTCCTGTCCTTTTATTGCTGCACTCCCGGCAGTTTTTATTTCAGGCGAAGAAATGTTTTGATGTTGGTCCTTCTTCTCATCGCTTCTGGATATGACAAGCTAAATGTCATGCAAATGATGCAGTTTATTTATTTACTGTAATTAAGTTGTAGAAACGATACCACATGATCGAGCTCAGTGGAACTCAGGACTCCAAAAGGATAAGCACTCTAAAGATTTTGTCTTTTGAGTGCTTGTCCTTTTGCATTTAATTAATCTATCTTTACACCTGGATGCTCAACATGCAAATATGTTGTCAGTTTTAAACATTTAGGCAAATATAATATTGTTATTTTAAGTTTATTTTATTCTGGAGATGTCAAAAAGACTCCTTAAAAATGTGAAAAGTAGTGATTTACTTGGATTCAAATTGACAGCATTTGACCTTTTTAACAGTTAGGGTGGTATTTTGTTCATTTGTTCATTTTATTTAGTGTTGTTGCCTATGATAGTTCTTGAGAATAAAGAAGAAAACATAGTTTAGGTACCCCAGCTTTAATTTGAACACAAGACTCTTTTGTGAGTGCCACATATTCACAGGCGTGGAGCGACTGTCTCACACCCTCAGATATAAATCGACAGGATTGACCTGACAGAGGCCAAGGCGTATTGCTGTTAAGACATGCTCTGCTGCAGCATAGTAAAAAACCGGCACATAGAGATTTTATGTCACCCACCGCAGTTACACGCATGATTCAACTTCCAGCCTGACGCCTGTATTTATGTTTTCCATCTCCTCCTTTCAATTAATTCGCCCTTGTTGCAAAGCGCCTGCTCTTATGTGCCTCTCTTTCCGCCACAGTTTGAGAGAAATGACCCAATGGACGGCAGAATCACCGAGCGACAGTTTGGGGGCATGCTGCTGGCCTACAGTGGAGTCCAGTCTCGTAAACTCAAGCTGATGCAAAAGGGTTTGAAGAAGATGTTCAAAGATGCACAGGTAAATCAAAGTGTCACCTGGAAGTAACAGCACATTCTGTTAGGTTTTCATGGTTGCCCAGCTGTACTTAGTTAGAATAACTGTCCTATAGGCTGCATTAATATAACATCACATCGCAAGATTGATGACTATTAGAAGAATCAAAAGTCGGACTTCTTTAAATTATGATTAGGCCCAGTGCTGTCCTTTACTCGTAATTTATAGCTAATTTCTCTCTAATTCCTTGTCCAATTCACAAGAAACATGAACTAAGGTTCACAACTTTATTATTATATATCAACTATGGCATTATTCTTTTCTAATAAGAGTGTCTAGGTTCAAAAACATATGCATGATGGGTTAAAGTAATGATTTGGGGAAAGATTTGGACATATTCTTTTTCCAAAATTTCTTTTGAAAACTGTGTTAATTACCATAGAGTTGTATTTGCATCATTCCTACAAATGGGGAAGAAGAAGTTAACATGTAATTATAGACTCATGAAGTTCTACGATGGACATTGTTGTGAATTCATAAAGACTTATTGAGTGCAGTGTCTGGTGACTTGTTAGCTAATTATCAGCCTGTGTGACAGATGGAGCTTTGGTTTAAAATAGTGCTGGTACGAGGCACATTTGTATCTTGTCAGCCTCCAAGATGCACTGAGTGCCTCCAGCCCATTCCCTCTCATATCTGTGATCAAACACTGAACAGGCCTAAAGATTTTACTAGACCACATCAGCTCAACTCATTTCGTGGGGAAATAATAGTTGACCGGAGTTTACGGATGGCTAAGGCCTGCCTACATCAGTCCCTTTCTAGTTAATCTTTTGTCTTCTTAGCCCAGTGCTGTCCTTTACTCGCGTTATCATCAAATGTTTGTGTGCGTAAATATCACTGACATCCAGGACTCAACTGAACTTCTACCCTCTCTCCGACCATTTCATGCAAACATTTCCACACCTCTGAGGATGAGCTAGGAGTAAATCTGCAGGGAAAACTCAACGTTCAAAATCAAAGATTCACAGGCAACACAGAATTCCCCCAACTCTGAACTCCATCAACTTTGAACTTCTCATTCTCTCCATCAGTGAACTGAAGCTCTCTCGTGTCCCCAAGGTGTTGCTGTCCTATTTCAGTGGATTTAGTTAACCCTCCTCTGATGTCAGTCGGCACTTTGATAAACCAGACTTCCACAAGGTTACTTAAATGCAGCAATTAGACTATAAAGAGGAAAATGATTAAACAAGTTCTTCAAATTATACAACAAGACAATACTCTGTTTTAGTAAAATAATGGTGATGATAATAATGCATTTTATGTAGCGCTTTTTTGGAAACTGAATGAATAAAGACACTTGACACGTCATTATTCATTCACGGTGGTGATAAACTATTGTAGCCACAGCTGCCCAGGGGCACATAGAAGTGAGGCAACCAGTATGTGGCATCGACACCTCCGGTCACCACTGACAACCATTCACGCTCACACACCATTCAAGGCAATGTGGGTGAAGTGTCTTGCCTAACGACACAACAAAAATTTGGCATTTAACAGCCGCAGTTGCCCCACTGTGGGACCTGGTGTTCTTAGAGGTCTCCCATCACAATATTAACCAGGCCCTGCTCTGCTCTGCTTCAGAGGTCTGACAGGATCTGGATTTCAAATGCAGGTCTAAGCTTAACATGCTGCCTTATTCCTCCAATGTCAAGAAACCCTTTATTCGTTTTGGGAAGCTACCTCTGTTTTAGCTGTAATGTTTTCACACTGTTTCTTTAAAAAATATCTTGAAATGATTTTAGATGTTTTTGTATTTTAAAGGCATCTTGGGCTTTCTGACAATCTCACTTCACAAAGCTGGCGATACATTCCGAGTCCCTCACAGTTTTATCTATGGCGAGAATGACAAATGTGTTATTTACGGTGTGAGGCCAGCTGCTCAGTGTGTCTCTCTGCGTGTGTGTCTGCCTGCATGAGAGATTGTGTGTGTGTGTGTGTGTGTGTGCGCTCTTTGCACAAAACTGTTTACTCATGAGACCTTACTAAAGTCAAATTTTGGGACATCATTTCTCAGAATGTTCTCAATTTCAGCAACACAAAAGTTTCCTTATTCATTAAGGGTACAAGTGTTAATTTCTTTGTCCTCAGACGTTTCAGCGTGAATGAAAATAATAAAATCTCTCTTCTCAATAGGGCATCACATTTGAGGAGGTGGAGAACTTCTTCACATTCCTCAAGAACGTGAATGACGTGGACACCGCTCTGAGCTTCTACCACATGGCAGGAGCCTCTATAGACAAAGGTACACATCTGTCCTGTGCGGGCGGCACGGTGGCTGAGTGGATAGCACTCTCGCCTCTCAGCAAGAAGGTCCTGGGTTCGAATCCCGGTCGGACCAGGGCCTTTCTGAGTGGAGTTTGCATGTTCTCCCCGTGTCTGCGTAGGTTTCCTCCGGGTACTCCGGTTTCCCCTACCACTAAAAATATGTCCAATAGTTCTGGCATGCGCTTCCTGTACTGGCGACCCCGCTCCCATCTCTGTGTGGAGTGAGATACAAATGCCCAAAATTAACAATTGTAAACCGCTTTGAGACTCAGATCTGCGGTGAAAAGGTGGTATATAAATAAAAACTTACTTACTTACTTACTTACTATCAAATGCAAGTATGAGCAATGTCTAATAAAACACAGAAAACACAGAAAAAGACCATTTTGAAAGGTTTTCACTTCCATATATTATGACTCATCGCAGACTAAGGCTCCTTTTAAGTGTTGAAAGTTGCTGAAGGAAGTATATGGAAGCCAGCCATGTCCTTCATCGGTCCAGACTGAACACTGGGTACAGCTGACCTCTTCTGTCTCCTTCGTGTCCTTCTAATTGCTGGTCCTCTCTGCCTTTTCCGCGTCCTGTCTTAGAAACGCTAACACGGCCCCAGTTAAAGCACACTGCATTTTTTTCTCTTCTGGCTTTGCTCCCAGTTTCAGCTCTGGCCATTTTTCATTTCTGTATCGACTGTCTGATCTCTTGGGTCTGAAGAGCACATCCTTCCCCCTCGGTCTGTTCATGTTATAGGCTCCACTCCAGGGCGGGACACTGACGCCCTCGGACACAAGTCCACACCAACACTTTAGACACCGGCAGCATCTATGAAAACGGCTTCACTCTCAATTCAAGACAAAAGGAATAAAAAGCAAGAACATTTAGCATATTTCAGGCAATTTTGCAATATTTTTGTTATAAATAATGAAGAAATTAATACTGTTTTGAGTAGAATTTGATTTATTTTTCAGCCTCCCACTTTTCATTAGCTGGAAAATATTTTCAGTTGCCGTTTTTGAGTTTGGTGAAAATTTAAGTCCTAGCACACAGCAGCAGATTTCCGTCTTCTGATTCAACCCAGTGGTAATTTTGACTTTTAGTTTTCAATCCTTGGAGGAAAATAACATGCCAAAAGTAGAGTGACACAATTAGAGAACTGGGGATTAAAGGATTGTTTCAAAAAAGTATAATTATGTCCACAAAACGAACCAAAATAAGCCAATCACATCTTCTCATTTTGCAGAAAACTGGTTAAATTAAAAGTTGAAAGTGATGCTTGTTGTGTTTTAATTGCTATATGAGAATTAATTGCAGCGGGTTAACTGCCACATGTTTTTGTGCGGGTTCTGAATCAGCAGAAGAAACATCTGCTGGAGGAGTGGGGCAGAGCGGAGCCTCATGTCTGAACCGGAATGAATGAACGGTTATCACACCGTGGGCTCTGAAACGTGCTCGTGGGGAACAAAATCAGCCCTGTGCAAGTGCAATCCCTCAATAATGAATCAACATGACAGTACGGACTATTTTAGATTGAGTTGTGGGACAGGTTATATACTAGTAAATATGTCTTGTAGTTTTACTGTTTACAATCGTAGAGGAGGCAAAGCTGTGTCCTGAAACGGTCTACCTTCATTTATGTCGCCTAATAGAGCGAAGGAGACGCAATTATTTGTTTAAACATTATTTCAACAAGATAAAGGTGTTGTCTCATGTTTCGGTTTACCTTTCCATTACTTTTGTGCAGTGCGCTTTGGTCCTTGTTTACTTTGTGGTTGCTAGGGTAGTTATTTATACCTAAGCCATCTCTGCAGCCCAGGTCCAATCAGGATATGAATGAACAAGGTGTGTGTGCGTGTGCGTCTTAACTATGTGTTAGTGAAAAGAGGCTGAAAAGGGAGTGACTCTGACTATACGGTAATAACATAAATATTCAAACAATAGCCCTACCTAAAGATTTAAAAATACTTAATTCTCAATAGTGTGACTGTTTCAACTGTTACTTGCATTTAGTTGAGTAAAATGTGCAATATTCATTCAGAAGTGTAGTTTGTGTGAAGACGGGGTTCTGAATACATCAGCCAGATAGCACTGCTCCGGGCTGAGCTGCTTCTCCAGACACTTCCTGTCTCCTACATTTTATATGAAACTCTTTTGTAGCATTTTCTTCTGGACTTTATTCTCTGCCTGGCGCTTTTTTGTGTGTCCTTTTGAAGTCCAATATACCGTCGCTCTGGGGAGGACTGAAAGAATTGTATTATTTTAGCACATCGTTATATTTGCTTTGGCTCTCTCCACTGTTTCCCTATGATTGAAGTCTCCTTTCACATGGCTGTCATCATTCATGTATTATTCTTCATTATTATTCATTCATGAGTCATTTCTAAAGGGTAGAATCATAATCACTCATTTCGATTAGTGTCCATTATTCTGCTAAATCACCTCATGAAAACATCCACTTAACCAATCAACCATTTTGCCTGACTGGCTTTGTAATTAAGCATAGGTCAGCCAATGAAGTGATGGTAGCTATGAAAGTTAACTGGTCAAAGTCATTCGCACGGTGCACCTGGTCGTTTGCATTTGTCTTAATGCAGGTCACCCACTTGTATCTCTGTGGCTGCCAGTAAATATCTCATGTTTGTAAAGTAGATCTACAAAGGACGCATAAATCATACAGAGATCATACAGAGAAATCATACAGAGATTTCTCGACTATTAAGCGCACCTAAGCCGCACCGTTTGAAAAGAAACTACATTTAGTCTATATATAAGCTGCACTTTAATAAAATCCAGTTTTCATGTTGGAATGTAGCAGATAGACAACTGTTTTAACTGGTCACATGATTAAATGATTAGGTGTTTGACATCTTAAAGGAATAGGCCACCGTTTTTACATACTGATATATGTCCTTACCTTACCTTAGACTAGTTGATATGTACTTGTGTGGTCTTTGTCCGTGCGCTCTGTCATCAAACTGAGCACAAACGCAGCCTCTTCCACAGACTGTATAGTAACAAATCAGCTCCCGTTAGAAGCTACCAAACTCTTCCATGTGTTTCCTATTTAAATACAGTTATGTGACGTGTTACACTACCAAGTATAGTAACACAGAAATGTAACATGTTGATTCTCAGTGGATAAAAAGGGGTACTATATTGTGAGGCGTAATAATACGAGGAGCACTATGTCCGCGCACTAACCCCTAAAGTCTCCCGTTCACTTCCGTCAATAGAAGCAGCGTGAGCGGGAGAGAAGTCTATGGGAGTTAGTGCGCGGACGTAGTGCTCCTCGTATTATTACGCCTCACAATATAGTACCCCTTTTTATCCGCTGAGAAAATCAACATGTTACATTCTGTGTTACTATACTTTGTAGTGTAACACGTCACATAACTGTATTTAAATAGGAAACACGTGGAAGAGTTTGGTAGCTTCTAACGGGAGCTGATTTGTTACTATACAGTCTGTGGAAGAGGCTGCGTTTGTGCTCAGTTTGCATGACAGAGCGCACGGACAAAGACCACACAAGTACATATCAACTAGTCTAAGGTAAGGTAAGGACATATATCAGTATGTAAAAACGGTGGCCTATTCCTTTAACCGCTTGCTTAATTCCCCAATATACTTTTTCAATAAATGAGTGTCCTATAGCTGCTTATATTTGATGGAGTCAAAATGATGAAGTCCATAAACTCTGCTCTAACCACAGCCCAACTCTACCACAATAAAAATACACATATTGCCGCATCGCTGAATAAGTTGCAGAGCAAGAAGTTGAAAAAGGTAGCACTTATATTCCGGCAATTACTGTGATAGGTTGAAATTTGATTCTATAAATCCATTCTGTCTTGATGATTTACCAATGTCACCCCTTCTTACAATAGCTGACATTGTTATGTGATTGTATTGTTTTTTTCTTGCAGGCACTAATAAGTTAATACTAATTTCTGACCATCTTGTATTGAAAAAGTGTGTCAGATGAAAGAAACTACAATACATCCTTATAGTTTCTGACGACTGGCCCGGTCACTGCACATCCACCCCAGCCCCAGTTGGACATGAGCATTAGCACACTGTCGATCAAAAGTAAGAATGTCCTTGCACAGTATTTGACAGGCCTAAAGTTCAGCAAATGGTTAGCAGAGTTTCAAATCGTTGACTATGATTATTTTTGAACCCCCAAATTTTACAGCTATGATTTATTCAACTATAAGTCAATATGATCATTATCAAGTATAACCAGCCTTCTTTAATGACAATGTGTTTTTTCTTCTCCAGTATGTGATGGAATAGCTTTAGATCAATAAACCCCCATTATTCAGGTGACTATTTAGCAAAGCGGTCCAGTTTTTTGGGTGGGTGGCCAGTGCCCTAGTTTCTCTGCTCCTCATCACAGCTCAGCCTTTACTCTGCGTCCATCACCTCGGTCTCCAGTGAACGGTTGTGCTGCCTGCCATCGATCCACGCGCACTACATTAGCTTCTGTGATTCAGGACCCACTCTCAGTAATGCTGCTCTACACTTTTATAATTTCCTATTTTGTTCTTTCGTCTTTCGTTTCCTAGTGACCATGAAGCAGGTGGCGAGGACGGTGGCCAAAGTGGAGCTATCGGATCATGTGTGTGACGTCGTGTTTGCGCTGTTTGATTGTGATGGTAAGAAAGGGCCGTCTATTCAATATGTCCATAAAGCAACTAACTATTTTTTAAGCCTGTATTTTTTATGCTTTTCCTTGTGTGTCCAAGTCTAACTATATACCCTAGTATTAAAGGAGACATAACCTGATTCTAATCCCTATGATATGATAATCTATGAATCCTGTGGCTCTTCTTATAAGTATACGGTTAGAATGAAATGTTTAGATTCAAGCTAAAATCACGTTATAGAAGAAACCAGTCCCCTTTTGCTGCCTTTCCCCGCCCCTTTGTCTGGGCCTCAGGGAAACATGCTAGAATGTATAGCTCTGCTTCTCTGTGGACAGTTACGATACGTTCATCATTTCCTTCAAGAAAAAATGACTTTGTGAGGCGGCTGGATTGTCCACATAACTCAGATTCAGAAATGAAAATTGTCAAAGAAACTAAGTAAAACGCAGAAGAGGCTTGGTGTCAGTCTTCAGAGGACTGAGGGGTTTATATGTTTATGCAACATATAAACTCAAACATGCTCTAAAAACAGCTTGGACATGACAAGGGAAAAAATTTATAACATGAGACCAAAAGATGAGAAAAGTCAGTTTTGAGATTATATCCCTTTTACAATCATTAATGGTTTTCACCTCAATGTATTTCAGTTTTTGTTAATCCAATCATTGTATTTTTGAAAGATTCCTGAGCCAACACTTAAGCCTGTCTCATTACAACCTTTTTCTCTAATATTTCATCACACTCCGTCCATCCTCTGCCCTCTCCAGGGAACGGAGAGCTCAGTAACAAGGAGTTCATTGCCATCATGAAGCAACGGCTGATGCGTGGCCTGGAGAAACCCAAAGACATGGGCTTCACTCGACTGGTGCGGGCCATGTGGAAGTGTGCCCAGGACACGGCCTGGGACTTTGCCTCGCCAAAGACATAACAGGAGGTGACAAAACAATTGGACTCTGCTTCTCCATTCAGAACCGAGGATGTTTTGAGAAAAATATAAAAGAACCTGTTATTATCAAACCTAATTGAGGGATTTTAGCATAAGCATGTGAAATTTAAACTTTGTTTGCTCAAAGCATGCAGATGCAAAATAGTAATGTCAGAGTGGTTTTCTGGCTATGCAACAATGCATTGTAAAATTATTTTATTTGATACAAAATGTACATTAAAGATCTTCTAGTACATAAAGACTTTACATAAATACTGTTATCAGACTTTCAGTTTTGGGTTTGGGACTGTCCTGTTTGGAAAACCACTTTTGTAACAAGTCTGTTTACAATTTGCTTTGCAGAACATATGTCTGTTTGGTGCATTCACTTTTAGTCTGTTTTTTTCCTGTTCTGATTTCATTGGAATTTTTCAAGTGTGAATGCACTCAGATTTCTGAAAAGGATTCTACTATATTTCTTTAGCACTGTTTATCATCATTGTACTCTGTAACCCATTCAGTCCATAATCATACTTATTTTTTGCTTTATGGATTTATTTACTCTATATCATGGCTCACAAAGTGGATAGATTTATAGAAATCTACAATCAGTCGTTTATGGCTCTCCCTCGAGCATCTTTGAATCCCTCATGGCCAAACATGCATCACTGCTTCACCAGACGCTGTGTTGATTTGTTGTCTGTCATGTTTCCAGTCTCTACAGGATGCTGAAAAGTGTGGGGTAATTAGCAAGACTAATTTATGGCACACTGAGGTTGGCATTTGTCACATGTAATAAAATATGGTATACCATTTTCTGTAGCAAGCGTGCTCTTGCTCTGTGTGGCGGTTGTAGTAAAGTGAAATCCTAAGCGGTCAGCAGTTTTGCCTAATTCAAATGGACAGGATGTAAGTCCTTAGCCACCCATTGTAAGGTTGTCCAGCAGCCCCCTGGATGTTGACCACAATATATACTTAATTTCAGCAAAAACCATCTCCATTGTTGCTCAATCTAAAAGAAAATTGCAAAGCAAAGGCATTGCTCACACAGCATATATGTGCAAAATACATTTTGTCTCAAGATAAAGTTGCAGTCAGCCTCTACCTTTATCTACAATGACACGCAAAGGACACTAAATTCCAGAGTTTCGGGTAGAAAATACAATGGCTCCATCTAGTGGCTTTATAAAATATTTTTCAGGGTTTTCAGTTGCTTGTCGCGGATGGTTCCTGTGTTAAAAGAAACCAATGCACAACCAACGTGTTGCCAGAATATTCCTGCCCGTGACACGTCACTCCTAAGCAGACCTACTGGGGGTTACCTTCCACTTTAAGATAAAACCACATCTATGGTGACATGTACAGGCCAAAGACTGGCGACACACATTGATTAGAACAGTTGTTTTTTTTGAGACTTGCACGATTTAGGATTTACACCTTTTCAACCAGGATGAGATTACGTTTATTTTATTTCCCACCTAGACCTTGCACACCCATGATCTAGACACAACTGAATAAACTGCATGATAAATAAAACAATCTTTTTGACCCAATAGTTTTTTTTTCTTTAATTAAATGAAAACGACAAACTGAATATTCAAATGGTCTTGACTATTTTAGGTCAACATCAGTGATGACTGAACAAAGCCTAAAGTGAAGCTCTAACACAAATAAATACAGTATAAAAGAACATTTCACTTTTTAAATCAAGTACAGCCTTCAAGAGGTCGGAAATGATTGGGCAAACATTTACGTGAACCTTTAAAGTAAAACCCTTAAGAAAACTTGTTCAGTCGCCAGACACGTTATATTACAGGAAGTTCAGTTAGAGATGGCCTGCAGCCACCTAGTGGCTATAAATGAGTGTCTTATGAGAGATACACCGGGAACTTCTTGTCCAATGGCTTTACAAACAGGATTCACAATTTCATCTGTCGGTTCAGTTACACATCGTTGCAGTTTCAGGGATAGGAAAACAGTTCAGATGCAGGAAATGGTCCAGGTCTCAGTCGCTGTCAAACTTGATTGAATTGACTGTTGTGGAGATGGCCCCACCACAGTAACTTCCCCTTTTCTTTTTAGTTTTTTCATGTCTAAATGATTTTCCTTTTGTGAACCTGAGGGTGTCATTAGCCTTTTGACCCCAATCTCCATTGGCTCCACGCTGGAAGGAAATAAGATTAAAATTTTAAATGTGCAGTAGGTCTAAAAGACATCCACAGTAAGTATCCACTCACCTTTGCATCAAAAGAGTTGTCTGCCAGGCGGGGATCCACTTCAATTTCATCGTCTTTTATTCTACGAAAAGGTACGTTGGAAGACTAATGACAAAATAATAATTATTTTCTACAAATGTCGCAGGCAGTGAATTCTTTAGAGACAGTGTGTGCATTGTGGAATGTCATGTGTTAATGAAGAATACATACTTTTTTGTTGGCTTTAGGAAATGTTTGAGGCGTAGTCATTTTTGCCTTGTTTTTGGGTGTTTTCATTTCACTTTCTTCCTCTGACGAGTCTTCACTCTTTTTCCTTTTGCCGCTGGTACCTGAATAACAAGAGAGTTCAGGGTATGGACAAAAGCAAAAAACCCAAAGCATTCTATAACAATCTTTACCGTTTGCTAAGGGGGTGGTGGGGGCTGTAGTGGACTTTGGCGCGGCCTCCTCTTCCTCTGAACTCTCTGAAGAGCTGCTGCTGCTCTCCTTAGGTTTGGCTGCTGGTGCCACTTTAGGCTTCACAGCTTTTCCATTGGTCGCTGCAGGTTTTGCAGCAGTCTTTTTACCCTCTGCTTCAGACTCTGAGCTGTCGGACTCAGAGCTGCTCTCCTCAGCCTTCTTCACAGGAGCAGCTTTCTTAACTGGTGCAACAGCAGCAGAAGTCTTTTTAGCTGGAGGTTTTGGCGCTTCATTTTCAGAGTCAGAACTGTCACTGTCAGAGCTGCTCTCCTGTGCTTTGGCCGGAGTGGCTTTAGTCGGAGTGGCTTTAGCGATTGCTGGAGTCACTTGTGATTTGATGGGTTCTTCATCCTCAGAGGAGTCATCAGAACTACTCTCAGCTGCAGCTTTAGTCACAGGTGCAGTTTTAAGTGTAACCGCAGGTTTTGCCTTAGCTGGCTCTTCATCCTCTGAGGATGAGTCAGAGCTACTGTCTGCTGCGGCTTTTGCAGCTTTAGGCGTGGCAGCTTTAGGTGTAGCAGCTTTAGGCGTAGCAGCTTTAGCAGTAGGCTTTACCTTGGCTGGCTCCTCTTCTTCAGATGAATCAGATTCAGAGCTGCTCTCTTTAGCTGCTGCAACTACTTTAGGTGTAGCTGCTTTAGCAGCAGCAGGTTTGGCTTTAGCTGGCTCCTCATCTTCAGAAGAGTCAGAATCAGAACTACTCTCTTGAGCTGCTGCAGCTTTAGCCGGCGTAGCTGCTTTAGGTGTAGTTTTAGGTGCAACTGCTTTAGCAGAAGCAGGTTTTGCCTTAGCTGGCTCCTCATCCTCTGAGGATGATTCAGAGCTACTACTGTCTGCTGCCTTTGATGCAGCCGGTGTAGCTCCTTTAGGTGTAGCAGCTTTAGCAGCAGTAGGTTTGGCTTTAGCAGCAGTAGGTTTGGCTTTAGCAGCAGTAGGTTTGGCTTTAGCTGGCTCCTCATCTTCAGAAGAGTCAGAATCAGAACTACTCTCTTGAGCTGCTGCAGCTTTAGCCGGCGTAGCTGCTTTAGGTGTAGTTTTAGGTGCAACTGCTTTAGCAGAAGCAGGTTTTGCCTTAGCTGGCTCCTCATCCTCTGAGGATGATTCAGAGCTACTACTGTCTGCTGCCTTTGATGCAGCCGGTGTAGCTCCTTTAGGTGTAGCAGCTTTAGCAGCAGTAGGTTTGGCTTTAGCAGCAGTAGGTTTGGCTTTAGCTGGCTCCTCATCTTCAGACGAATCAGAATCAGAGCTGCTCTCTTGAGCTACCGCAGCTTTAGCCGGTGTAGCGGCTTTAGGTGTAGCTGCTTTAGCAGCAGCAGGCTTGGCTTTAGCTGGCTCCTCATCTTCAGAAGAGTCAGAACTACTCTCTTGAGCTGCTGCAACTTTAGCCTGTGTAGCCGCTTTAGGTGTAGCCGCTTTAGGTGTAGCCGCTTTAGGTGTAGCCGCTTTAGCAGCAGCAGGCTTGGCTTTAGCTGGCTCCTCATCTTCAGAAGAGTCAGAATCAGAACTACTCTCTTGAGCTGCTGCAGCTTTAGCCGATGTAGCCGCTTTAGGTGTAGTTTTAGGTGTAGCCGCTTTAGCAGCAGCAGGCTTGGCCTTAGCTGGCTCCTCATCTTCAGAAGAGTCTGAATCAGAACTACTCTCTTGAGCCTTTGATGTTTTTGGGACAGGTTTTGCTCCTGGTGTGGAAGGCTTAGAAGCAGGTTTGGTCTTGGCTGGTTCTTCATCTTCAGAGGAAGAATCAGAGTCTGAACTACCGTCAGCCGCCTTCACTGCAGCAGGCTTGGCAGCTTTAGCCGCAGGTGCAGCTTTGTTAGCTTGAGCAGGTTTGGCAGGAGTGGCCTTAACTGCTGTTTTTTTGGGCTGCTCCTCTTCCTCAGAACTAGACTCAGAGCTGCTCTGGGCAGGGGCTGGTTTGGTCGTAGGGGTAGATGGCTTTGCAGCTGATTGAGGCATCACAGACTTTTTAACAGGAGCCCTTTTTTTTGTAGGGGGATCATCCTCATCTGAACAGATTGACAGATCAAAGTCACTTATTAGGAACAGGATGTGCAGTCTTAAGGTGAATTTATGCTCAATTTACACATGGTATAAATAGTTTGATTTAATTTTTTTTCCTTCATTAGTTTTCATTGTATGGTTTTGAAATTGCATTCTAAAAGACCTTAAAAGGCGCGTTCAGACCAAAAGCTTCAAAAAGTTTTTGACGCGCTTCAACTGACGCCGGGTTATTTTGTCATTTTGGTGCTTGAAGCTTTTGACGCGCCTGACGCCGGTGGGAGGAGCTTCTCTGTTGCCTGTGGTCAGACAATTGTGGCTGTTCCAGAGAGCAGCGAGCCTTTATTTGTTATATAAAGCCAAATAACGTTGTCGTGGGGTTTCTACAAAACATGTTCTGGGTTCACCACAGACTTGAGGCTGCAGTGTTTGCCGAGTTTCGTCATTTACTACAGGAGTTGTGTACGGAGGAGTTTCCCTTTCTGTAGTACTTCCGCATGTCACTCGCCCAGTCAGAGTTCCCAAACCCCGGAGCTAGCCTCTGCCCGCCCGGAGCTAGCCTCTGCCCGCCCGGAGCTAGCCTCTGCCCGCCCGGAGCTAGCCTCTGCCCGCCCGGAGCTGCCTCGCTCTGAGCCAGACTCATCGTCAGCTTCTTCTTATATTAAATAAATTACGTTTACTACACAGCATGTGTACAATGATTTTGTTACTCACTTATTAAGAACGTTACTACTCATACAAATAATTTTACTAATAATAATAATGACAATAAAACAGCAGCAGCAGATACATGACTTCTCTTCATGACAGAGACAGACCCACAGCTGCTGCTCCTCGTCTCCTGGTTGGTTGAAGCCCGCGTCAAAGCTTCAAAAGCTCAGCTTTGCTCAGCTTCGGCGTCAAGGGATTGTTTGGATACGCGAGTGTCAAAAGCTTCAAGTGAGCGCGTATTACTCGCAACTTTCGACACGCGCCAAGTGACGCCGGGGCTCTCGGCTTCACCTGACGCGCTTCACCATTTCACTTTCAATGCAAACCTGACACTTTTGAAGTCAAGTCCGGTCTGAACGCGCATTTGATTATTTTCAAGCCCTGCAATATGTATGTCCTTATCACCAAGAAGATAATGATTTTTAATGATTTTTATTGTTTTCTAAAAGACAATGTCCAGGGGTCTCCAAACAGTCCAAAAAGGTTGGTGTGACTGCAGGTTTTCTACAAGACCAAGCAGGAGCAGAGCAGACAGCCATTTCCTCAAATTCAGTTTAAGATTGAAATCACTAGAGAAAATGGATGGAATCTGCCCTTTCTTGACTAGAAATTTGAGACCGGAGAGTGTTATAAACATTTTGACAAAGCATGGTCATTGGTCATTTCTCAAACAATAAATATTTCTTGTGGGCCATAGTTGACACCCCTGATTTATACATACTATATGATGAGTATAAAGGTATATTTCCCTTTCAATGTTGGAATTCATTGCTTTTAGAAATGTTATTGGCATGTGTGGGATAATATGCCTATATGAAACCTTTCTTTTTAAACATACAAGATTAGAAACTAATAGAACGTTAAATAAAAGACCAAAAAGACAAATACCTGAACTGTCTGAACTAGATTCCTGTTTCTTAGCTGCAGCAGCTTTTGGGGGCTTAGCTAAGAAGGGAATAAAATTCAAAGTGCATTAACATACGGTAATATATTACAACATGAAGTTTTTCTCACCTTCTTTCTGGGCCTTTTTGACAGCAGGTGTTGGCTGATCTACACTGGGAGGTGGGACTGCACTATAGACACCTATAAAACAAACACTGGTTTAACATTTGCAGTAAAAATCATTGTCACAATGAGAAGAAATAAGGCCATTTAAAACAAATGGGGAATAAACAGGAAGCTGCTCAGGGGGTAAATCTAGAATTTCTTACTGTAGTGGACATGTGTCCTTGTTTTTGGAGCATGCAGGCACCGCATGCCATTTACAGCAGCGCACCAGTGCAGCGCGCCAGTGCAACGCGCCAGTGCAACGCGCCAGTGCAACGCACCAGTGCAACGCACCAGTGCAACGCACCAGTGCAACGCACCAGTGCAACGCACCAGTGCAACGCACCAGTGCAACGCACCAGTGCAACGCACCAGTGCAACGCACCAGTGCAACGCGCCAGTGCAACGCACCAGTGCAACGCACCAGTGCAACGCACAAGTGCAACGCACCAGTGCGCTCCAGAATACTCAAGAATGGTGCACTTAGTTACCGCTGGGTCTGGACCAAGTTAGATCTTGCATGTCCCTCCCTGTGTATGAGCAACACTCCAGGCCTCAGTCTCCAAGAACAGTGACTCTGGACAGGCGTACTTCTCCGTTTAACAGAATTGCTCCTAAAACCCCTAACTGTATTTACGTTCATGACACATTTAACAGTCGTATGTCCAACAGTGTGTCAAAATTCATTCATACTCTCTGCCAATAGTTGGCAGACATGTCAGACTACCTCCCTGGCCCCAAAAAACATCATGCTCCCATACAAAAGCAAGACTGCGTTGAATCAGAGCGGAAAACACAGCGTGAACCGTGTTTCTGAGTCAGGGCAGTCATTGGGACGTCAGACACAGGTTGAATTTGTAAAGGACAAGCCTGGAAGTTGCGTCGGAGCACCGCGCTGCAACTTCGGCCTCCGCTAAAAGTGCCTCCCGTGATCAGGGGCACAGTAATGTGTTGGAGAAGCATGCGTTTGTTAGACGAGAGAGAGCAGGGGATACACAGCAGCAGAGTCGCAGTGACACTCAGGCGGACGTTTGACCTGGAGGCGCACGTCTGGGCAGACTGCTCAAAGCAGCATCATGATTTGCATTTTATACTTTTTCCTTGAACATTTACAATGTTACAGTGTGAGTTCTTGTCCTAGTGATCAATATATGTCTGTCAGTTATAAAAATTCAAATATTTCAAAATTCTAACCTGAATTTTATTTCTGAAAGTGTGAGACAGGCCTCTCTGACAATGTTTAAAACCAGGTTCAAGACAGTTCTGTTTAGCTGTGGATACAACTGAGGGACTTTATATTTTTATCTCTTTTTGATGTTCTGTGATTTATTTATGTCATGTGATTTATTTATGATTTTAATGCTCTTATTTTGTTCAGCACTTTGAATTGCCTTGTGTATGAATTGTGCTATATAAATAAACTTGCCTTGCCTAACGCCATGACATAATATGCAAATTAGATTAGTGGATTTATTCTCTACATGAGCTTTGGGCCATCCTTAATATTTTTCTAATTTACAGAAAGCCTTTATCTCTTATTTTTAAGTAGGCCTGTCACGATTACAAATTTTGCTGGACAATTAATTGTCTCAGAAATTATTGCGATAGGCGATAGTATTGTCGTTCTGAGATCATTTTCATCTAATACAATGATAATGATGCATGATGCGTGATGTACACCTTTTCAAAGAGAAATACACTTTTATTTTTAAAGATCACCGCCGAAAGTGCCGGAAGTAAAAAAGCCGCTCTTTGTGTAAAGTTACTGCCAATAATGCAGCTCTGCAGCTTCTCTTTGTCCAGAGACCTTCCAGAGACTTTATATAACAGCAGTATGTGTTCACGGCGGTGCGTTAAAAGTTTATTTTATTATTAAACGGTACTTCCACATCGGCCAACACGCTAACGCTAGCTGTGCTAGTTTAGTCACTACTAGAGCCTGAATGAGAACAACTACTGTGTCCCCCGTTGTCAATCCTGGTTAAGGTCCTGTTTTGGCTGTATTTTGTATTTGAGTTATTTCAGTCTGCTCGCGTCACGCGTGACCACTTTGCGGCTCTCTGACCCGAGAGAGACGGGGAAACAAACAAGCATGCAAATGAAATTAATCGCGGCCAGGAAAACTATTGAGCTAATTTTATTTATCATGCGATTAATTGAATTAATGAATATCGCAACAGGCCTATTTTTAAGTTATAGTCTTATGAAAATAAGATGTCAAAATTGAGCGAAAAAAAAAACTCTAGCGCTTAAAGAGTTAAGACCTACTCATCGGTATACGGCTGTAGCATTGCAAAATGTAGAAAACTTTCAGAATTCCTCCAATATATATTATGTGTGTAAGTGTAAACCATGATAGACTCAGATTAAACAGTACACTAATAACATGTGCAAAACCAGGATTCCTCTAAAATATTCTAACATCTAAACTTTGTTTAAATACAAGGTCAACAAAGAAAAACTGATTTAAACATCTGCACTTCATTGTGTTATGGTCTTGCATTGTGCGTTTAAACCTTAAACTACTTGTGTAATATACACCTTGTAAAGAAAATGCATACCAGTTTTTGGCTTTTTTCTGGGAGGAGTCTCGTCCTCCGATGAGTCTTCGCTGCTTGATTCTGCTGTGGCTTTAACTGGGGCAGGTTTAACAGGAGGCTTTTGACAAAAACATATTTAATGGGTTGTTGTAAAAGGTAAAAGCAAGGTTTCTTTTTCCAAAATCACATACCTTGGATGGTTCATCATCTTCTGAATCTGAGGAACTGTCCTCACTGCTGCTCTTCTGCTTCTTTTGGGCAGCAGCAACAACAGCCGCAGCTTTGGGAACGACACCTGCACTTTTAGGTTCTAAAAGCAAATTGAAACTTTAAATACCATTTACATAAACAAGCAGTCACCAAGAAAACTCACTTTGTGCTGGAGTTGGCTCCTCATCAGACTCTTCGCTGCTGGAGCTTGTGTCCTTTTTTCTGGTGTTAACAGCAGCAGGAGTTGGAGTACTCTTTACAGGAGCAGGTGTCTAAATCAAACATCTTATTTTAGATAATGTTATTGAACAATTCATGAGTTGATTTGAGAAGATCTTACTTTTGCAGATGCCTTTTCCTCCTCTGAATCACTGGACTCCTCACTGCTGCTGGAGTCTGCTTTTGCTGCTGTTTTGGCAGGAACTTTCTTAGCTGTGTAAATTAATAGGACAATTAATCTCTGATGCTGTAACATGGCTGAAATAGTGAATTATAAGACACTACCTGCGGCCGGTGTTGCTTTACTTGTAGATTTAGGAGCAGCTTCCTCTTCATCACTGCTTGAGTCACTGGAACGCTCATTGCTCGATTTTGCTTTCTTAGCTGAGGGACCATTTGAATCTCCACTTTTACGTTTCTTAGACTCCGGGGATCTCAAAAAACAACACAAGTGTTAAAAGTGAAGACCAGAGGTTATACGTTATATCGGCGATGTGTTTAAAATCGACTTACTTCACCCAGAATGTGTAGATATCTTCGAGGCGTTCCTCGTTTGGATCCTGGTCATTCTATTGATATCAAAACAGTAGATGATTAATTTGACGTTAGCAGTAACTATTTTTACACCACGACATTGTTGTGTTACATGCACAGAGGTTTAAGAACAGAATATCATTAGCATGAATCAAAACATGGCTAATGTCTCTGCCTTGCTAGCCCACGTGTATCTAACGTTATACATTTAAGGCTCCTCGTGTGCACCGCCTCCTGAACAACTTTGTGCACGAGTACAAACTGTTCTTGCTGCAAGAACTGACATTTCTGCACATCAACGGACTCACCACTTTTGTCTGCTTCAGAAACTGCTGAGCCGCCTTTGTGAACTTGTTTTCCACTAAAAAGGAATAAACGCATTTGTACAAATCGCTCGGCACAGACTTCTGCGACGCCATCTTCCCCACGTTAGTTCTGGAAGTACCGGAAGTGAAGAAAGGCGTGTTCTACAAAAGACGCGTGCGCAGACACCAATGTATATTAATAATACAATGAATTGTAACTAAACTTTATGTTAATGTATCGCTATATGAAAAGCACAACATTCGTGGATTACTTTCATGTTTAAGTAAAGTGCTATAAGAGTTTTTAATAAGGGCACATGATATTTACGTCATCACTGTGCGCCCCCGTATGCCCTCTCCAAATGCAGAGTTGGTTTTGAGCGACTTTACCTATTTTGATTTGGAAATGGCAAGCTGTCATTTCTAAAGTAAACGCGCCTATACACCAAGACCATGCCTCGTTACGAATTAGCGCTGATCCTGAAAGCGCTGCAGCGACCGGAGACCGCGGCTGCAGTACGAAGGACAGTGGAGACTTTGATGGAGAGGGGAGCCGTGGTCAGAAATCTGGAGAATCTGGGAGAGAGACTGCTGCCTTATAAGATATCTAAACACAATCAGAGGCACGAAAAGGGAACATATTTTCTTGTGGATTTCTATGCTTCACCTGGTATCTTGAAGAGCTTAATGGATCATTTAAATCGGGATGTGGACATAGTGAGGCCCTCCGTACTCAAGAAGGATGAAGGCGTCTCTACTAAGAGCTGTTGTGGACCCGCACAGTAATATGTAAGAAATGGTGTCATACCTCCTTTAATAGGAATAGGAATTTATTTGGAATATACATATGTTTTGCCCGTACACCCTTGGAAAATAGATATTTGAATCACCCACTCACTGTTTTAAACAATACACTAAGGTCCTGTTGGGGTCAGCAACTGAAAAGGCGTCGAAATTTCACTTCGAGACCTGAGGGTATTCAACATCGATCTGATTTGGTGAAGAGAAGATCTCTCATGCAGTGAGGTCACCACAGGATCTGTGCTCCCTTTAGCTTGTTCTCAGCAAGTAGACAGGAACATTTTGGACTTTGGTCCAGACCACTGTATGATGAATTACTATTACAATATAGTTTTTGACAAATTGACGGATTGATATCTCGTTCAAAGTTATTGTGCAAAACAAGCCACAGTGCACATGGATGAACATTTATTATGCTGTTGATTTTATATAGTTGTTCAAATAGTATAGGGTTTTGCTTTTGTGCTGCCTTTGACTTTTTTCTGTTCTTCTGTTGCAGGTATTTACTTCAACTAATTGAAGATTGTGAGGAGATTGATTTTTCTTTTGACATTTTTATGTGATTATCAAATAAATTGTTGATGTATTTAACATCCCCAGTGCCTGTTCTTTGATATGATGTATATTATTCATGTCATTCCGCTTGACATTCCCCATGTTTGTATTTCTCACTTTTTCTTTTTGAGTGAATTACTCATGGGGTGGTGGAGGTGATCCTGCAGTGATGGCATCAGTCTGATAAGGGGTCATGTTGCCAAGTGAAATGTTGTTCACTTTAAGTGGATCAATTGTCATTCCTTTATAACAGAAATATCTAATTTTTGAATGCTTTTGAAACTAATCTGATTTTATGAGAACAGCTAATTGGTCCAGAATTGTAACAAACTTTCCATACAGAAGATGGGGAGGAGTGGCTATAGTCTGAGCTCCTCACCCGCTCAGCCAACGGAATGGAAAATAATTGAATCAGCCTGTTAAAATATATATAATACAGTCTATGGTTATAACTCAATCAGACTGTATATATCACTACCCAATGCTCTTGACCATAGGTGAGGGTGAGAACATGGGATGAATAATCTTGATCTCTCTGTGACCCTAACCCTAACTTCCCTAAGAGGGGTGAGGTACTTGAACTTTTCCACTTATGCTGCCTCTACTTCCTCCTGAATGGACATTGCGCTCCTCTCTGACAACCATTACTTCCTAATCTGAGTCTATTCAAATTGAATAAATAGAATCAATTTGTCTTTCTGTTGTTCCAAGGCTGAAAAAACAGTAGTGCCAAATAAAAATGCCATAGTGTGTGTAACCTTTGGAAGGATAGTATCAGTATTGCTTCTTCAATCACGTGTCTTTACATACCTTTTGAGTTTGAGCCACTCCACGTTTGTACTATGGAAGATAAGGTGCAAAACTCTTTCCTCCACATGTATGAATCTTGCCGAAAAGTATTTGCTACTGGTGTATCTAACTTTTTTCATAATAATAGGATGTCTTTAACTGGTTAGACACTAGATTGAATGTATTTAATAGTTTAAAAGTTCTACGAATAGGTGTGTAGTCCCTTAGGACTTCGCTAGTGGGATATCACTCGTGACCCCCAGGTCACACGCCAGAGAGATCAAAATAATTTGCTCCAATCACCAGCCACCTTCCTCTATAAATGCCCCTGCACAAGGCCGCACCCCCTCTTGAACTCTGCCAAGCCGGGCTGGCCTGATGGGCTCGTAGCTAAGGGACTACGCACCTATTCGTAGAACTTAAGTTACATTAAATAACTATTAATTCTACGTCATGGTGCTACGTCCCTTAGGACTTCGCTAGTGGGACACAACGCGGAGGCCGTAGGAAAATGTACTCCCAACAGGCCAGCGAAGGGTGATTGGAGCTCCGCCCGAGCAAGGCCCTCACACAGTGAGAGGACTCAGGGCAGAAGAAACAAGCGTGTTACGGGGCCACTCCTACCAAGGATACCCCCACGTAACACAAGCCGTAGGTCATCCGTAGTCACAGGACGCCTCTCTCAAGAGCTCCTGACGTGGACTACCAGACCGACCACACACACAAACGTACCGCACCTGTAGGATGCCTCTCCCAAGAGCTCCTGCACCAGGGCGGAAAATAGACCGAAGGCCCCCCTAAGGGGAGGGACCCAACGGTCTAATTCAGTCCGCTGCACTCAGCACGGAATGGGCCACCGACCGGTCCGACACATCCAAAAGATAAGACCGGACGAAAGAGGAGGACGACGCCCAAGAAGCCGCACGGCAAACGTCCTCGACCGACGCCCCCCTGAGAAGGGCCGTAGAGGCCGCCATCCCACGCGTGGAATGCGACCTGAAGCCCACCGGGAGGGCCAGGCCCTGCGACTGATACGCCCGTCGCACCGCCGTGGCGACCCAATGCGCCAGCCGCTGAGCCGACAGCGGGGCGCCCCTGTTCTTGGGGCCCAGACACACAAACAGCTGATCACCCGACCTGAATGACGACGTCATGGCCAGGTAATGCCTCAGCATTCTGATAGGACACAGAAGGTGCTGCCGCTCCTCCTCGGGGGAGGCATGCGGCGGCGGGTGGAAAGCCCTAATCCTGATGACTCTCGACCTAAAGGCCGACGTGATGACCTTGGGGAGAAAAGCCGGATTGGGCCACAACTCCACCATGCCGTCGTCCTCTCCAAAGGACAGGCAAGACGCATGGACGGAGAGCGCACACAAATTGCCCGCCCTCTTAGCAGACGCCAACGCCAGTAAGAGGGCCGTCTTAAAGGCGATACACTCGGGACTCGCCTCCGCCGCCGGTTCAAAAGGCGAACCCGACAGCCCCCTAAGGACCACCCTGAGGTCCCAAACCGGAGGCGTTCTCTGGAGCGGGGGCCTCCTTCTGCGCGCCCCCCGCAGAAAACGTTTAACCAACGGGTGAGAACGGGCTGTGAACCCCCCGAACCCGTCGTGACCCGAAGTAATGGCTGCCGCGAACACCGCCAAGGTGGCGACAGCCCTCCCCTTGTCGAAGAGCTCCTGTAGGAATCCCAGGACCCCCTCCAGCGGGCAACACCTGGGATCCCAGGAACGGGAATCGCACCAGACACTGAATAGCCTCCACCTCGTGGCGTAGGCCCTCACGGTGGACGGCGCCCTCGCTCCCTGAATGGTCTCCACCACCGCAGGGGGAAGACCCAGATCTACGAGGCTCCGCCTCTCAACCTCCAAACCCAGAGCCTGCGGCCGATTATCGGACGTGAAAACAGGGCTCCTGCCCCCTGGACTAGAGCCCCCGGCTCGTCCGGGAGGGCCCAGGGCTCCATCACCGCAATGCCCCTCAGGAAGGGGAACCACCGGGCATGCGGACTGTCCGGAGCCACCAGAATCACCGATCTCCTCTCCTGTTCGATCCTCCGCAGCAGGACCGGCAGGAGACGCACTGGTGGGAAAGCGTACAGCAGGCCCTCTGGCCATGGGTAATGAGCCAGAGCGTCCACGCCTAAGGGCGGCTCGTCCGCGGCCCTTAAGGCGAACCAGGACGGGCACTGTGCGTTCTCTGCACTGGCGAAAAGGTCGACTACTGGACGGCCGAACCTCCGCCAGATCTCCGCAGCTACCCGTGGGGCCAGGCCCCACTCGTCCTGGAGTGGGCCCCCCCTGGACATTCTGTCGGCTCCCACGTTCCGGACCCCCGGGACGTGGCGCGCCCTGAGAGACAGGAGGTGAAGCGCCGCCCACAGCAGCGTCACCGTCGCCATGCGATGGAGAGCGGGGGACCTGGTGCCCCCCTGCCTGTTCAGATAGGAGACCACTGTGGTGTTGTCTGAGCGCACCATCACGTGTCTCCCCTGCAGCTGAGGGGCAAAGTGCAGCAGTACTCTGTGCACTGCCTCCATCTCCAGCAGGTTGATGTGACGGGCTGAGTCCGACCAGCAGCCTCCTACAGAGCTCTGGCCGAGGACCCCGCCCCATCCTTCGAGCGACGCGTCCGTGAACACCTCGACGTGAGACACAGCGCAGGCCAGAGTCACTCCGTCCCGCAATAGACCCGGAGTGAGCCAGAACCTGATGTCCGATGCTGCCCCTTGGGGAACCCAGATCAGCCTCCCCCCGTCCCGGGAAGGGTGAAGCCTGAGGCGCGAGAACCACCTCTGAAAATTTCTCATGTGGAGCAGGCCTAGCCGCACCACAGCATGAGCCGCTGCCATCATTCCCAGCAGGGACCTGAGGCGCCGAGCGGGGACTCTGGGGCCCGCCAGAACCTCCCGGGCCAGACGGGTAATATTCATCCGTCTGTCCACGGACAATGCAGCACGGAATATCACAGAGTCCAGCAGCAGACCGAGGTAAACCATGCGTTGGGCTGGCTGCAGCTTGCTCTTCTCCCTGTTCACCACAAAGCCCAGACGCTGTATGTGGGACAGGACCCAGTGCGTGTGGCTCACGGCCACTTCCCTGGATGGGGCCAGTATTAACCAATCGTCTATATAGGTTAATATGCTTACCCCCGCACGTCTGATCGGCTCCAGAGCTGCTTCCACACATTTGGAAAAGGTCCGAGGCGCGAGTGCGTACCCGAAGGGTAGACGGCAGTACTCGTAATTCCTCTCTCCCACTGTGAAGCGCAGAAACCTCCTGTGTTCTGGCACTATGGGCACGTGGAAGTACGCATCCGTCAGGTCTATGGAAGTCATCCAGTCTCCTTCCCTGACACACTCGAGGAGCTGCCTTGTGGACAGCATCCGAAACTGCCGTTTGGAAATGCACTCGTTTAACACGCGCAGATCCAGAATGGGACGCACCCCGCCTGATTTCTTTGGCACTAAGAAGTAAGGGGAGTACAGCCCCCTGGTGGCGTCCTGCGGGTCTACCTCCACTGCCGCGCCTCGACTCAGCAGAGAGGAGACCTCCGCGTCTAGTGCCTCTGTCGATCCCCGTACCTGAGAGCGTACTGCCCGTACGCCTCGGAATGGTGGTGGCTTTCGGAAAAATTGCAGCGCGTAACCTCTGCGCAGAGTTTTCTCCAGCCAAATATCTGTCAGTAGGCCCTGCTCCCTCCAGATGCTGTAGAAGTCTGTGAGGGGCGGAACGGGAGCTGGAACACGAGACGTCACGGCCCCGCCCTCTCCTGGTGTTCCTAGCAGGGAGGGGGGGTGGACGAAAGGGCCGGGGGGCCCCCTGCGTCACACCGTGAGCGCCGAGGGCGGTCACGTGTTCTGCAGGCCCGACGTCATAAGTACGGGACTGCTCACCACACGTGACTCGGCTGCTGTGCCCCCCCCTGGCTCTCGCCTCATGAAGGGGGGGGCGAGCCCCTGGAGAGGGAAACCCCGTGTTAGCCTTGTAGCTCTGCTCACCACACGTGACTCGGCTGCTGTGCCCCCCCCTGGCTCTTGCCTCATGGAGGGGGGGACGAGCCCCTGGAGTGGGAAACCCCGTGTTAGCCTTGTAGCTCAGAGATGCTAACACGCGTTCGGCCGGAGCACACACATTATCACTCACCAGATCCCTCCGCCTGCCCTCTCTCCGGGAGGGCAAGACATGAACCCGAGAGTCGGAGCTCGTGGCCCGCATAGCACGCTGCACGCCCTTCTCTGGGGGCTGCAGGCCTAGCGGAGCCACGTTATATGCTCGAGAAGTAACACAATCAGAATTCAAATCATTTGACATGTTACATACCCCCAAATGAGACTCAGACAGCGAGTACTGATGAAATGCCGGACGGCCTTTATTGAAAGCATTTTTCCCACCCCGACCTCCTCTGCCATAGGGAGGCCGTCGGTGGGAGTGTTGGTCCCGCGAACCTCCCGTGTGCCTGTCTGGGCTCGGGGGCCTCGTCGCTGGGGAACGATGGACCACGGAGCGTGGATAGGGTCCGGGGCGCCTGCCGGGCGAGCGCTCCCTGCCTCTGTCTCGGCTCCGCGCTGGTGGGCGGGCCTCGCGTCTCGCAGCTAGATGCTTGGCTAGGCTAGCAGAGTCCTTAGCTGCGGTGTCCAGCCTCGTCATCAGCGTCTGCATCTCCGGACCGAAGAGTGACGTTTGGGAGATGGGCAGGTCCAGCAGCTGCCTCTTCTCCGCCTCTCTGAGGTTCACCGGCCCCAGCCAGAGGTGTCTGGCCCCAACTTGTGCTGCTGCCATCGTGCGGCCGCCATCGACAGCTAGCGCCTAGCACATGCGCAGGATCGCCGCTGAAGTGGTCCTCGCCTGGGATAAGGTGTCTCCACTGAGCGCCTGGCCAGAAGAGAGAGACCTATCCAGGGCCCCGGTGATGAAGGCCATGTTGTTAGCCACCGCGACGACCTGTGCCGCATTGGCGTAACACCTATCGAGCATCGCCAAAGACATCCTATCCCGCTCGGAGGGAAGGAGAGGTCTGGTGCTGGGCCACACGGATGTGGAGGGGTGCAGGGCCGCTCGAACCGAGTCCTCGATGTCCGGGACCCCGCCGGTCCAGGACCAGTCCTGCACGTTACAGTACATGCCATACCCCAAAGCGGGCCTCTTGGCCGCTAGGGGCTTTGGCCACTCACGTGTCGCGTAATGGACGATCGGGTCCATACGCGGGCACAACGTGGGCTGCGCTCTCCTCCTCCCTCGAGGGGTGGCGTAACCAGAGGTGAAGTCCTCCACCCTCTGGTTCGGTTGCAGTGGCAGGGGGGCATCCATGATGGCCGCCGCCGTGGCGTAGAGCCCAGGCATGTGGTCCAGCGGGAAGCGGTCCGGCTCCGGGTTGGACACCACCTCGTCCAGCGTGAGGAGAGAGCCGACCTCCGACACCTCTCCGTCCTCGCAGTCACCCCACTCCGCGGGCACGGGTGGAAGGTCGAGGGGGGCCCAGTCAATCGCAGACTCCTCGTCCTGAGAGGAGTCCGGACGGGGCGCTGTAGCGGCGAAGAACGCGCGCCTGCGTTCACTCTCCTCCCTGGGGAGAGCGAGACACGAGGCGCAGGTGGCGCTCAACGCCGCATGGCCCGAACCCAGGCACAAGAAGCAGCTGGAGTGCTGGTCCTTGCGCTGGAGCTTGACCCGACAAGTCGAGCAACGACGACGTCCGACGCCGGATGGCGAAGGGGAACTCGGACGAGCATCAGAAGACATCTTTCCTCAGGTAATTGAAATGTAGATCTCAATCGGCGCCAGAGTGAAAGAGGGGGTGCGGCCTTGTGCAGGGGCATTTATAGAGGAAGGTGGCTGGTGATTGGAGCAAATTATTTTGATCTCTCTGGCGTGTGACCTGGGGGTCACGTGATATCCCACTAGCGAAGTCCTAAGGGACGTAGCACCATGACGTAGAATGCATAGTTAATAATAGTTGGTTTGAAATAACATGAATACATTAATGAGGATAGTACAACCAGTTCCATATATACTGTATAGGTAACTTGAATCTATAAATGCGTTGTTGGTCAGTGTATGGTCAGGACAGTGCTGGCTCAGAGTCACGTGTGTGGGGTCACGTGTGTGGGGTCACGTGTGTGGGGTCACGTGTGTGGGGTCAGCTGACTGAGACTTTGATAAAGGCCCTCCTCGTCCTGCGCAGCCCCAGACTGTACTCAGCTCCTGAACACGGCACACACGGACAAACCCGCGGAGTCATGCTGCTCCTAACTCTTCTCCTCCTCGTCTCTTCAGGTAGATATCTGCATGTTATAACTGCATTGTGCGCTAACAATGAAGTAAATGTTTGTTTACAGTTCAGATACGTCTACTGTTACTAACCAGCGCGTTTCACAATAACAACGCGGAAGCACGCAGCCCCCTTTTCATGATTTCGAAAGCGTTCAATAAGACTTTTTTTACTTTTTGTGAATTAAAAATAGTATTGCAATTCAGAATGTAACTGTATCACAATGCGATGTTCGCCAAAATGTGTTATTTGTCACATTTGCACATTTTGTCCTGTTGTGTTAAAGTTAGCTACACTGCGGCTAATGCTAATGCTAATGATAAACACTGAATGATAACAACCGTTTGAGTAAAAGTTCAAAAAATGTAATGCCCAACACTTTTGAGTTCCCATGTGGGATTGTGTCGTTTAATGGTTTTAATGCATTTTGCAAGATCGTACATGTTGTTAGCCTTCTATAAATGGACAAATGCACAAGGCTGTTTACTCCCTTCTCAGCCATAACTCTCTAAACTGTGGCCGATCTTTAGTTATCGATTGTGGTACATGTCTGCTTCCTCATTTTTTACTTTACATTGTATGATGATGATGATGATGATGATTGTCAGACAGTAATTATTGTTGTATTTTCATAGCAAAGGTTTTTTTCTGGAAGTGAAGATGCTCAACTTTTGCAAGCATTTAACCTTTTATAACAGATTCACCCACTTGATATTTTAGTCAACTTCCTCATTTCACTTTCACTTAATATTTATAGTGGGTTTCTGCATTCTGCCTTTGCTTTATGATTTAGGCTTCCTTTACTGTCTTTGCAGTGGGCAAGCTTATTTTCTTGGGTTCATGTTGTTTGTTTGCCTGGGTATTAATACGATCAGTCAATGTACCTTCCTTACATACAATTTATATCTGTGGAGAGGCAAGTTTTCCCTTTCTAAAAAAAAAGAAAAGCAGTTTTAAGCACTACAATCAGGAATGTACACATTTTATATCAAACTGAGCAACATTTCAAGCAACATCAATCACACAAACCAGGTCTTGGTCTTTTCTAAAAGCGGGTCACCTCCAGGGCAGTTTTGAAATGCTCCTTTTTAATATACGTTTAGTAACACTTTTAAGATATACCTTCAGTTCACAAACATTAAAGCCATTGCTGAGAACTGCTGTTATCATGTGACTGGGTGTTGTAACTTCTCTGGTATGAATTATAAGGATGGTTAATTCCAGTCTATAATAAGAGGCCACTGCATGAACTTCCTCCTTTTGACTTTATCTTGAGAAGTCATAGGAATCCATGAATACTTGAAGCTTGCTGATATTCAGAGTTCATGAGTTGACATGAGCGTGATAAGTGAAAAATGTTGAATCTAACTTTGGCATACGTGTACACAATTCAGTTGTCGCCTAATGAATCAAGTTTATTTCGGTCACTAGTACATTTTACACATTGTTACTCAGGACGAGAAGGAGTTAGAAGCTAGTGTTTATTATTATTATTTTTTTACATGTGTCATTACTAATAATAATGATTTATAGAGTAAGTGAAATTCTTGGAAAATGAAAAAAAAAAAACATTCGTAAGACTGGAGAGGAAAAAAAAAAAAACATGTAAAACAAAAAAAAAGAATAAAAGAAATAGGAGTTTTATTGTATTAAACATTAATTCATGGTCTGGTTTATGTATCATATCGCCAAAACAATTTAGCTTACTTATTACCAAACGGATCTATACAACAAACTATATTGTATAGATGAAATACGTTCCATTTGGTTTTTCTATTTATCTTTTTATTCTGTAATTGTTTAACCTGTCCAGAAACCAGTTCATGACGTCTGCCTTGTTTGTTTACAGCTGTCGCGATTCCTCTGCTGGGAACAGAGCAGTGCGCCCGCGGCCCCCCCTACTGGTGTCAGAATGTAAAGACTGCTTCTCTGTGTGGAGCTGTGCCTCATTGTCAACAGAATGTGTGGAATAAACCTCAACTGGTACTAATCCGTTTTGTTTGTTTTGAGTTTTGGGTATTTCCACTGCCTCTTTACTCACTCTTTTAATCCTGCTCCCACAGAAAACCGTACCCTGCGAGCTGTGTAAAGAAATCATAATCGTGGTTGAGCAGATTTTGAAGGACAATGCCACTGAGGTAAACAATAAAAACAACATAAATACCTTCTTATTTGCTCAACAAGCTGTCAATAATATAGTGTTTGTCTTTGTGTGAAGGGTGAGATTCTTGGATACCTGGAGAAAGCCTGCCAGCTTATTCCAGATGAGGGTTTGACTGCAGAGTGCAAAGAGATGGTGGACAATTATTACCCCATTGTGATTGCTATAATCACTGGAGAACTGGTAATTATTATTATTAAATATGTATACTTAATAGAGCTGAGACTTAAGCTCAAATACATATTTGAATCTCATTGTTTTAAAATATATTAAATTATTGATTTTAACCATTAAATGCTTGTAATCTCCCTGGGTGTAAAAAATAAAAGTGTTTTCACACGTACAGAGCCACCAAGTGGTCACAGGGACATAAGCCGGTCAGAGCAAAACACTCAAACGGCCAAAACAGGAGCTAAACCATGACTCAACCAGGATTAAACCAGGACTGACACTGGGGGTCACAGTGCTTGTTTCTCATTCTCCCATGAGTATCATCTTCTGCTGCTAACGTGTTCTCCTATGCGGAAGGACTGGTTAATAATAAAAATAAAGCCATGGCGCAGTGGGCGGTCTCGGGACACAGAGACGCTGCTGAGTTGCTAGCATCAAAGCCCATGCTAGTATAATGTTAGAATATTTGGTGCTGTCCATTATTCATTCGGTCTTTTATTTTTATTTGTTTATTTTTATATTGAAATTATATTTGAATATACAATTTCGTTTAATTAAACATTGTTACAGTTGTGATGTAAAAGTGAGAGGGCAGACGTCTAAAATAGAATCACATTTTAACCTGTGACATATGACTAAACCATTTCAAACAAGGGAATTCTAAAAATAATAAACAATTTATCTAGATTGCGCGGATGTCTGTGAAACTATTTAAAACATTTAATTTCTTACCAATCTGCACAGTGTCACTTCTCTTTCATGATCTGAGCAAAGTGCAGCTGCTGAATAAGAGCTATTGATGCAGAAGCGAGCCCTGGTAAAGGGAACAAAGTGCTTTTTGTGTAATTAAACCCCGTGACTGGGGTTCACAAGTTTTATTTTCTGTCATTAGAGCACGGGGACATGTCTGTCATGTATTGACTTGGTTCATCTACAGTGGGGCAAAAGTATTTAGTCAGCCACCAACTTCTCCCTCTTAAAACGATGAGGGAGGCCTGTGATAGGATAACATGCTGTTCTTCCTAAAACATTGTACTAGTCTTTTTAGCCTGTATTGTTGGACTGCTTTGACTGGTTTTGTTGTTGTAGGACGATCCTAATGTGGCGTGTGGTGCAATTGGGCTGTGCCGCTCTGAACAGGCAGCTCTGGCTGAAGTCCACCACAAGGCTCAGCTCCAATCCAACGAGATCCCCAAAATGGAGCTGCCTCCAATCCTAAGCCCATTCATTTTCAATATTCCCAAACTCCCTGAGGAGAGCCACAAGGAAGAAAGTCCTAAACAGGTACACAGTAAGCCTTTTTATATGAATTTTGGTGGTTGATCATATTCAAAATAATGTATGTATTTTTTTAAATGTAGGCCAATGACGTTGTGTGTGACGAATGCATCAAGTTTATCACCGACACTCAAGATAAAATGAAGAATGACCCCACATATGTGACCCATATGATTTCCACAATCCAGCAACAGTGTGACAAATTAGGACCTGGCATTTCTGATCTGGTGAGATTAGTTTAACAATAATATACCTCAAATGGTTTATTGACTTGTTTTGTCTGTTTTATAGTGCAAGGAGATGGTCAGTGAGTACGCACAACAAGTTGTTGACCAGCTTGAGTCAATGGTAAGGATTCTACGCGTAATTTCTTTACTCTTTGAAGTTGTTTTCACTCACTCTAAAGCAGGGGTTCCCAGTACATCAATCCCAATCTACCGATTGATCACAAAGGCAGAGTTGGTAGCTCACAGGGCATTTGGGGCTTCTATCTTCTTGCACACATATGTGGGCCAAAGTAGATGTGGATCTAACCACACATTTCACCAAAGTACTATAAATAATATGAGCAGTTATAAAATGAAATAAAAAAAAATACATTTTGTGCCACATATATTTGTAGGTAACTTGTTGTTTTCTGCCTGCTCACTTACTCACCAATGCACATTCTACAATGAAAGGCACAAGATTGAACCCACAACATTGATGTGAGGCAAGAGAGCTACCCACTGAGCTATGGATATTCAGAATCATTACAGCCCCACTTAGAACTGAGGAACACTCAGCTGGCTGCTGGAAAAGTAGATCTTGGTTTGATAATGTGCGGGCTCCCCTGCTGTAAACCCTCAGTGCATTGGCTGTGGATCACCACCCAGTTTTCTAATATGCAAGTGAACGCTGACCAGTTTAACCGTGCCAATTACTGGCTCGAGACCAATTGACTTATTCCCAGAGTTTGACTACCTTTTGCCACTTCTTCTCATTCATATTTCTTGCTCTGTTTCCCTTTGCTGTGGGTTGTCTGCTGATCCCAAAGGAAAAGGTAGGTCTGTGTTTAAGCCTGTGTAGCTTCTTTTAACTTCCTGCTTTTTGTGCCGTTCACTCGTGGTGTTCCTCATGCAAGTGTAGAGGTGCATGTTAATGATGTAGATGAAACAAGCCCTCCTTTATAACCCATGTCACTACTACCACTGCATACTACTTAACAACCCATAACCTGTGCCTAATGTTTATGAAACCTGTTTTATAGTAGTTAATGCATGTAATGATAAACGGACCCACAGCTGTGAAAAAAACATGAATGATGCTAGGCTGAGAGCTGCTTATTGCATTAATGGCATTGTAGTAAAACCTTATCAATTATGTTTGAGATGAAGCATTGACTTGATTCGCTTAATTCTTATTCAGGCTCCCCAGGAAATCTGCGGCGACATCGGTGTCTGTGCCGCTATGAAGAAGTCTGTCCCGATGTTGAGCCTGCTGCCAGCCATGACCAAGGCTGAGGCTAAAAGTGTACCGGCTTTGAAGATGTTCCCAGCCACAAAAGTGGAGGACAAGAAGGTGATCACAAAATACCATCTAAACCATGTAAACTATAATAGTATTTTTTATATTCATACAAAATATTTCCTGTTTCAGAAAATGTTCAGAGTGCGTGATTCCCCATCATGTGCAATCTGTGAATATGTGATGAAGCAGGTGGAGACCATGTTGGAGGACAAGACCACTGAGGTGCTTGTTTAGACATTTTCTTTCACAGATCAGAATTTTGTCAATGTATTTGGGGGAAAAAAGCTACTACTGCCTTGTTCTTCAGGAGGAGGTGATTCAGACGGTGGAAAAGGTGTGCCGATTCCTGCCTTCCACTCTGACCAAACAGTGCGAGGACCTGATTGAGACCTACGGCCAGGCCATTATCGAGCTCCTGGTGCAGCAGGCTGATCCCAAAACTGTCTGCACTGTCCTCGGCCTCTGCTCTTCTTCTAGTGGCAAATATATTGGTATATATTGGTTATAATCAGGCATATTCATGGGTAGGATGAGGTTTAAAGATGTAATGGATGTCCTATATAGGTTATCCATAACAAGTCATACCATTACAGATCTGTTAAAAACAACTGAAGTATTTTATGTTTGTGTTTAATGTTTTCTTTGTCAAAGGGTTTTGCAATCTGCCACAGCACTTCAGAGCTAATGCTTAATTAATTGGTCTACAAAGCATACACATTTGGTTTACGTGTCCCCCATTGTTTGTTAGCTGTCCTTGATGAGACTCGGTTCAAAGTTGGAGGATACTGTGACGTGTGCAAACTGGCGGTGAACTACATCGACGGCATTTTGGAGCAGAACGCCACAGAGGCACAGATTGAGGAGGCTGTGAAGAAGGCCTGCAATTTCCTCCCCGATTCTCTGCAAGACGAGGTCAGTCGAGGAGTTAAAGTTAAAAATAATACAAAATAAAATAAAACTTAAACTCCCTATTTTAACAGTGTAACCAGCTGGTGGAGCAGTACGAACCACTGCTTGTCCAACTTCTCCTTCAGATGATGGACCCTGACTTTGTGTGTATGGTATGTTGTTTTTTTCTTTGTTTTTTGGTAAATCTTCAGTTTAATTGTTAACCCATCATTTAACGTTGTTGCGGCCACTTCTAACAGAGAATAGGAGCTTGCCCTGAAGCTGTGAAGAAGCTGCTTGGGACTGAGAAGTGCAGCTGGGGACCCAAATTCTGGTGCCAGAGCATGGAGTCGGCCACTCTCTGCAATGTAAGAATAATAAACTAGAGAATTTGCTTGCAGATAAACTTAGTTGTAGCCCTGAGGAACTTTTATTTCACACTGTGTATACAAAAAGTGTTAAAATACATTTTGAAAACTGCTTGGACAAAGAAGATACTTACCATAAAATGTCTTCTGATGCACAGAACATTATTAGTTGGAACCTTTTATTCATCCTACAGTGGGGAAAGTGAGCAGTTTTTAAAATCCAAGATGTTTTCATTTCAAATGTGATGGAAATTTGCAAAGAATATTGAATAATTATACAAAATTGGTTAATATTAATGTTACTTGAAATTGTGTGATGCAGTAAATGGATAAATGTGTTAAACAATTAGTTTTCATGGTTATTGTATATATATATATGTATGTATGTATATGTATATATGTATATATATATATATATATATATATATATAAATTGATGAATCATGTTTTTCTTTCAGGCTGTGGAGCACTGCAAACGTCATGTGTGGTAGAAGAGGCTGAAAACTCTAGGGTATTGAACTGACTGGAGCTGCGTTCTACTTTTAATCTTTCTTCTTATGATTGAACAACCACATAAATTAACATTTTGAATAAATCTTAGTGGTAAGGGACTTGATTTATGTTTCGGGGCTGTTTGGTTTTACAATCTCTCAAGTCTCGGAGGCCAAAGGCTGCTTTTCTGCAGCGGCAACAAAGCTTCACTGGATTTTTGAAATGCAAATGTTTGGCTTTCCATTGCAACACCGGAATGTTTTTGTTGTTTTTTGAGTGTACATAAAACATGAAATGTTAGTTTTACAAGTTGATTTTTGGAGACTGCAAGTGTACCTTCTTTGCCAAAATGGACTGTTCAGAAAGTAATTGTTCGGTGTATAAAAATGGCATTACCACTTTGAGCTAACATTTGTAGGATTATCTGCTTTCCATCGCATTGTTTGCACTGTTTTAATAATTTGTCATTGTTCTCAATCTTTGAACAATAAAGTGATACAAGTTATTTTAATGCATCTCCCACATCAATTTAAGTATGAAAATAAGTCCTTGACTTCATACATTGTCACAATGTGTGAACATTGGAAAAGACCTTGTTAGCGATCAAACATTTGATAATAGATCAGTCTATAGTAATTACAGGCATAGCAAAAGTACTGAAAACTTCAGTGGACTTGTTCATAATGGCAGTCTCACCAGCTTCCTTAACACTGAGTCTTTAATTCGACAGAAATTGTCCTGTTAAACCACATTCCGAAAACTGCACTGTCAAATGCAGTGCACGATGAGCACAGAGAAGGCAGATCCAAACGCTAGTCCCAACGTGAGAAAGAAGGACATCACGACTCCAGTGGCCTCTGCCAAGTCTCGCGACACAACTTTAGGCCCATAGATCATTGGTAACGTGCCAAGGTAACCGTTGGAGAGCCCCAGGAGGCAGTTGAAGACTATAGGGTATACGTCATGTGTGAACAACACAGTGTGCAGGTGGTCCCTTGGCTGGTAGTTACAGAACATTAAGAGTGGCACCAGAGCTGAGCGGCACAGAACCAGTGCAGGTAAAACTCGACTGGTGGGACCTGGCACCTGAAGCCAAGCGGTCGCCTGCCTCCCACAAAAGTCTGCAACGTTATAGAGGAGAAAACTGGTGAGTGGTGTGAAGAATGTGGAGGTCCAGGCACTGCCACTGTCCTTGTGCATGGACTCGATCCCGGAGGAGATGGCAGGAAAGACCATGATGGAGATGCAGAAGACATGGAAGACTGACAGGCCCAGGACCCAGGTCTTTCTGAGGATGGGCTGCAGCGGCGGAGTGGACACTTTAGCTCTGCCCCTGGCCTCGTTGATGACCACAGAACTGGAGCACTCAGCGGCCAACATGTAGTGTCTAAAAGAGGGCAGGAAAATAATATTTTTACAACTCTCTGTTAATCTATGTTTTAGTTAAGTCGTCACAATAAACAAACAGCCTCTTCTGGTTTTGAGTGAAATATTTTAGATTCTCATATTCAGTGATGTGCATGGTGTACATGTTTTTAACCCTTGTGCTACCATCTGGTCAAAATGACCTGCCACAGATGATTAAAAGAAAAATAGCCTAAATTAGGGTCTAAAAGACCCGGAACTGGACTAGTTTGGAAAAATCTTCCAAATTCAGCTCTTAACATTTTTTAGGTTATTTTTTGATCACTGTGGCGGGTCAATTTGACCAGAGGATAGCACTAGGGTTAAAGTGGTTCTCACCCCCGCTCCTCGGAACTTACGTCACTCTCATTTCCTGTTCAAATCTTCCTCTAAATGGGCGTAGCCTGGAGGACTGAAGGGGGCGTGAACGAGACTGGGCCGTTTACATTGCTCTGGGCGGGGGGCTGCTGACGTCAGGTCCAACTTGCAGACGTCAGGTCCAACTTCTGTGCCAGTGTTGGCGCCAGATTCAAAATTCAAATGTAGTAATACAGGTCGCCAGCAGATGGCGCCTCACAGACGGTTTTAGGCAGAAAGTTTAACTTTCAACTAATTTGCACCAAAGTGACAAAATTATGACCAGGATATGTAGACAACACTATTGGACACTCATTTATACCGTTTATCAGCAAAAAAATGTGGATTTGAGGGTGAGTTGTCCTTTAAACTTCACAGATATTAGGTTCTTTGTTTGAGTAAGAGCTATTAAAATTGTTTTAAGAACCTTCCTTTGTTCTGTTTGTTGAATCACGGTCATCACGGTATAGAACATACCATTAAGTTGAAATAAACAGGGATCATAACTTCCTGTATCGATGACTCAGTGTTACAACGCCATCTAGTGGTGTTCTGACAATGGTGAAGGTAAGTGTGTGCAACAATGTATTATATATATCGATGGGAGACTTTTTAATGTAATATTTCTTGTTCTTGAAAAGTTGAAATAAATAAAGTCTAAAACCAAGTGGCCCACTTTGTGCTTCTGAACTGTTTTAGTTGTCACAGCATTGGAGCAAAAACCTCCGTAACATAAACAATCCAATCATTGAGTTAAACTTGCGTTAACTCTTTGCCCAGTTCACCCCTGCCCTTGTCCCCCTGACCTGGAGTATTCCAGTTTGGGCAGCAGGAGGTAGGTGGCAATGCAGAGAAGGATGAGGACGTCTGCAGTGAGGAAATAGGCCAAGGCACTGTCGGTCACATCTTTAGCAGCTGCGAGGTCGATTATTGCCGCTACAGCGCTCAGAGTCCCTCCCATAGCCTGGCCTGAAACAACATCAGCGGCCGATCAACGCTGGGATGTAGCCAATAAATGTGATGACACAATTATTAGGATTTGAAATGACAACTGTCGGTATGGTTTATCTGTCCTCCATGCAAACCTAGATGAAACTATCACATTTTTAGGTTTGTCAATGATTTTATAGAAATATACTAAAAATTAAATTCATGGAGGAGCATTCATTCTATTGTAGTAAATCAGGCACACCAAGTGAATGGCTTGATATTGATTTCCTATAAATCATGATTATGAATCAAACATAATTGTATTTTGATTATTGTAATTATCAACTAAGACTCAAATTGATGGTATAAGAAAATTCCAAAAGTAATTCACCAGCATAATCCATTATCTAGAGGCCCTCGCTCACCATACTACAGTCTATTCAGGGTAAATAAAGTTTGAACACAGGCGTTAGCAAAAATATACAATATTTTCACTAATTTCTAATTGAGGGTGCTGATGACCTTTAGTTGAGTCATCAGCAGCTCAAGTATTAAATATCAATAAATACCTCAAATAAAAAATAATAACTAACTTGTGAGACTGAGATAATTACTTGCAGCATAATAAACATAAGCCTATCCATCAGTTGGAGCACCTGAGATGAGAGCCTGGGAGATCCTCATGGGGAAGTACCCCGTGATGCCGAAGACGCTGCCGGAGAAGATGTTTGAGGCTCCGCTGACGATGGCCACACTCACTAACGTCCCCACGAAGAACTCCATGGTGCAGCTGGACATGTCCACCTTCACCAGAACCGTGGTCACAACAAAAACCAGCAGGATCACAAGCAGAGAGGACAGGATACGCGCTCTCGGCGATAACCTGTTTAAACACACCAGAGATGGAATAAAATGACTTTCAGTGTGATATTAAGAACTTGCTTTTTGATGCAAAGTCTATGGGAAGTGACTGTGGCAGTGCGATTCAGTGTTGGCTGTGTGAACGAGGCTTAAAGCTCACTGTGTAATAATTGCCGCAATGGTCAATAATTCGATTCAAGATGTGATACGTGAACATCTGCACTGGGAATAACCATGACATGACACATTGAAGCTCTTCCGAGGAAACTGATTGAGTTCCACTTTCAAAATTACCTCTAACTGGGCTCACAGGGCTCTTTCTTGAGTCTTCAAACATGGACTGATAAAGCCAGTATGTTGTGACTCATGTATTACTATTTTGTATTGTTTATGAAAAAGTAATGGATTAAAAAAAAAATTGGTTGGATGTTGTTAGAATACAATATAAACACTGAAATAGGAAAAGGAAAGTAAAACAACAGGCAATCTGTTATATGTTCAGATTTAGCACAATACTAGTTTCCCAGATAAGATCTGTGAACAGCCAGAGGAAAAAAACTGTAATGAGAGAGAGACCTGTTCACAAGGAAATAGTTGAGTATCAAGCACAGGACAGAGGGAATTGTTGAAGCGATGGCCAGATAGCTTTCAAAATAGTCCTGAAAGCAGAAGAAAAAAAAACAAGATTACTTGGCTTTATCCTTGGCACTTCAGTTACACTTTGTACAAGCTCAGATAAAAGGAAGTGAAAAGACACTTATTCTACTGTGATTAGCAGAAGTCATGCATTCCTGTGTCGCCTCAGTGAAAATGCAAGAGACTGTGCCTCCCATTTCTGATGGATTACATTAGTTACACTCTACACGCACCAATTATATAAAGAAATGTATTGTTTGATTGTAAGAATTGCTCTTAATCTAATAAGAAAAGGACTGAGAAGAGTACGTCCAAATTCAACACAATGTACACTGAGAATTCAATGGATATTCATTAATGGATGTTTTATTTGATCTAGATATACATTCTATAACATTCATACCCATCACACTCACCCCGAGGTCGGAGCGCTCCTCGCCTGGTTTATTGGTGAGGCTGTGGTTACTGAATTTGTAGAGCCAGTAGTGTTTTGCTGTTATAAAGAAGTTCCAGGGCAACAAGGAGCCGATGCCCATAAGGAAGAAGATGAGGTAGACTAAATTATAGGAGTCTTTGGGGTTGTGGCGCACGGGCAAAGGGACAGACGAGTGATTGGGCAGCAAGGCACTATGGTCCGAGGTGTCCTCCGAGGAGTCATGGTCCACAAAAGCAGAGGGGAGATAGGCTGAGTTTAGACTCGGCTCCGGTTCTGTAGCCTCCATTTGGAAGGAAAGATGACTGGCGGTAGGGACTTATTTAGATGAGAAACCTGGCAAAATAAAAGGCAAGTCAAGTCGAGTGAAGAAGAAAGTCATAAGACGTGATCATAAAAAATACAACTTTATAACCTTGTAAATATTTTATGAATGAGCAATATATCACATGACAATGACTTCCCAGATATAGCAGATTGGATCAAATATTGGTGAGTATTGGCTCTATATTGATAAAGTAGAACTTATTTGGCACCTAATAGTACATTTTCTCATGTTTTCAATACGGTAATAGAGGCTTAAAGTTATGCAAGATATATATTGTGCAGCATAGTTTTTACAAAACATGACCATTATTTAATCAGACAAAAACATGTATTGGAATAAAATCGCTGCTATTCAATTTTATTATTACAAGTCAACTATTGCATTTATAACTTATATAGACAAGACAAGGGGCGACAGTAGCTCAGTTGGTAGAGCATTGGCCTTTGGGCCTGGAAGTCGTGAGTTCGAATCCCACCATGGGACCTACTCCAACTGCACCCACTGATGACTGCTGTCGTTGTGTCCTTGGGCAAGACACTTAACCCCACGTTGCCTGAAGCCCCCGCTGAAAGATCAAGGCTGTATCACAACTGATGGAGCAGCCATCTTCCTGTGGACTCACCCCCTGCAGAGGGTCAGTGAGGGACTGGTGCTATGAGCATTGGGTGGCATCTCTCATTGCCACCCCCCCGACCCAGAAATGGACTAATAAAGGGGTTGAAAATGAAATGAAATGAAATAGACAAGACATCCATTGTGTCACTGGGGACATAAGCCTGGAAAAAGTAATCAGAATCAGAATAATAGTTATTGCCACGTAAGTAACAGGAAGTCACAGACTTGGAAATTGCTTTGGCTCAGTGGCAGAAGAATTAAGAGCAATCCTAACTTATACACTTTAACATGATCTAAGTGCAGCATTTCACACCATCACAGAGAACCATACATACATACTGACTCCAAAAGCAGAACAGCAATAAGTGACAACCATGTGTCATAGCGCACTCACTTAATGTTGAAAACAAATAGCTGCATGTACGTCTAAGCAAAGTCATGAGACCTTCAGTACCTTTGTAAACAATACAGGGCAATGATAGGTACAGAGAGAGACTGTTCTCCACGGACATGAACAGAAGCATCATGTGTGTAACTAATGAGGAACAGTTTCCACATGATGCTGACCAGAGAAAAAGCAACTTAACCCCAAACTTTCTTAAGAGCAATCCCCACTTCAGCAACTTTACTTCTGTGAGTGTTATGCTGAGCTGACATCCGTGCATGGCTGTTGTTTAAAATGGCAAAAATGATTAATTAGGATCAAAATTTGACACTAATTTTCACAGTCATGGTAAAGAAGAAAGCAAAGTCTATGCGCACTACAAAAGGTTTAAAAACATTAGCATAAGAACTAGCTAAGCAGATGGTATTTTAGCAATGCAGCTAACAATCTGATAAAAGACAAACATGATTTAAAAAGTCTTAACATACTTCACCAGCACATACGCCTTGCTGTAAAAAGACACTTGTGAAGAGAAGTGGAGACATTTCTCAACTAAACAGATCTCCGGCAGCGTCAACAAACTCACTTCCGGGTTACGTCTGTCACATTAAACCTCCAGGAAAAAAAACGTTTCCAAATTAAAACAGAGCGTCATATTGTTCATACGTTTTTCTCCCAATGAACTTGTGTTGCACTCGCATTACTTACTCATTAGGAATTCTGATCAATTCTTAAGATTCCAAATAAATAACACATGTGTATGATATGAAGCTTTATTTCAGTGCATTGGAATCACTTTGCAGCAGGTGTCACTGTTGATCTTTCATTAATAGGTTTAATGGAAGCAATTGGACTGAGAATAGAATGTCATTTAGGCTATAAAAACTGATTAAAATCTTTTCAGATGAATTTCTTCATCTGAACATAGAATATGAAATGGAACTCCTTGATAATCCATTATTGCCTTGTGCAGGATAACTCAAAAAGGACAGTTGGAGTCAAGGGTCTATTGAGTGCTTTTTAGGAGAAACTTTTCAAAATATAACTTGTGCTTGTATTTTCTATGTTTACTGAAGCGTGTGGTGCAGAGGTGAGTCTGGGTGAAGCGCTGCCATTTCAGTGCCTCATAAAAGGCTCAGTGGAGTCAGCACAGAACGCTGCACATGGCTCTGTAATTAGCACAGCACCTTTAATGAAACAGGTGCAGGTGAAAGACTTGTCTGTCATTAAGACACACCACACTGCACATGTGCACGCCCTCAAATACAAGGCAAACACAAGACAAACAGGACAGAAATACACACATTTTTCATATATACATTTTCACATAACCATAATTATTCTGATAAATCAAATAGCTGTTCAGAATTGTGGTAATTTGTGTAAATTGCAGTTGGATTCAGCTGAAGTGAAGTCAGTGGACGAATTCTAGTGAAATGTTTAAATTGTTAACCATAGAAATCCAAGACATTTCCACAATTCACAACTCTTAAATGTGTTAGGAGTTTATGATTACTAAAATAGTTTAATATTACTCTCAATATAAAAGCATTCAACCTAAAACAGATGAGGGGAATATATATATCTATGGCTCTGTCTTTTCACTGTACATAGTAAGGTAGTAAGACTTATTTTAAATGTAAATCATGTTTAATTCCAGGCTTAAATTTAACCCTCTATGGCATGACTTTTTATTTTAGGGGGAAAAAAATATTTCAACACACTTTTTAAGAGCTCGTGGGTCCCTAATAACATTGATCTTTACATTCGACCCCCCCCCCCCCCCCAATCAGATAATGGTTTATTGCTTAAGGGCAACATTGTGCGACGAGGGTACTAAAACACCAAGGTTTTCAATATTACATTGAATTAGGAAAATAATAAAACAAATACATTAGAGAAGCTTTTATTCTTTTATTTTTCAAGCTCAACTTTTTTAAACGGGTACAGAGCACTCCAGATTGCAAAAACAAAAGCAAAAACAGTTCTGAGCCTCTAGTAAGTCACACAGCTGCGGGTCTCGGTAGCCTATTGTGTATGGAACAGCAAGAAGCAGTTGCTAGTGGCTGTGAAACATCTATGTTTCACAGCCAAGACAGAGACCTGAGACCAGGACTAATGTGAGAGGACTTCAGGACAGAGACCTGAGACCAGGACTAATGTGAGAGGACTTCAGGACAGAGACCTGAGACCAGGACTAATGTGAGAGGACTTCAGGACAGAGACCTGAGACCAGGACTAATGTGAGAGGACTTCAGGACAGAGACCTGAGACCAGGACTAATGTGAGAGGACTTCAGGACAGAGACCTGAGACCAGGACTAATGTGAGAGGACTTCAGGACAGAGACCTGAGACCTGGACTAATGTGAGAGGACTTCAGGACAGAGACCTGAGACCAGGACTAATGTGAGAGGACTTCAGGACAGAGACCTGAGACCAGGACTAATGTGAGAGGACTTCAGGACAGAGACCTGAGACCAGGACTAATGTGAGAGGACTTCAGGACAGAGACCTGAGACCAGGACTAATGTGAGAGGACTTCAGGACAGAGACCTGAGACCTGGACTAATGTGAGAGGACTTCAGGACAGAGACCTGAGACCAGGACTAATGTGAGAGGACTTCAGGACAGAGACCTGAGACCAGGACTAATGTGAGAGGACTTCAGGACAGAGACCTGAGACCTGGACTAATGTGAGAGGACTTCAGGACAGAGACCTGAGACCAGGACTAATGTGAGAGGACTTCAGAACAGAGACCTGAGACCAGGACTAATGTGAGAGGACTTCAGGACAGAGACCTGAGACCAGGACTAATGTGAGAGGACTTCAGGACAGAGACCTGAGACCAGGACTAATGTGAGAGGACTTCAGGACAGAGACCTGAGACCAGGACTAATGTGAGAGGACTTAAGGACAGAGACCTGAGACCAGGACTAATGTGAGAGGACTTCAGGACAGAGACCTGAGACCAGGACTAATGTGAGAGGACTTAAGGACAGAGACCTGAGACCAGGACTATCGATTGGAATGTCCCTAACTCCTTCATTCTTGGACCCGTAAAACGTTATTGCATCCATTTCCTACAAGCAATAGTAGATAAATCAGAATGGAAGATAGAACAGCAAAAAATATTGAGTGTGGTGTTGATTATCCATTCAAGCACATCCCCAACCAGCAGCATTACACTGCCCAAACAAAAGTGCTACAACTGCATGATGTTGCCTTGAGGCAACAAACCTAAACGTGCAGTTTTTGTATATAAATGGAAACAAAAAACATATATTAACAATCAAATATGCTTCTTAACATATTCATGCACAGTCACATATTTATTTTATCAAGTTTTTCGAATTTAAACATGTAGAAAAGTTATATTTATCCTACCTTTTTCTGGCACTGTGTCACTTGTGACTCTGCTTCCTGAAAGGACTGCTCCACCCCCAGACAATTGCCCCCACCCACTTCAGAACTTGATTTAATTGGACAGAAACATGTCTAGTAATTTTATAAAAAAAAAAAAAAAAAAAAAACATTAAAGGGCCAGTGTAAGAGCCAAAAGATTGGTTTGTTGCCCGAGGGCAACAGTATGCCATAGAGGGTTAAAATAAAATGTTTGAAATTCCAATGTAAAAGTTATAATACATCTGTTATTTTAGGGACTCCTAGATTAATTAATTGGTTAATTTAAATGAATAATAGCAGAATTGATCCACATATACATCAGAGTGAGTAAATGATGGTCGGAAGCTTCAATGCACCAGTGAGTGTGGCGACTTGTTTCAGTCATAAACGTGTGTGGAGTAAATGGAAAAATAAAATCTGTACTCCAAAACATTGTAAAGCGCTTTGAGAGACCTTGTGAAATACAGTGTGTATATTAAGATCTAAATAGATTTTAATATGGCCATACGTAACGTTACAGACAAAACCACAAGACACACATTCTGCTAAGAAATATAATTTATTGCATAAAAATTATATTTAGTTACAGGTAAGAAGGCTGGACATTTATTTACAATTAGTATCATACAGAGATAAAATAATGTCAATGTTTCTTTTCTTTTTTGCGAAAGTGTCTCCTCAAACAAAGGCTACATTATTTTCTTTGCAGGGAGAGAGATGTGAGCTTGTTCCACCCAGGTCCAAAATATCAATCCGAAAAGACTCATCCACCGGATAAAACACTGTCGACTTTAGCTCCACGGCTTGCGCCAAAGTCTTTGAGTCCACAAATAATCACAATAAGGTGTATATATTCGGCATGTCCTCATTCAGTAGTAGCTTCCTTTTGCAGTCCATAACCCCACTTTTCACATCCAGGTGGGACACTTCCACAACATACTTTCGTCACGTTGTTTGAATCCTTTCGCCTACATCTACCGCTTTAGGGTAAAAAATAAAAACCCTGTTATTGTTTTGAAAAAATATACTCACTTTTGCAGGAAACAAAAGAAGTCAAATGCTTTTTCCCCCTATTCCTTTGAACTTTTGCATAGCACTTACAAAGAGAAATGACAGATCGGTGGCCTTCGCACTCATGATATTGTGCACATACACTGCCCACTCACACTAGTCACACACGCCCAGTTCATTCATACAAACAGTAACAAAAATCACTGCTTAAGAGGAGGGATACTGCCTGCGTTTTGGTTTTATGTCGTTAAGATATGAATACTTTTTTTGCTTTAAGTAATGAACCAGATGAAAAGAATTAAAGCTGGAGTACCTAAACTTTTTGTTTCATACATAGACTGTATATAGTTGGACAATGCAACCCCCTTGCTCAATGAAACCCAATGAGGAAGTTTTGTTCCAACTTGCTCTGGTTGATATTGACTTACATTTATAAGTAAATTCCTCAAGCCCAGTAACTTTTTGTGTCACACTCACCATTTTGGGCTTAGAAAAATCATGATATAGCACTTTTTATTTTAATATTTTTTATCAAACATCCAGATATGTGTCATAAGGATCGACCAATCAGATGCCTTCGTTCACAAGGGAAACTCCAGCTTGCCTTAGCAACTATCTTAGCAACATGTCTGCCCCTGTTACGCTTTGAACGGGGCAAATCCCATCGGAACAAATGCTCATATAATGAAATTCCAGCTAGCTCATTTTCTCGGTTAGCCTAATAAACAATCAATGGTTTCATGAGGAATCATTTTTATTTGTCCCAACAGAAAGAGTAAGAAAATAGTGAAATATTATTGTTATCCTTCTCTCATAATTAAGGTAGAGCCCTGTAAGTTACCATTTGACTCACAATTTGACATTTGTTTGATTTCATAAAATATTTGTGGATTGAATGTTAGATACTCCAGCTTCAAAAACGTCTCCTTGAAGTGGTGCCTGGTGGTGAAAGCATAAGAATGTACTAGTAACCTGCGCAAACATTTAAAGGTAAAATCGCAAACATAATTGTGAAAAGTTCAGCATTTTCTGTTACGTTGAGCCAAGGCATTTGACAACAGTGAAAAATAATCATTACAAATAAAATACAGACTTTTCATGATCCACTACCAACCACCTATACGTCTGACAGATGACATCATACAATTTTCAATATATTAGCATAAAAACAAATACATATGGTACTTTTGATATAAAATGTGCAGCTATATCTTTTCCATTTGGCCTGTTCTACCATAGAGTAAAAATGTAACAGCAGCTCAGTAGCCTAAACAAGCACAAAATTATACATGAGCCTATGCATTCATACCGGCATCAGCGCACGAAAAAGAAAAAATAACAATCCACAAATATGGATAATAACACAAACGGCGTTCCCCAAAGGAAACTTTTAAGAGAAATTTCCTAGTGTTTACTGTCGGCGATGCGTTTGGGGGATGCGCTCGAGTAGAGATGAGAGAAAAGACACCCTTGTTTAGTCCAAATGATACGCAAAGGCTTTGAGGCATTTGTTGGTACGATATAAAGAGTTTTTGTGTGTTGTCTGCCAATAATTCTGTAGAAAATCTTCAAAATGCCACCTCTCGCTGAAAAGAAGAGTTTTTTTTTTTCATCAGCATCCAAAGAAGCGTGCCCTAAACTCTAGGTCCTTCCTTGAGTGATTTGTCAGAAGTGTTTAAGTAGAGACGAGATTGTAGCTCAAGTAACCGTGAGCCAATTAATCACTTGTGTGTGTGTTGCCTGAGGAGTTTTGTTCTTTCGTCTATACTTACAGCACCCACTGAGGGACAACTTAGTTTGAGTTAGATGCTGAAATGGATGTGAGATGGTTCCAACTGCTACAGAAAATGTGTGTTGAACTGACTTTGGTGCTCATTGTGTGTGTTTGTAAAGTTTGCGTTTTCCACTTATTTACAATGTGACTAGAGCGTAATCATTACAAGGCAGTCTTAGTCGCACGTGGCACATCACTGTTTCAATATATTACTGTTTTATTAGACTCTGGAGGGGAAGGGCAACACTGATTGGTGCATCCAAGCAGAACCGCGTGGTAGTTACTGTCGAATGGGCCGTTTGGGGATGGGGTTATGGCGAAAAAACGCAGCAACAGTGGCTGATGAGGGGCCCGTGAAACAAATGAGGCAGAGTGAAGAGAATCCTGGGCTTGTCATTCCTGTTTTGTGCATATTCTTAGGCAGCAGGTTCTTTTAACGTTGATTCGCTTGCTCCCGCGTCCCTCGGCCGATCAGCAGTCTCCGTCCGTTGTCATAACAACCAGGACCTCGCTTTTGCCCATTTCCTCGAGCGCGGACGCCAGAGAGACCAGATCCGCATCGCCTTGGTGACAAGCCTCCCACAAGTCCAGCAGCACACCTGTGGGGCTGGGTTTTGTGGCGAAGTAGTTCAAGTACCTGTGGGAGACGAACACACGGTTAGTCTCCTGAGTCACGCACAAACAAAACTCACGCTCAGACTATACCGCATATATTATCTATCATGCATAAAACATATTCAGGATTTCTGGACGTAATGAAACGTAAGGAAACTATTTTAGTATTTCTAGTCATTTAAAATTTGCAAATATGTAAAATCAGGGGATGGTAACCATCATTTTATTTATATTAGAGCTGGGGTACCTAACTATTGATGTTTGTACAAACACAAAGAGTAAATTCAACAGACATCTAATTCAAAAGAATGGTATATTTTCTACAGTAGTAAAAAAAAGAAAAAAAAAGTCACTTCTGATTGGCTGAATGAGGCTGGTCCTCTCTTTTTCACTTTTATAAAACAGCTGATCCAAAGATGTGATATATCATCTTTAACTACAATGGACGTCAACATGTTATTTTCCTTGTTTTTTCTGCTCTGTTTAGAGTGCAGAGCGGTCAAACCTTTTATTGTTATTCTTTGGCGGTCACTTAAGAATCTCAATGGTCACTATAAAAGGCACTGACCGGTCGAAGCCGAGGCTCCGTGCGAGGAGTCTCCAGTCGCAGCCGCGAGCGCTGGGTGCATCCAGGCTGGCACAGATCTTGTGGCGGATGGAGTCCGGCAGGCGAAAGGCATAAGGTCCCACTTGAGAAGAAGGCAGACAGGCTCCAGCAGAGGGGAGCGGCGAGTGTGGAGGTAGAGTCTGCAGACACAATCAAGGCTGCATTAGCCCTATGCTGCTCTGCAATATTATGTCCTGAATAAAAGATGCTGTTCCTGTTTTAAATCAGCAAAGCCAGACAAATTATTGAACCTTTTGGTAACCAGGAACGTCCCACTGAGATATCACATCTCTTTTTCAGGGGAAGGAGATAGAGGAGCTATTGTACATGTTTTTAGTGTTAGGGGGAACAGGGGCACCTGGAGGAATCATGCAAACTCCATGTGAAAATGGGAATACTGTATAAGTCAGGGAAGATATTTTATGCTGATAAAAGTCTATGCTGCTTTTTATTTTATTTATTATCATAAATGTTTTAATCTTTTAAAATAGATTTTGGCAACACTTCCAGACACACTTTTGCATGCAAGCTAATTTATTACATTGGGAAAAGAATGTTGCTTGAATGATCAATTAAATGCTCGAGTGACTTCAAACGCAGGAAAATGAGCGCTGCTATTTTGGGCTGATTCGATATACCGTATTTTTCGGACTATAAGCCGCAGATTTGTTCCTGCATTTTGAAGGCTGCGGCTTATAGTAGTGGCTTTATTTATTTTTTCCTGTGTTGCCAAAAACATATTGCCAAGTAACAGTAGATCAACAGAATTGATGAATTGTTCACTTCACACAAGGAAGCTAGCAAAAATGCATTCATCCACCACAGGTGAGAGAAACAACATTGTGTCAGCTACTCTTACTTTGCTAGAGTGAAGTTAAATATTACTGAATACTGAATTTTAATCATACTGAATATGTTCACAATCAAACCGCCCAACCCAGAAAAAGTTGAGCTGTTTGGTTGTGCTGGGTTTTTAGTGTGCATCCCTTATAAATAATCCAGTCATGTGTCTATTTGAACCTTTTTTATAGACCCCCAAATGGTGCTGTTTGAGTGCATGATGTAAATAGCAGAAAACTATTTTATAATTACAGAATGATTTTGTGTTCCATATTTTACATGAAAGACATGTTTTTTGTCCTCTGCTGCCCATGATCACCAACATGCGGCAACATAAACAGGCTTTTTCAATGCAAGTCATATTTCAACAAGCCGATTACTGTAAACATCCTTGAGTTAAACTAAACTACTGCAGGGATGTTTTGAAGATCCATAAAACACGTTACGCTGCATATTAAGTCACCATACCTCCTGGATGTCTGTGTGCAACTGGAATATCTGTCCCTCTCCCTCCACTTGTCTGACGCAGATTTTACAGGTGAGCTGCGATACGACCAGGCTTCCTCTCTCCAGGCTGAAGGTGCAATGCAGGGGCCGCTGACTGCCGCTCCAGATGTGATAAAAGGGAATCTCCTGGAAAAAAAAAAGAAGGGCAAAGTAATGACACGAATACCAAAAACTGCATTCTCTACTACATTGTGAGAGTAGCCCAGTTTAATATGTGAAGCAGATTCCTTTCAGAGACGCCACAATATGGTTTATTTCCACCCAAGAGGCTTTGTGTATGTCAGAATACAATTTATGCATTGCAGTGTATAGTCCATAAATAAAGGCGCTATCAGATTTCCTGTTTATTTATTCAGAATGGGGTTAGGCGGATTTCTCTACAGTGGAGTCATGAGAATGCAGCAGAGGTTTTAGTGTTTACAACTGGAAATAGTCAAGTCCAGCCTCCATTTTCTAAACAAACAAAGCATTTTAGTTAAGTAGACGGCATCACAGGGAATAAGGAAAGTCGCTGGTGTTTAGACTGCGTTTTAGAGTATTATTACCTGGTATTTGGCCAGTAGTTTGCTTCTCCAGTGCGTGTGTGGGATGTCGTGGATGGAGAGGCGGAGGTTGTGGTAACTGTCTTTGAAAAGCATTGGTTTGGGGTCCTCCAGCAGAACTCCGCCCAGGCTCCGCTCCAGGTCCAGCACCTCCTGTTCAGCAGACAGAGAGGGATGATAATGGCTTTGTCAATACTTGTAATGCATTCGGCTCCTCAAACGAGACACACATGTTAACGACCGCGAAGGAGGAGGAGGAGGATGCAAAGTGGGAATGACAATGATTTAAAAATGGATAGAAAACTGTAATGTCATTTCAGCACACAGCACTTTATCTGGAAGAATTTAAGATGAAGAGATTCTTTATTTGTCACACAATGGGGAAATTTCAATGTTGCCTCCGGTTACAGAACAGTAGCAATGAAACACAAAATAAGACATAGCACAACTATAGAGTATTGAAATATAGCTTCATAATAAAAATGTATAAACATTATACATGTTTTTGCATTAGAATTTCTGCAGACATTGTTTTTAATAACGGTTATAAAAAGGTATTAAAGTGTGTTTGGTAATAACACTTTGTTAACTAAGAAAGGCAACATAAACCAGCGAAAACAGAAAAGCCATTATTAACCATTATTTAAAAAAAATTAAATTGTCTCTTTAAATTGTCTCGAGACAATTTAAAAAATATGTTAATAATGGCTTTTCTGTTTTCGCTGGTTTGTCTGAAATTGGATTATTATATTATCATCCATTTTTACAATATGTAAACAAATAATCAGCAGCGACTATTTGTGAGATATGATTGCCTTTTTTATGCAACTTTTTCAGGACAAAAATGGTAAAAACCTGTTCCAGCTTGCCTTAGCAACCATGTAAGCAACAAGTATGCCCTACAAATCGGCTTCTTCCGCATCCGGGTCAGTCCACTCCCAATATACAGACTAAATGCAAGAAGAGTGAAGCCGGGACCCTTTTTCCAAATAATTGCTTTATCGAAAGAGTTTTAGGTGGGCTGCTTTGTTACCTTGAGTGCGTGTGGCGTGTCATGGATGCAGTAGACGCGCAGGCTGTAGTCCAGGGAAAGGCAGGGGGCTCTGGGGGCGAACAGGGCCAGCTGCAGCCGCTTGCAGGCAGGCTGAGGCGGGCAGGACTGTCCCACGAGAGCGTATGTCCCCAGCTGCTCCATGAGGACGTGCGAGCTCTCCTCCTCTAACTGCAGGTAACACGGGGAGGACAGGGTCTCCTCTCCAACAGTCAGCACCTCCTAAACACACAACAAAACAGTCAAGAATGTCCCAGAGTGAAACTAATGCAACCTTTTGGAAAGATTAAATACATGTTTCATAAGGTTCAAATATTATACCGGGACATAGGTAAAGGCAATATTTTTTCTTGCTTTGAATAATTTAGGTAATTGAGATTGAGATTGACTTCCAATATGAAAGTGTAGTATTCTTTAGGAAAAACAACACTTTATGCTTGTCCCATTGGCAATTTAATACCATTTTAATAACTAAAAAACAACAATCAAGATGAATACTACTTACTTTGAGTGATATATAACGTAGGAAAGATGTAACAGAGATATTTGACCTTGTAGTGACCAGTGGCTGTGAGCGTGGTCAGCATGGTGCCTTAACTATTGATCACGGTTATGTCTACAGCGGTCAAGGATTGACTGTTCTGTAAGTTTTTCTGGTGAGAGGGGCCGTCTGAAGACCTTTCTGCAGACCTTTCAAACAATTGATCCTATGCTTCCTAGAGACCACTGTGATTGACAGTAAAGGCGCCATGCTGACCACTCTTACACATACTGGGTCACGACAGGGTCAAATATGCAAAATATATACATGCACACACAGACACGCACAGACTTACATAATAGTAGGGCTGTTCTTTATACTACCAGATATTTGATTATCTAATATTCTATAGTATTTGTCTGGTCTCAATACCCAGCTTGATGTACAATTCGTAATTCTCTTTTGTGCAATATGAGCAGAGTTTGTACAGCACACTTTGTACAGTGTATAAACGCAGATAAAATGGCTAATGTGAGGTGTGGATGGTCACAATAGCCCACCTCCCAGGCGCCCTGATGGGTCTGTGTCTTCAGCGTGAGGGTCCAGTCTGGGGTGGGGGTGTCCAGCTGGGCACAATGGGGCAGCGTTAGCACCACAGGGCGATTCAGCAGCATCCCCGACGGACCACAGCTCACCACGGGGCTAAGGACGGTCTGACTGCCCTCCGAGGGAAGCCTGTGACATGAGAGGCCACATACAGTTTATAATGGTGACAAAACATAACAACAAGCTGTGATATGTCTCCTTTCTGAATGGAGCACGCGGCTGCCAAATGATAGAAAATTGGTGGCGAATCAAGCTGCTGGTTGGGGAGATAAAAGTTGACAGAAAATTTGGACAGCAAGAACATTTTGATTGAGGTGAGAATTAGGTCTTGCGGTGCCTCGTGGCTGTGTTAGCGATTGATAATGATAAGAAATTGTACGTACGTGGTTTTGTCCCATTTGTTGATGATGAGGTACATTTCGTAAAATTTCCCCTGAGGGATGGTTCCAGGAGGGACGAGCAGACTCACACCTGTGGGATTCAACAGAAACTATAGTTAAAGTTCATATGAAAGCACAGGTTACCTACATTTACATTTATATTGTGGTTGTCACTGAGCCTCGTTTCATTTTATATTCACCAACATTTTGGCTTTTTATACAGAACCATTTATTCTTGTTTATTGCTTCTAATCTATAATCTGACAGCACATCAAATTAGCATAGCTCTTTATACACTGAGAGAATGTATGCACATTTCAAACTACATCTTTTACATGAGCCATTTCTTTCCAAAACAATAAAAATATAAGAACAGAGGCATTCAAAAGTAAACTTGTTTACCTTACGATATCCTATATAGACTATAAATATTGTAAGTCATGGATGAGTACAAACTATAAACAGACAAACTAAACCCGTTTCAGGGAATGACAAATTTTTTACCATGTTTATGTGACAATTATTCTCTTTGTCAAATAGTGACTCACAGAACTCATTCTTTTAGGAATGCAAGATAACATTATGTATGTTTGAGGATTCTAAGAAGATGAAGAAAGCCTATAGTGGTCTGACTGAATGATACTGTTATAAGGCTCTGTTACCAGTGTTGGGGATGGTGAGGCGCCCTCCCATGTGCCCCAGTGTGGCGCTGGTGCTCAGGCCCGGCTCTCTGGACAGTGTGTGGCTGTGGATGTCCCGTCCCACCGTCCCCACTGACTTCAGACTGAGGATCTCCCCGTCACCTCCGTACATGTCCGGCGGCAACTCCAGCGAAGACAACGTGGACGCATTGTACACTTTGATTTTGAGACTAGGACATATCGGATCCAGCAAGGGCGAATTGGTCATTGGGATTTTGTGCGGGCTATCGTTGACTCCATGCGGCAAAGAGAAAAGCGGCCCTCGGAAATGTCCCGCTGTGGCCGTCAAATCGGGAGGAGCGGAGGGGTGGAGGGGGTGACTGTTATCTGCGGACATGAGAAAAAAGATAGGACATTTTTTATCATTGGACAGACAGCCAAGCGCTTGGAACGCGGCACAAGAGAAATTGATTAATGCTGTTAATTAATGTTTGATGGAGAGTACAAGGGATAGGGGCACCATGACAAAATGTAAAAAATGTTGCGCAGCCGAGAATAGAGAAGAGATAGTGGTATAAAGCAATTCTATTAAAAGTGCAGGCTACTTTAATAGAACATTATCAGTCAGAGGGATGTTTCTGTTGATTTGGTTTCCTGACGTGCCAATAAACAAGTGAATGATCTACAAAGTCTTCATCATCGACGCTTTATGAAAGGCTTTCGTCCAACTTTCTGTAAACAAGCTCATTCACAGTCACGCAGCGGAGCAAGTGTTGAAGTTGAGAGTTGTTGAGTGTGATCAATAATATAAAACAGATATGTGTGGTATAAAATGTAAAAAACTATTTTCAGGGCGAATTTGGACAGATTTATCATGAACGAATTTCCCCACTGTGGGACAGTAAAGGTTTTCTTATCTTATCTTATCTTCACTTATTAAACACGAAATAAAACAGTTAATATGTTCGTAATTGTATTTTTTTGGACAGGAAATTGTGTGTGTCAAATAGTATTTGTTGTTGACTAATGACTAATGAATACATTCAAGAGCAAAAGATGATTCAAACAGCCTTATGAAAAAGGAAAGATTACAGTAGCACTTTTTTGGAAAACTCAAAGATCATTTACAATATCCATCCATTCTATACACAATACAATACAGTAGACTCCCATCCAAGGACTAACTTAGCTTAACTAGCTTAGCCTCTGAAATCTGAGAAGGGCAGATAAGACATTTTCTTATTTGATTACACATATTCCAATGATCAATGTTGTTTCATTCTTTGAAACATGGCCTGTTCTTGTCACATGCTTGATTATGATGTAATTAAAGCTGGAGTACCTAACTTTAAAATCACAAAAACAAACCATGTCATAAAATCAATATAACTTCCTTTCAAAACTGTCTCATCTTTCGAATGAACGTCCTCACTTTTCTGTCTGAAAAGAGAAAAAGAGAGGACCACCCTTTCTCAGCCAATCAAGTCTCAAGATGCAAGAAATATCTCTCTTGGAATGAGAAGATAAGACTAAATGGCTTGTCTAATTGGCAAATCTTGTTTTAAGACTTAAGAATGTACTCTAATTAAGATAAAAACCCCATGAATCAAGCATTTATGTTTTATCATTTTTTGCAGTGCACGTTGTGGTCTCCTGCTCGTACCTCAGCTTCAATGCCAGATTTGACTATGAAATATTTCCAGTAAAACACATTTCCAGAGTCACAGATGAGTGGTGGTGAGATGGCGAACAAACATCAACATAAACAGACGGCTTGTAAGATTCGTGTGAAAGTTGCTGCGTGGACTCACCCTGGCGCGGAGGCTTGTAGTTGCCAGGATGGAAGGCGGCTGTGAGCGCTGAAGAGGAGTCTGTGATGTCGGCGTGGAGGTGACGGCACCTTCGGCGGTACGCGAGCACGCCCACACAAAGCACCAGGATCACGCACAGGAGCAGCGCCCCCATCAGGCCGGCATAGATGGCCACGCCCATCCCAGGAGCCAGGGCTGTGGACACATGAACACGTGAGGCATTGGCATTCAAGCGTGGAGAGAGATTAGTAAAGGGATTTGCAGGGCTGACAATAGTGTTGTTTTGTCCTTCAATTGGTTGATGGTTTCTTAGACGACTAAATGTTGGACCTGTCGCCTTATCATGTTGTTTAAATTAAAATAATTGTTATGAAAACTCAAAAAATGTAAGAAGGAAATTGGCTGAAATTTTTTTATATTCACTTTGACAGTCGAGCTGGTTCAAACTCTCAATTCACATATTTAATGTTTATTGATGGCTTAATATTTTTGCCTAAATAGTTGTTTTTCAAAAAGATTTAAGGTCAGTTTTGGTCAAATACATCATCATTTTTAGAATGCTCTTTCAGTCGACTCTTAATTGACAGTCGACAAAGAAATTCTCGGTTGAAAACAGCTACAAGATTTGGCATCGATGATATATTCTGCCTTTTTTACATTCATATAATCCTGTGATATTATCTGAGCTCAAGACTGGCACAAAAGATGCATACTTTATCAAAGTGAAGAGGTCACTTTTACAACATTCAGGACGGGGAGAACGTTCACACAGCAGAGTGGGACAATATAGAAATCATACATGAACATTCATTTGTTTAGTCTTACTCTCCTTTTGCACCTTCTGTACATAAGACACTGTCATATCATATATTTTATTAGAATTGCACTTAATTGTTACGTGTCAATCTTCCACATTCATATTTATTTATAATATAAATATAATACATCTATTTTTGACCATTTAAATTCGTACTTGTTTGAGCTACTGTGTCCAAGTAATTTCCCCTGTGGATCTATAACGTAAATAAAGATCTATAGAGTTCACGAGTTACATATTTGGTATACTGTATTCATATATAATTGTCAAAGTTTTGTGTGGATGCAAGAGTGATTAGCAGCCTTAACCTCGAAGCAAACTGATTTATCATGCACATGTTCTATAAACTAAACTATGGAACTGCACACGCTAAGCAACAATAACTAGTCTTTCATTTTGGTACAAGACGCACATAAGCTCAGGACTTAAGCCATATTTTTGAGTTTTCTTATTTGCTTTTGAAAATCCTAACAATCTTGCCAAGTGTGCGGCTAAGAAAAAGTGCTAGCACATTGATATTCCTCAAGGTAAACACGGCATATAAGCACGGTTAATTTCTACAAAATATATTGAAATTGATCATTTTCGTCGCTGCAATAAGTCATTTTGCTTTAACTGCAACCATATGTGCGATGATTCATTTTTATCATACACGACGTGGCCACAACTGGTTCTTGAATGTAGTTTTTCTTCTCTACAAACAGCTGCTGCCAACTTCCTCTTCTTTCTATCAGCAACAGGAAGCTTGATTGGAGAGCAAACAAGGCGATTAAAGCAATGCAATTAGAATCCTCGGTGTGACTATGGTTTTGTTGCAGGCGAAGGGAAAAATTTGAAGTGGGGTGTAAATTATAGATGTCGGCTAACACACCACACTATAATAATACATGAAGGCATTAGAGACATGAAGCTGCCTGAGGAGGAGGCCCGACGTCACAGCCAATCAGAGTAGAGCCAGCCGTTGCCCTTAGCTTCACCTACTCCCTGATGGGCACCGCTGGGTTGTCCCGCTGGGTTATGGGTTAAGACTGGTCAAGGGCCACAACAGTGAAGCCTGCTGTGGACTTTCCGGATAATGACCTAAGAGAGCTACTTTAAAGCAGGAATGAGTTATTTTCAATGTCTTTGCTCTCTTATGAAGTCGTTTTAAGCAGTGTTGCAGTCAGAGTTCATAATGTTTTCCTTCCGTTTGGACTCCATTACAATGATTTGTTTGACCAATATTATTAGATTCTATACTGTGGTATTTGCAGCGTGCGGCTTAAAAGTAGTCATTAACGGCTATATATTAGTTCATATAAACATCAGTTGGTAGAATGATGGATCAAGCAATAGGTATTTACGTACTGCAGACCCATGTTTTTTGACCTGCCTTCATAAACTGTCAACCCAGTGAGAAAGCTTGCCGTGTTGTTTGGACCCTACAAGTCTTCTACTAAACCACATTAGACTAAAGTTATTTGGTTCTTTGATACCAGACAATTGTAAGACGCTTCTGAGTAAGACGGAAAAATACCATTGATACATGCCAAGTTAATAACATCGCTGTCTAATATTTGTCTGGTATCGAAGAATCAAATAACTTTATTCTACTAAGCAGACAAGATGAACCTTCATAAACTAAAGGCACAGCAGATCGAAAAATATCACATTAGAATATCTGTAAATAAGAAAATACTGCAATCATGTGCAATACTGCAACTTTCTACTGAATGTCACTTATTCTACTTACTATCCTGCCCTATGTGTATAACTTTGCACTATATATAGATATTTTGGAAGACTGTTATTGAAGCCTTTACAGCTAGCTAAGACACATAGCAGCTACTTATTTTGTATATTTTGTCTGCTCCTTGAGTATTGCTGCAAGATTGAAATTTCACCACTGTGGAACGAATGAAGGATATCTTATCTTATCTCAAATAGCAGCACGTGCAACATGCCCAAACTTTGGTGGTAAGAGCTTCACTCTTGTTACACGGCTTGATACGATGTCATTATGGAAAGTCCTTCGTGTGCTGGTGTGGTGCAGGACGTGAGTTCTTTACTATTTTACTAATGAGTAAACAAATCATACGCAGGTTTTGTCTACATTTTTCTCTCGCTTACTTCTACATATATCGCTAATAGGCTAAATAAGTTATTTTTTATTTACATTTTTTCCGCTTCTACCCATCTTTGTAGACCCGCCGAAGACAAGGCTGGAGAGACAAATCTGTATAAACATTGAAGCTACGGAGAACAGGCAATTTGGCACAAGCAGACGGGCCGGTGTTAGATAAGGTTTTGATTTGTTGAGAGGGATTATGAGTGTGGCAGCGAACGGAAAGCAGATAAGGAAGTGCTTTAGGAAACGGGCCCGTGTTAAAAGAGCCCAAGAAGTCGAAAGTTTGGAGGCAACAAAACCTAAAAAAAACAAAAAAAACAACAACCACACAGACAGAGAGGAGCAGAGAGAGGCGTAGGAGAGCCGGGGGCAGACAGGCTGAGCACGGATACAGCTCACGTGGCGCGACGGGAGCAGATCCGACAGACGTCTGCACTTATAACCACAAATCCAACAATGGAGAATTAGGTGCATTACAGTCTCAGCACATGAAGCACTCGGCTTAAACTGTATCCAGATTAGCCAGGCACAAATCAGGAGCGTTTTTATGCTTTTACTTCTGCATTTATGATCAAAGGAATTCACTTTAGAGCCATGGCATCGTTCGGATTCTAGAGGCGGTGGATATGATGCCCTCTTTGCCAACAAAAAGTGCGGTCATTGATTTTGCTGCTTGATACAGTTGCATGTGGGGTTTGAGATACAAAATATTTAGAAACATGGAATGGGTTTTTGATTGTACAACGAGGCCAGCCACGATAATAATCATAAAGACTTCAATAACTCCTGCACATTTCCTTGCAAAAGTGGATGGATTTTTGTCTATTTTTTTCTATGCAAAACAAAAAAGCTCCAACTGCAGAGGATTCAATGTGACTAAATATGTTGTTTATTTTCTCATCACATGCTTTTCCATGAAATGACAAATTAGAAATATGCTGCTAAATATCCTAGTACTAGCACCAGGAACATTTTGTAGTTTCAATGTTATTGTCTGTTGCAAGCATTTTCTGACTCCATAATCAAAATGAGTTATCATGACAGGCTTATGTGCAACAGAGAGATTTAGAGAAACAGAATCCCATTAAAAAGTTTGTCAAAAATTCTGATAAAAAAAGGCGTAGGGTTGTAATACACAAAGCCTTTGGGAATAATGGAGCATCAATCTATTAATATTATTATAATTATCATATATTTTTTTAGTTTTATTTCTCTTTATTTCAAACCCATTTACTGGTGAAAGTAATTTGAACTAATCTGGTTTTATTGTTTTTGTGTTTTTAAAGTGGATTGAATTGGAATCGGTGAAGCAGATGGAGCACTGCTGCTTTTTAACCAATACCAAAAAAAGTGTTTAAATTAGGTCAACTTCATCTTTAAACAAAACTCACTGAGAAAATGCGTGGTCGATCTAATGAAGCGGCTTTGGAAAGTTGAATGGAAAGTTACAGAAGTCTACAAAGCACTAAAAAGTCTTTTGTTAATCCATAAGGTAAGCTTACAAAGCACATAGAAAAAGCACGGGATAAGACTTATAACTAAGCCACAGAGTAGGAAGTGTCTCCAATGAACCCACGAGCTGACGACAGTGCAGACAGCGCAGAGCCACGTGCCACAGACAGACACACACACACATAAGGAATAAGGAGAGACGCACACACACATAAGGAATAAGGACAGACGCACACACACATAAGGAATAAGGACAGACGCACACACACATAAGGAATAAGGACAGACGCACACACACATAAGGAATAAGGACAGACGCAAGAGGAGGGAGCTGCAAACAAGTGAAGTCATGGGAAGGTGAACTTACGATGGCTTGCATGTTCAATAGAAACCTTTTTATCTGTTTGAGCGGGAGAAAACACAAAAGAAAAAGGAACTTCATGTTGATGGACGAGTCGTTATGCAAATGAAAAGTACAACAACATAATTGAAAGCAGCAAAAGTAAACAGCTCATCTACGTGCATTGAATAATGGATGGTGCAGAGTTGAAAAATGGCTTCAAATGCGAGTGTGTTTGGCAAGTCTGACACTGACTGTGGCTTTTTCCTCTGATGGAAAAGGCGTTATATGGATGTGATGGGACAAGGATGGGAAAACTAAAATTAGGGTTCAAAATAACAAAGAATAACAAGATACGTGATACTAATATAAGGTGGTTTTGGTTGGGGCCACTTCTGTGAAGAGGGTGTGATCATTTTCCCGTCCCAGAACATTTGTGGTTGGTAGATATTGATACAAATAATGACTAAGAATAAGCAGTTTGTATTTCTAGACTGATTCCCAGAAAATATGTGAGAATGCAGAGAAGCTACTGTGTACTTTTATCTTTTATGAATCAATTACCCATGATGTGCAAAGTGCAGCGTAGTGCATAAAGCTGTTCTATTTTTATTTCATTTTAAGATTGAATTCAAGAAACCAAACCGACTTGATTTATGGCTCTATTATCTAAAAATCACAACTTTTCATTATCAAGTATCGTCGGCGTTGGAATTTATGAAATATTTATGATCTTTAATTGTTAGTGGAATATTGTAAATAAAATAAAAAATGGTTTTGCACCTAGCAGATTGAAAAGTTGAAAAAACAAAACTAGAAAGTCCTAAACAGACAAAACCGACAAATACATTTATGGGGGCATCCATCCATCCATTTTTTCCCCTTAATCCATTTTTGTGTTGGGGGGGTGGCATTCAGAGCTGCACCCAGTTCACAGAGCACCAAGTAATTTTAAATAATAACATAACATATAAATAACCATAATACACATATGATAGATAGAATGTTCTTCCTACTTTATAGCAAAGACTTCTTAGTGTGACGTTAGCAGAAAATACAACTTTATTTTTCTAGCAAAATCAGAAATATGTATCTACACTGCAGTTGTTCAACCAGTCATAGGCGCTTTACTATAACTATAATAACATCACCGCTGCTCAGTGATCTTCTTATAGCAGAGCACATATGTCCGTTAACACACAAGATGAATTAATGAGGACGTGCAGCATGCTTTCTTGGTTTCCTCTTGAGATCGGCCCAAGTGCAGTTTGTCGGTTACAGCTGCTCGAGTCACTGCAGCGTATACGTCTGAGCGCGCCGGCTAAATCTGTGCTCGCTGTGTGATTAATAAGATCCATTAATATTGGATTACACGTCGTTTAGCATTAAGTTTATTCTTAATTAGAATAATGGTTAAGCCCAGGTTTAGCACTGCTGCGTCTCTGCTGGATTAGACTTGCTTCATACCTCCATGGATCATCATCAAAAACATCTGATCCACTTTGGACAAATGTGTTTTCTCTAGTCATCATTACATTGTTAGTTCAAGTTTTGCTAAATCGGATATTTTCATTGCTTATAGTTAGAATCTTCCACGTGTTTTGTAATCGGCAGTTTTTTAAATAAAGATTATGCTATAGAAAAAGTAAAATACATATATCTGGCTTTTCAAAAAATCTTATAAGGTTTTCTTATATGAATTTTTTAAATGTTCAAACCCCATACATAGAACGTTGCAATTCAATCCATAGATTTCACCTGGACAAATTTTTGTTCTCTGTTACATCTTTAGATCAGCTTTTAAGACAAAAAAATGTAAAATCTTGCAAAGCTAATCTGCTCTCAACCCAAACTGTCAAATAGTGACTCACAGGGCTCTTTCTAACTAGAACACAAATATAGCTACTCAGACGGTGGCACGATTTGACTTGTACTAGACACTCTCTGTGGGGAGATATGCATTTTTTATAAAACATAAAAGGTACACCAGCTTTAATTCATGTACATTTTTAACTTAACTTTTTGCGTTGCTGACTGAATGTGTTTGAGTAGAGATGAAATAACAGTTTTTCGCACAAAAGAAGTGAGAGATTATTCTGGTGAAACTTAAACGCCCACTTCTTCACATATACATTCAGACTTATCTACAAAGCTACTCTTTGCACTTGGATTTCCCTGTTTATGGTCTGTTTATGGTCTGTTTATGTCTCTGTGTACCCTTAGCATCTGTGGTTAAACACTCACACCGCTAAACCTGAGCTGCAGAGTCATGGCTCTGTCTTCTGTATGTGATATAACTGCGTGGGTTAATGCAGAACTGCTCTAGTGAATCCGGGTGAGTGTAATGGTCTGTCAGCAGGATTCCTCTCGGATCATCGCGGCCTGCACATCGGGTGTCAGCCTGAGTCACCCTCATATGTTCTCCCCTTGCGCTAATTTTTCCATGTTATGCTTTGCAACCCACTCCGTGTGCACTTTTTTAGCTTCGCGATTCCTCTATTCCTCTCCCATCCATCTGTGCAACACTTTTAGATGTGGCTTTTTATGTTTGCAAACTGTTCCAATAATGGTGTAAGTAAGTTTTTCTCTCCTGGATATGTAACCTTTCATGTCTTTCTCCTCATCATTCAGTTTCTCATCAGTCTACCGCTACAGATATGCACCCCGGGAATACTGTTATGTAGCGAATGGCTTTGAAATGCAATACAACTCGTGGCTCTGAACTATGAGCAAAGATATCAGGAGGGCCGGGAGGGTTTGCTTTTATCAATTTATCATGCACCTGATGGAGCTGATATGCTGTTAGAGACTCCAAAACATACTTTTCACCATTTCTGTAATGAAGGATGTTCCCCTGGTCAGCCCACTTTTGCACAGCCTCCTCATCAGACCTTATGAAATAACGTGATTGGATTAAATACTAAAGCAATTACAAAGATGGACAAAGTGCTGGACAAATCAAATAGTCTCCAAGTTGTAGGGATTTCAGACTACAGGTACTGCCGCCGGTACTGCTGACACATGGGCTTCTTCTAAGTAACCAATGACCAATGGCTCCAATGTGTTTGCTATTTTTGCCTTTTCTGAGTTCAAACTATCTGATTCTCTGATCTTTTGTTGGTGAATCGAAAAAAATTCTTAAGTCCTACAAGGCGACTGCTGTGATTTAGGGCTATACAAAAGGAAATGGACTTGAATTAAATAGGCACAATGATTATTTTAGTACAGTGTAATTCAAGGAGTAGCTCACACTTTTTCTAGCGTGTGTCCTTTGAGGTCCAACTATGAGGACAGTGGAGATGATCCAGGACACTCATCATTCAACAACATTTATGGACATTTATTAACACTTATTTGCCCCCTACGGACCAAAACCAACCATGTGTTTTCTGTTTTATTTCATGCGTCTGAACGGTTTGATTCTCTGATCTGTGTTGGCAAATTCAACAGCTGTGTGAAGTCCTCTGAGATAACTACTGTTGTGATTTAGAGCTATTCAAGAATAAATTGAATCAAATTGCATCACTTACTGCGCGTACACAGCCCCTCAGTGCAGTTCTTGCTCTCCATCATGCTGCCACTACAGTGTTTCCCCCCGTTTTTGGGGATGGGGGACTGGCACTCCCGACTGCGCCAGTGTGTGCACTCCGTCCCACAGGCTGACCACTTTGCCCACTCTGTCCAGCCCCCGTCCACTGCAAAGAACAACACCACGTATGACTCACTACGGAACAAGTGCAAGAAAGATCATAACTCATGCTTTTTGTTACAGGGTTGAAATAAACTCAATTTCAGCAATACATGCCTCAAATGTGCCGTTATGCTGTGGATAAGTGGGGCCCAGTCTTTTCCTATTCAATGCGGCTTTTCATTACAACACTCTAGGGGCTCTGACCATAGTGGATGTGGACATCAATTGACTTTGCACACAGAATGTTTGTCCTGCTACCAGTATATAAGCTGAGGCTGTCACTGAGCTCTGTTTTAGTCTGATTTGTGGAGTGGGGTTGGCATAGATTCTTCAATATGCCTGCAGATGTACAGAATTCATGAAAAAGCAAAACGTGATTTCCCACTGGAGTTAAATATGTTATTACAGTATCTTGCAGACATTTACAGTGGCTTGGCATATATAAAGTAATGACCAATTTGTACCTAGAATCTAACACACCGTCACCATCATTGCATACAAAATGACTCAGACTAACAGATATATTCACAGTAAATAGAATAAGAGAATTGCAATATGAGTCATACATATTTATTCTTCCATCTATCCATTGACAAACATGTCCTGCTTGATTGCATACAATTTATTTCATGTAAGTTAATCAGCAGGAAAGATGTAGAGGTGAAAGAATGGACATGGTGAGTGAGATGTAATGTTCACTGGTCCATGGGTGAAGCTCGGGAAAGCTACCGTTTTTAGCAGACTTCATATTTGTTAAATTCTGAGTGTTTAGCTCATAGCCAATTGGAAGCCTGGGTTGTCAATCAAACCTGTTGCTAATGGTAGCTGCGGAAACTGATTGTTGACCAGTTAGCATTGTTCATATCTCGATAAAAAACGAAAAAGACCTGGATCCATAAGAGTGCTGGAACCCAGACATTATAGGACAATATTGGTGAGTCTGCAGGGACTGAGAAAATAAAGTTTTGTTTCCAATATACTATCCAGCAACCAGGCTTTATGTGCACCACAATTTCCCTGTGTGTGGACCTGTGTTTTCACATCGTGTTTTGCTTGGGTCCTATAAGTACTTGTCCTCCCACTCCTTTTCCACGCTCATATAAATATACCTGGACACAGAGTGGTGCAGGTGACCCTTTGCACCGGTGGCCCGTCACAGAACGCTCCTCCGTTTAGAGGCGTTGGGTTAGTGCAGCTGCGTGTGCGCCGCTGCCACCCTTGGCCACACCGGGCATTACACTCTGACCACTCAGTCCACGATGACCAGCCTCCACTCACTAGAGAAGAAAAGGAAGATAACAATGGCCTCATCAGTGAAAGTACAGCTCTTGAATCTTAATCAGGGCTATGTGAAAGGCATTACCATATACGATAAGTGTTGCCGTGCTGCTCCGGCGTTTGGCTACCACGTTCCGAGCCACGCATGTGTAGTTTGCGGTGTCAGAGAGGCGAGCCTGCTTGATAATCAGATCATGGTCGATGGTGATTAAGAAATTGGAGTCCTGTGAGGGATCAATGACATCTTCATTCTTCAACCAATCGACCTACAAGGACAAATACAGCCAGAGCAAAACATGTTATGGCTTTAATTTGTGCATGCTGCTCCTACATAGTTACATAGTTAGTTGTTGTTTGATTATTAATGAATTCTACAAGTTAAGCTTTTAAATAGCTCTAAAAACAATGTGTTCAGAGGTGGGTTGCATTCTGCAGATGTGACCTGTGGCTCAGTCCATTGTTGCCTCCTACTTAAAATGTGTGTGGAGGATTTCTGATACACAAAGGCTCTTCCAAGATTTTTAAGTTCATCTTACAGTTTTGAATTTAATAAAATGGGAATTATCTTGACAGAGCACAATGTAAAGAAGAAGTAATAACAAAGAGCAAACAGAGATTGAGATGAAATGTCAAAAACAGCAATCACCATGGATATTCTGTTTTTTTTTTGGTAAAAAGCAAGATGAGCTTCAGGGGCATTACTCACAGTAAATAGTTAGGCATTTTTTGGCATTAAATGTAGTATTTCATTAATCAATGCTGAGGCATGCATGTGAAAACTGATGATAGAAACTATGTTGAGAGAAAAGATGTGTAAGAAAATAAAGTATTAAAGATTCTGTATAAAACTAATAAGAAAATGTTTTCAGCATTTCAAACCTTCTCCATTTCCAATGGGATGCCTTTTCATCCTGTGTAGCTAATTCTATGCTATTAATGTAAACAAAGGAAGGGGGTAAATGGGAACATTTACAATAGCATGTAAATTGATTAAGCACCATGAACCTGCAGTGATTTTACAATAGGCTTGAATGACGCCTTATTTGCATTTCACAACCCCAGCCAGTATATGACTAATTTGTGCTTGGCGGCTCTTTAGAAATTACTTGAAGTCAGCGTATAATGAAGTAAATTTAAATAAAACATAACACAATCAAATCAGCTCTCCTGTGATCACTGGCATCTGCTTTCACACATTTATAATCATTTGGAAGCTCTTATTTGGAACACACACAGCGCTTTGCTGTGGAATAGTGTGTTGATATAATAAGGAGAAAGTGAGGTTGGGGTGCACCTCAGCAGCTGGCATTCCCTCCGGGGGGCGACACTGCAGTAGAACCTCCTGCTCCAGTCGAACCTCTCGCCCCAGCGGCTCCTGCTCAAAATTCTTCCTCAGGTCTGAAATAAGAGACATAAGAGTAAAGTCAGCGCTTTTAAACACAAGAGCTACAACCGGTCTGAGATGGCTGTGAGTGCATGTCATATAGAGTGGAGGCAGATTTTCTGTTGTTTGCATATTTCTTTACTGAAGAATGAACGGGGGGCGACAGAGCTTTGCACCTAATGGCTGTGGATTTGACCCCCCCACTGTCTGCTGCTGAGTTGTGTTCCCGTGGACCCACCACCTGCAGGAGGATCAGCGAGGTACTGCTGCTATGAGGATTGGGAGGCAGCTCTGATTGCCACCCCCCCAACCCAGAAATGGACAAATAAAGGGGATGATAATGACATGGCGTTCTGGAACAATTTGCGTAAAGGTGATTTCAGAAACTTCAGTGGCATTTCATGGAAAGAATAATACAAACTTCTGACCGTATGAACCAGATTCACAAACAGATAACGCATGATTTTCAATATATTTTTTGACAATCAAAACACAGTTGAATGCTTGATATTCTATGGATCCTTCTTGCCAATACAATTTCTATGGAAACCACTTAGAGGCACCCTTCTAAATTGTGCATTTTTTTTGTTTTATTGCCCATGTTAGTAGTAGTCTGATTGATGTATCATTTATACATATGCATTTTAATGGGGTAGGATCCAAACAAACACAATAAATCATTTTCCATCTCCAGCAGAACTCAAACTGCTTTACATCTGTCATGTTATTTTCTTTAGCTGAATTAATTAGAATTCACTTATTTTATGGGCAGACTAAACATGGCATATTTCATTTCTGCCGTTATTATAACTTCAGGACAAATCAACTTGCCGCATAACATGTCGTTCCATTGTTAATCATAGTTACTTTGTCTGTCATAAACACACATCACACAATCTCTGGTGCTAAAAGCCTGCGTCAGTCTGTCCCACACTCCGATGGATGTATGTTGCCATAAACACATGGGCTGTCACTCATCCTGTAGCGCACACATTACCAGGGCTCAGGCAGAGGCTGAAGTGCTGAGAATTTGCATAAATGTATGTCAAGAAAAGTCGTGCATGCATGGCTTTAAATCCCTGTGTTGTATACGTTTATAAGAGAGACTGGAATTTACCACTTTGAGTAGCATTGTCATAGCACTAATGTTGAAAGATAAACATAGACATTATAATGGTTAAACGCTCAAATAACAAAACAAGTTATCTTTAAAAAAAAAAAAAAGTCATGTGGATTGACCCAAGAAATACAGAGAAATTAGCAACAAACTAGTTTTGAGAGTTTCGATAGTGGTGGCCCGTGGTGTCACACAAACACAACCTATTGGTAGGGTTAGCTCTAATTGAATTCTCCCATGGCCTTGAACCAATGTACATCTGTTATATAGAGTCAAGGCACAGGGACAAGCCTCCTGCTGGTGCCGAGTCAGGACTAAACATGGAGAGGCAGCGTCTAAAATGTATGCTGCTAAAATATGGAAGTAAATCTGAAAATGTGAGACCGGCTTCTACTCTGACAATGTTCAGAACCAGGTTAAAGCTGCACTAACTGACTTTGAGAACTTTTTAAATGAGAGCGCCGAGCTCGCTCTCTCTGCTCGCCCTCTCTGCTCGCCCTCCCCGCACGGAGCTTTCACCCCCCACTACCCCCCTCCCCCTCAGCCTGCGCTCACATGCTAATTGTATACGGAGCTCACGTCTCACAATATGGACTTTTGAAAGTGGATGGCGTGACCAAAGAATGATTGAACCGGGAAGCGCGGAGGAACGAGACTTTCTTTTGGCTGTTTCGCTGAGTAAGCAGAAACTGGTAACGAAGACACGGGAAGCTTCAGGTTAGCCTCCGCCGCTTGTTTACCTCAGCTGTCTGTGCTAACAAGAGACCTGTAGCTTTTCTCAAGAAAGTGGGGACCAGTGGTCTGCTGTGATTGGTCACAATCTGGTCCCGAAACATATTATTTTCCTTGTTGCACCAAAACTCAATCTAAAATAAAATGACACGTCAGCACAAATCTGCGCTACTTTTTCTTCAAAAGGACGAATATCCCAATGCATTACATGGATATGGATTGAATTTTCCTAATGAATACAAAAATAAAGTCAGGTAATGCAGCTTTAAAGGCTGAACTAGCTGTGCAGACAACTGAAGAATTATACCCATACTCTTTTAAACCCTTTAATGGTTCTCTCAACCATTTGGAAGATCACTTTTTGAGTCACTTTATCTACTTGAAACATGCTTGGAACTAAATCTAAATCTTTGGGAAATCTTACTTAGCTTTATGCACTAGGGGTTAAAAAAAACATAACACAGTAATCAGTGGTCCTACATCTACAGAAATCCAAAAATGAAAAAAAAAACCCACATTTCTTGAACATTAAAGGGTTAATGTCCTGTAATTACATGTCCTTGTAGGATTTTAATGTTTAGTTTCTTGCTTTGTTAAGCACTATGAGTTGCAAAAACACTCACAAGCAATGCGGACATAGGCACGGTTGCTTTTTGTGGTGCCAGCTGAGCTCCAGGCCACACACTGACACCAGTAATCTTCCAGCCCAAACAACTCCTCCACCTGAGTTCTGGACACAGAGATGTCCACCTCTCGAACCACCAGTCCTGTCGGAGAGAGAAGGGGAAGATTAGTGGGGCATATTTTTCACTCTGGTATAAATAATGCATTGGCTGTCGGCCAGTGCAGTTAACATGGACATAAAACCCTATAGCAGCTGATGGATCATATAATTGGGCATGATGCTTGTAATTGAAAAGTATCGTTATGTCTGTGATTAAAAAGGTGACAAATGTTTGAGTGTCATAACTATAGCACAATAAAGGTTTAGATCAATAAGACTAAATTGTGACTTGGCCAAAAAAGACAATTTCTATATTTTTCTGCTCTATGACATTTGTGGGGATTTTCTTAAATGGATTTTTTTTTTATATTAAATAATTTTAGTAGAACAGCAGTAAATCCTAACTGCTCCGACTGTAGTCATAAAGGTAATCTTTGCAAGTGTTGCATTATTGGACCCTGTTGACACAGAGACCCTTTTGAAATTGGGAATGTACAGTGATCTACGTGTATCACTAATTAGGAACAACAACATATCTGAGAGTGACGCAAGTCCTGAACAGTGTGTATTGGGAGCAGGTGGGAACAGGGACTTTTTGGGGCAATGCCATTTTAATTAAAGATTACTCAAAGATGGTATTTTGAACTGTAATTATAACCCGTGGGCTTAGATGTGAAAACACTATAAAACTCTTAAAAGTCAATTATGCATTAAGTCTCTTTTAAAGTCTAACATGTTTATAGGCCCAACTTTATTACTATTACTTATATATCAATTTAACTTGTAATTTAAGTCTACTCTTATAACTAATCAAAACACAATGATTAAAGCTGGAAAACTTTCAAAAAACAACAAAAAGCGATATAAAAAACATTGAACTATGTAATCTAATCTAACTCGTCACACGCAAGTATTTTAGGCCTCTTTAGATCCGATTTTTTCCGATAGAAAAGTTTGTGTAAGCTCTCAGTCGTACAGGGATTAGTCAAAGCAAAGGAAGGTTTCTCACCCATCATCTGCTAAGAAGTACAGATGATGGGTGAGAAACCTTCCCTTGCTTCAGATAGAAAAGTGAAAAAGAGAGGACCTCCATCCCTCAGCATCAAATAGTGACTCCCAGGGTTCTTTTCTGATAAAATATACAATGCTTTCTTTTAGGTTAAGACAAAATACTGTAGTCTAATTTGTTCACAACATTAAAATAGTTAGGTACCCCAGCTTTAATACTGTTTTGAACTGCTGGGCCTGGTTACTTTTTTTGTTTTCATGAATTTTTCTTATAAAAACATGACATCGCTGCGCCGTACCAGTGACTTCGTCCACGCTCTCCCTGGTCACGTGGTCGTTCTGATTGACCCACTCTCCGTTGCATTTGAAGTAGATCTGCGTGGCTGGAGACGCCCTGCATCTCATCTGGACCGGGCGGTTTTTCACGATAAACGCATCCTCAGGTTCGAGCAGGAATTCGGGCAAAGGCTCCGCTGGTGCCGATGGGTACGTGTCCGGGAGGGTGTCTGTGTCGCTGTAGTCTGTGGTTTCTGCAAAATATGGAGAAAGGAAAAGAGAGATGATCAAAAATGTGTTCTTTGTTCAAGTCAAGACCCACTTATGTAGCTATTGTCCCGAAGCGCTGCTCTCTGACCTTACTGACAAGGAAGTAAGAAACGGTCAAAATGACAAGTTTGCCCCTGAGGGATCAATAAGCCATTGGATCCCTGCAGAGGAGAGTGTGTGTGACGGCCTGTCTGTGCATCGCTGTGGGCCACGAGAAACAAAACTGCCAGCACACTTCAGCTGTTTGCATTAACACTGGTCCAGTCCATTTTAAAGTCGATGTTGTAAGTCCACGCTGTTACACTGAAATCGCTATGCTTTTCCCGCTACGGCTTACAAAACCAATACTTCACAAAGAAAGTTATAAAACACATACACACAGGTGATACTTTTGAATTGAATGAGCAATATACTACACACACATTTCATCAGCCTCATAGTCATATTTTCAGATTTTTTTGCCTGGTTCTGTCCAAATCAGCATTTCCTGCAACAATTCCAGTAATACAAATGATCCATATCCTTGTTCCAAGCTGAAAACCTAAGTCTAACAGTGGGACTTAGGTACAAAAACTCACAAAGCAAACTTGGGTAAAGTATTTTCAAAATGCAAAAATGTATGTTCTATTCTTAAACCCGAAACCAAACCCTAGCCATAGTGAACCATTTGCCTTTGCCTTAAGCCAAACCTCTAAACCAAAACCCTACTCTAACCCGATGAAACAATGCTTGATTATTTGGTGGGTATCAGATCCTCCCAAACCCACACAACTCACACCAGAATGAAAGAGCATGTAAGTACTCAATAGAACTGCATTTATCAGTCCAAAGCTACGCTGCTTTAAACTTCACTGTAAACAGACATTGTGACATTTTCAGTGCCCTGTTTTTGCCACTAATCTGGTGAACGCAGACTCCGAGTCCATAGTTCTCAGCTGGAGAAGGGAGAGGCTGACCTTCCCGTAGCCTGCTCCCGTTGATGGCACATTATCTGGTGACATTTCCGATCTGACACTTCCCGTTGGCACAGCAGCCCTCAGCCTCTCCTTTCCTCTCACCAAGGACATAGTATTTCTTGACCTCGCTGCCTCCCTGACTTGTTACTTCAATAATGACACTTCATCAATGCCGCCATCTTCTTATTGGCTCCATCTGGTCGCCGCAGTGAAGCCGTAAATCCTGCCGAACTATATAGGTAATAATAGTTTTACAAAGTGCCCCTGGCCCATAAAGAATTATCTGCCCCATATAGCGTATATTGCATACCGAATACCTTATAAATCACAGTGATACACTCTCTATTTTGAGCTCGACATTTACAGTTCCGTTCTGCTGAGATTCGAGTGAGGTTCCTACAGGTCCTTATGAAATCTTAATGCGTCCAACCCTCAAGACAGAGAGACCATGTTCGGATGATAAATTCGATCTGAATTCAACAAGAGGAGACTGCGACTGGAAGTGGTGGGTCCAGTCACAAAAGAGGAACTGATCAAATGCACCAATTTTAATGCAATTTCACACTGCTCAATTTATTATGAGTTTAATTGCAAAAATCTAATACCTTTGTTTTGAAAAATTGTGAAAAAAGGTATTTCTCCAGTTAAATTCTTTTTTATTGGCAGGACTTAAGTCTTAGTTCTGGATCTACAGCCTGTCCGTCCAGGAGTGGATTTTTCTCTCAATGTGGGCCTCCCGGGGTTTCTCACTTTATCCCACTGGATTTTTGAGTTGCTATTTGCAGATGCAGGAGAGTCAAAGGACAGTGGTGATCGTCCAGAACACTTAAGGACATGTGTGGACCTGTAGAAATTCACCCCCTATGGACCAATGCCTATGTATAATTCTGTTAAACTTAAAATGGAAAACTTTGTAAATTAATCTAGATGACTACAGTTGTGATTTAGGGCTAATTACATAAATAATTGAATTTAAATGAAATTGAAGTCTAAGTTACCTTAAATTATTTCACTATCAACTACTATACCTGTAGTCAATGATCATTTTTATCTTTTAAATGAGATGTCTGGTATCTAATGTATAGCACTGGTGTGAAGTATTGCATTAAATCTGAAGAGAAATGTTGTAATAAGGTTCATATTTGTAGTGGTTACATTTAGTAGAGAGTTTCTCCCCAGTGCATCCATCCAAATGTGTGAAAACATTTTTGCTTTTAGTGCACCAAGCAATATTAAAGGCTACAATTCTTCCCAAGACAACCTTCCCGCTACAAAGACAAAAGCTGCTATTCACTATTCATTTATGTGTCACGTGTGAATAAAACATTACAAAGTTTGAGACCTCGAACAACTAAAACATTTTAACTTTTTCACGATATTCTTAGCCACTTTTGTTTCAGCGCACGATTTTTGCGAGAAAAAAATCATCACAATTTCACTGAGGACGAAGCAGAGACACAGCTGCTTTCAGACAATGAGCAGCACACTCAGAGCATTTAGTTTTCAAAATGTATCAAGGCCTGAACTGATCTGCTATTCTACAACTGGGGAACAAGAGAAACTACTTAAGAAGATACCATCATCTATTTTAGGAAAGTGCTGTACTCTGCGTCTCCTTCCCCGTTGCTCGGCTTCAGTCAGCTGGCCGACAAACTCCAGTGAAGGAGAGGGATTTCAGACTGTGGCAGACTTAGAGCCAGGACGCAGCCGTAAGGAGGATTCTTACTCATTTCAAAACGCTGGAAGGGCTAAAATGTATGAGAATATCAAATTCCTGCCACGAACAGATTTTGGCTCGTAAAAAATACCAAAACATTGACCTCCCTTTTTATCTTGCTATGTACATTTCTCCATTGTCAGATCAATAAAGTTTATCTAAACGCTGCACTGTCCCCAATCACATGCTTGTTGTCTTACATTCAGTTTAATACATTAACAGGCAAACATTTTTTTCTTGACTTCGAGATTATTTTACATAATACTTAGATTAAAAATAAAGCAAAAATAACTGGTTTGACAATAAGAACATTAATAATGCCACTTTGACTTATTTAACTTGGAATAATAATTCAGCCAATCCCAGTGAAACGGCAAAGATGTGTGATATTTTGTTTGGTGGATTTGTTTTCATGTTCTGAAATAAAAATCTTGATTGAGTCAAGAGCATATGCTGCCCATTCCTGTTTTTCTATAAATAAATGTATATCCTTTTCCGTTATTATTGGCGTCTGTCTTTTTTCAGGTGTCAAAAATCCTTATTTTCCAAACTTGAGAATGTAATCTTTCTATTTTCTTTGGCGCTGCCCAGATAGTATGTTTATTGACTTATGTTTGCATGAAGGTTATTGTATAATTGTGTCCCTTAGAGCCAACAGACATGTAGTAATGTGCTGCGGAGGTGGTGGTGAGGAGGAGGAGGGTTGTGGCACCAGATGAAAGCTCAGACTTGGCAAGGCGCTGCTTATAAATGCAGCCAGGTAAAAGATTCTTGTGTGATAGCTGACTGGCAGAGGAACAGGTGTAGTAGGAGGACTTAAGTGAAGCCATTTAAGTCTTTCAGTATGCAAGTATATTCCAAAGTTTTTTCTTGGATTCGAATCCCTCTTTATACTTCTATGCATGGGTTTTGGATAATGGACATGATCTTCCAATGCCAAAGAAAATAAAACTGGGGAACCTAATTTTAATCACCATTGCTAAGTAATACATAGACAATTTCTTGCGCTCAAAACAGTTTGATCACTGTAGTTTTTACATGTGTGTATTTTTGGCCTCTGCCACATTTTTTAATCATACTAGTAAAGGGAAAAATGGGAAAATTAGGACATTATTTATGTGGGAAACTTTTTTAAGCAGGGCGACAGTGGCTCAGTTGGTAGAGCATCGGCCTTTGGACCTGAAGTCAGACCTATTGTACGTGTTTTTGAGGTAGGGGAAACTGGAGCACTTGAATAAGGATTGCAATTCTTCCTATTTACAGGAGGAACTCTGAGGGCAACAGCTGCTCCAGGCCAAGTTCACGTCTTGGCTGAAGCGTCATTTTGGATCCGTCTCTGCTCCTTCAGTGGCTTCTCGGAGCTGCATTTATTCAAGAGGCCGTGACCCTGCGATGAACTGAACACACCCACAGGCGCAACGTTGCCAAATATGATGGGCCAATAATTACACAAGTTAATCATGTTTTAGGCTTTCATACGCATCAAAAGCAATAGCACTTAAAGAGCTCAATATTGCATAGACAAGTCGTATTAAAACAAATGACTGCACTGCCTTTCAACACATTTTAAAGGACATTGTGTGTGGTATCATTAATTACACTATTTTGGAAATTGCAGTTTGTTGGCTATAGGTGCAAAATATCCAAACGATGGAAGTAATACGTTAATTGATTGATTACAACTCTTTTTCAGGGGCCAGGAAAAGAGTCGATTGAAAAAAGGTAAACAAATGAGGAAAGTCATGGTGCCAGCTGCATGTGAAACCCAAATCCTGTTGGACCTCTAAAGCTAAGCAGGGCATGGCAGTAAGTAAGTAAGTAATCTTTATTTACATAGCAAATCTTTACAGATCAAGGTCACCCAAAGCGCTTTAAAATATTTCGAGTTCAGATATTTTTCCACCGGGAATCGAACCCACTCAGCCACCATGATCAACACGAAACAAGAGTTGTAATGACTTTTTATTGATATTGTTTTGAATTGTGTTTCTAATCAATCAACCAATTGTGTTTGAGTTGCCATGAGGATTGTCTTGATCGCCCATAGTCCTCCATTATGTGAAATGACTGATTTTGCATTTTAAGTTAATTGCAGGTATAATTCAAACAGTAAGAGATTTCCGCCCATTAACGCATAAGATGTAAACTCAGACCTGCATGTCTGCCTATACACACTTTTGGTAAAATAATGTTTAAAAATGATGTATTCAGCCCTTCAGAGACATCTATATAAAGCACTTCCACACCACATTTTCTTCCTCCTCTTCAAAGTTACAGATAAATGTCTATAAAAGCTGCTGACAGGACACATAAGACAACATGATTGGATATTCCTCAGTTTGTTTTGACATGTGTCTGCATTTATCCATCAAAAGCTCTTGAATGATTCAGTGCTTGCTTTTGTTACTTTTTCACTGACAACAAAAACCTATTTTCTGAATTTCTTTATAACGTAAAATTACATTCTTCTCAAGCTTTGTCAAGAGTAAGACGCTGGGCAATTATGCAGCCGTGTCTAACCATACCTCTAGGAAAGAAAAATGAGACTAATGCTGCGGGAACATACAGTCCATTTGGCCTTTGACAGAATTCAGTACATATAGGAGTTCATCATAGTTTCCAGGGCAACAAGTCTCAGCCTGTGGCCAGTATAATTTCACACACAAAATTTGAAGTTATCAATGACTCAATGACAGAGTTGAATAGGTTCAAGCAGAAATAGCCATAGAGGTGATGATACCATATTTTTCTATTTAATAAAATGACATCACATTGCCCTCAAGATGCTTCAGCTTTCACTTTCACATCGTAATTGTGAATGCACTTATTGACTGGAGAAAGCAGAGAATGCCTGTATGCATGTATATACTGTATATGTGTATATGTGTGTATGGAGCAGAACAGAAGAGGAGAGACAAACAATTAACCGCAGCGTAATCTATTAAAGAACAATTATTATTCACTATTTCTCTTAATTTTAAACACCTCAAACATGATATGAAAGACTTAACTGTTGCATTGTGTGTGTTAGATCTTGACTGTGTTAGATTTGTTAATAATAACGGGGAATTTCTATCACATTAATGTCAGCACGCAGCTCTAATGAAGTGACTGCAGAAATGCTCAAGATTAATTTAGAGACGTGAGATTTGATTTTAAAAAGCAGGCGTGAGAATTACAATTGAATGTAAAAGACAGAAGCTGTTTTCTCAATAAATAACGGGAATGGTGTTAGTGAAGCTAAACAAGGGAGAAAAAAACGAGGGGTGAGGAAAGTAGGTCACAAAAGTTGATTTTGCCAATATTTCCATACACTAAAGCTAAAGTACATAATGAAACAACAACAAAAAATATTTCAGTTAAAAGTAGAATACCAGCGCTGACTCGGACCATCAAATCTCAGTAAAAAAAAAAAAACTTCTAATAAGAAATTCTGTTGGGACAAAGACATATATATTTATGAAACCAAAAAAGTTAGTAGGCGTACAGTTTCATGTTTACTGAAATAGTGCGATCCTTATGCTGATACAGTGTGTTTGATGTTGCTGACTCTACAAAAACAATCCGAGTTCAAGCAGCTCCACGCTCTCCTCTCATTTAGGTGTTTAGACTTGCACGCAGAGCCACTTGTCACTTCTATTATGTCCACTGCACTTTCTTTAGCATCCTGCGGCCCCTCCTTTATCGTGGCGGTTACTTTCTAAAAATAACCCAAAATAACTGAAATCTGTGGCAGCTCCAGGGACGTGCGGTGAGGTTTGTGATTGGGGAGGCACTGACTTTAAAAGTCAGATTTACAATCATTATTCAAATAAAATAGCATTTAATCACCAATGCAATGACATCCACAAACTTTATATACTGTAAAGATAAGAGAACCAGCTTCTTTTAATAATCTCACAACAAATCTAGCTGCTGACTCTGCTCCGCATCAAACAACATCTTTAAGAAGCGCAGGTGCGAGAGACGCGAGGAGAGAGAGACGCGAGGAGAGAGGAGCAGAGAGAGACAGAGAGGAGCAGAGAGACGGAGACGCGAGGAGAGAGAGACGCGAGGAGAGAGGAGCAGAGAGAGACAGAGAGGAGCAGAGAGACGGAGACGCGAGGAGCAGAGAGAGACGGAGACGCGAGGAGAGAGAGACGCGAGGAGAGAGGAGCAGAGAGAGACAGAGAGGAGCAGAGAGACGGAGACGCGAGGAGCAGAGAGACGGAGACGCGAGGAGCAGAGAGAGACGGAGACGCGAGGAGAGAGAGACGCGAGGAACATAAACAATAATTTAAACAAGTTGCAGAACTCTTGAGCAGTGTTTGAATCAGTGTTTTTCGGAAAAGCACTACTTTGCCGGTATCTGTCAATGTTCAACATAAAACACAGATTAACAAACTCCTCCCCCGCAGCCGGACTAACCTCGTAAGTCCAGTGGTGGTCTCCCAGTCTATATTAATTCTTTCTTTGTTTGAAAGTCCAATTGAGAAAAAAAATCTTCATTCAAATCATCCATTTTCCAGCAAAAGAAATAGCATTTTGGGCTGATTGTTTGTTAGCAACTCTGGTATGAACTTTATGCTCACTATCACCCCTAGCGGTGAGGCACAGATACCGCCTGCCTCACGCCAAGCTTTTTCCTTGTGTGTTCATCTACGATCAAAAGACTTAAACTAAATATAAATTGTACACACATACGTGCAATACACTACTAAACACTAAGAGGAGTTTAAAAAATGTTTTTAAAGCAGGATATTTGAAACAAACGGTGATATATCAACTGCACGAGCTGAGTGCACTCAGACACACACACACACACTGTGAGGGAGCGGTCTGGGGTGAGGCACGCAGGAGCGCTGCCTCACCTCGTCTCTTTGAATAGGAATAACGGGATTTCGGCGATTTTGACTTCAGAAATGATCAAAACTGATGGGAACCGTGCCGAATATACATTAAAAGCATAGGACAGTGGATATAAATTATATATTTAAACTAAAATAATTATTAGTTTCCAATAATGGCAGGTGA